CCCCCCTTCAAATACCTCCGTTGCGTCAAACTATCCTCGCTCGCTGTTTGCTTGCTAAAAGTCCTGTTCGGCTGACTGACCAGCCATGGCTTCAGCACCCCGCGACAAGCAAGACTGAACACAAAAGGAGCCAGCACATAGATATGGGGTGATCAGAGAACACGGTTATCATGGGGAGGGAGGAGACACGAGAAGGGAAAGAGGGGGGGAGTCAATGCCAGGTCCAAAAAGAATGGCGGCCACTTCCAACAACAACGATAACAACGCTTTATACGAAGACCAGAAGGAATGGAACATTGCGAGTTTGGGACAGATGAAAGAGTCGAGGTTAGCGGCTAGTCCGCGGGGGGGGCTCTCTAGAGATGTTTTGACAGTGCTTGCGCTGTTTTGTGACGATCTGCTCCAGGCCTTCCACCGCCAGACGCTTTGCGTGGTCTCTGACAACTCACAAAACATCGCGGAGACCATCGTAGGTGATGGCCATTCGTACACTGTTCCCTCTTCGCAGACTCAAGAAACTCTTAGCCCTTCTTCGCTGGCTGTTGCGTTGCCTGGAATGTCACCTTCCCATCCTCATTCACGCTCTTGACCTCCAACTTTGGCTGTTCCTGGGCCGGCCCCCCCGCTTGAGGCGACGCAGACGCAGTGACCTTGCCCGCCTCCGCGCTCGGCGTCGCGCCCTGCACGCCCATGCGCTGCTTCTCCCTCCCTGCATCGCGCCCATCATGAACATCACGTATGGCCTCCGCTGCGAGGCCTGCGGGCGCGTCCGCGATCTCGTTGACTTCCTCTGATGTTAGGATATCGCGGATACGGGAGGCACGTGACTGAATCAGTAGTGTGGTGGGACCCTCAAAGCGCAGGAACAGCCTGTCGCCCCAGATGGTGCGTCGCGACCAGGTGCGCATCCGCCGAAGGACATTGTGCAGGAATTTATAGGTGTTTGACTCTTGTGCTGCGCGCCAGAAGGCGGGCGTGGGGAACCAGTTGCCCAGTGACAAGGGGATCTGGAATTTGAGGGTGGAGCTCTTGAAGCGGTAGGGCTGTGGTGCGTTGGAGGTAGAGGACAGGGCATATGCCAGAATGTTGCTGGGGTGCGCAACGTAGGACTCGCCGGGACCCAGAGTCAGGGAGTATATTTGCCCTACACCGGAGAGGGCGAGCAGGCCGCGACCCGTGGCTGTGGAGGTACCATATGCGGAAGTGGAAAGGGTGGTGGGGAGGACGGGAGCGACGGCGAGGCTGTTGCCTGTCCACGCAAGAAGTGCTTTGCGTTGTGTTATGCGCCAATCTGTCGTGCCATCGAGTTGAAGTATTGCAAATGTAGTGTGCGTGGACGGGGTAGAGATCAGAGCACTAATCGGTGTTGTAGACGTGATGCGTTGGTAAAGGAAAGGGATGCCCGTGAGAGCACGCCGGAAGGGAGTGAGTAAGCGCAGTGTTGAGACTGTACCGTCCGGTGAAGGGGACGAGACGCCGACGAGGGTTCCTCGCCGAGTGTGCAGATGCTGAGATGGCGCGAGGCTAACGGAGAGGAGAGAATATGGGGAGCCCAGTATTTCAAAGGTCGCATCTGGTGCTCGTCAGTCGTGCTCAGTAGAGCAGGGAAGCAACTGCTATACCTGGTGAAGACGCCGACAAAGATTTCCCATTCACATCGATAGAGCTGCTATCGGTCGCAGGCGTCGCTTGAACAGTGATATACTTGTATCCTCCTAGTCGGCGGCCCGCGATAAAGTGAGCTGGGAACGCCCATTGACGAGGGTTGTGCACGAGCCGGTGAAGGCTGCGTGTGGGTATTTGCGGCATATGGACGGGTGGGATACTGCGAGAGCTGCCGTTCGTGTCGAACACTTTGGTGCAGCTAATGGCAGTTGTTAGAGCTACAGAAGGGCCGCTTAGAGCTTCAAGCAAAGCTGCGATGAGGCTGAGATTGGTATACGGTGATTGGACAACGCCCGGAGCGAGGCTACGAGTTCTGACCTCAATTGCGACGTCGGCAGCCATTTTGCGCCATTTGCGCGTTACGCCATCTGGTCCAAAGCGAAACAACGCGCCCAGAGCTCGCTTGGTCGATAGTGGCGCTCCCATGTGTGCAGACCAAGCTTGTCTGTTGCTATGCTGCTGGACACGGTGAGCTTATGACGGCAGAACGACGGCAAGCATGTTTCTGCGGCCAGTCTCCGGCTGTGTCCGGGGGCTCGTGAAGCCAATCTATGGAAGGGCCGGCAATCTTCATAGTGTAGGCTTGAGGGACACCTCGTTGGCGCATCGCGCAGCAGTTCGAACATTGGTCCAAACAGCGTGCCAACAACGACAGCAGCGACAAGGCCAGGGACCACCATTCCAGACACAAATTGCCGAAGATGCTCCCAACAAAGCTGAGCCCTCGGAGCTTTCAAAGCCAGAGACATTCGAGAAGCCCAAGTCGAGGGAAGGCGCTACACCGGCGAGCAACAACGATATGCTTGCTGAGAAAGTTGTCTCCACGGCTGAGCAGCGAAAGGTCGACATGGCGATTATGAAGGAAATGGTGCAGTATCTGTGGCCCAAGGGCGATTGGGGCACCAAGTTCCGTGTCGGTACCGCGCTGAGCCTGCTGGTTGGAGCAAAGATTTTGAATGTCGAGGTGCCTTTCTACTTTAAGAATATTGTTGATTCAATGAACATCGACTTCCTCGCGGTAGGCGGAACAGCCTGGACAGTGGCCGGATCGATGATCATCGCATACGGCGCCACAAGGATAGGAGCGACGATATTTCAGGAACTACGAAACGCCGTGTTTGCGAGCGTAGCACAGAAAGCGATCCGCAACGTGGCGCGCAACGTCTTCGAGCACCTCCTGAAGCTTGATCTCAACTTCCACTTGTCCCGGCAGACTGGTGGTCTCACGAGAGCCCTAGACCGAGGAACCAAGGGCATCAGCTTCTTGCTAACATCCATGCTGTTCCACATTTTCCCGACCGTGTTGGAGATATCCATGGTCTGTGGAATTCTTACATACCAGTATGGTCTGAAATTTGCTGCCGTCACGGCGGTGACAATGGCGGCATATTCGGCATTTACCATCACAACTACCTCCTGGCGCACAAAATTCCGCAAGCAAGCCAATTCGGCCGACAATCAGGGCGCTACCGTGGCCGTTGACACACTGATCAATTACGAGGCGGTCAAGTACTTCAACAATGAGAAATTCGAAGTCAAACGTTATGACCAAGCACTAAAGAAATACGAACAGTCCTCGATCAAAGTGACGACATCACTGGCTTTCCTCAACTCAGGTCAGAATGTGATTTTTTCCAGCGCTCTGGCCATGATGATGTTCATGGCTGCCGACGGGGTGGCGGCGGGACAGCTGACCGTGGGAGATTTGGTCATGGTGAACCAGCTGGTTTTCCAATTGTCTGTTCCGTTGAACTTCCTTGGTTCGGTCTACCGAGAGCTCCGTCAGTCATTACTTGATATGGAGACATTGTTCAACCTGCAAAAGGTGAACGTGACGGTCAAAGATGTCAGCAAGCCTCGTCCGCTCGCTCTCACCCGAGGCGGAGAGATCAGGTTCGAAAACGTCAACTTCGGGTATCTGCCAGAGCGCCAGATCCTGAAGAACCTAAGTTTGACAATCCCTGCGGGCAAGAAAGTTGCCATCGTTGGTCCAAGTGGGTGTGGCAAATCCACTCTTCTTCGATTGCTCTTTCGCTTTTACGATACACAGGGTGGCAGGATCACGATTGATGGGCAAGATATCCGGGAGGTGAGCTTAGACAACCTACGCCAATCAATAGGCGTGGTCCCGCAAGACACACCTTTATTTAACAACACCATCGAGCACAATATTCGATATGGACGGATCGATGCAACCGAGGAGGAAGTCAAGAAGGCAGCACAGCGAGCCCACATTGACGGACTCATTGAGCGACTACCCAAGGGTTGGAACACCATGGTGGGCGAACGAGGTATGATGATCTCAGGCGGAGAGAAGCAGCGACTTGCAGTGGCCCGGCTCCTGCTCAAAGACCCACCGTTATTGTTCTTTGACGAAGCTACCTCGGCCCTCGACACGTACACCGAGCAAGCAATACTCCAAAACATAAACAGCATCTTGAAAGAGAAGGGCCGCACGAGTGTATTTGTGGCACACCGGCTCCGGACCATCTTTGACAGCGACATCATCTTTGTGCTGAAAGACGGGCAAGTGGAAGAGCAAGGCACGCATGGTGAGCTTTTGGAAAAGAACGGTCTTTACGCAGACCTGTGGGCAGCGCAAGAAGTGTCTCTCGGACAAGACATGGGTCTGGAGAAGGAAATTGAGGAAGGTCGAGATGATGCCGAGGAAGGAGAGTCGAGACAGTAACATTAAATTCCAGGTACAGTACGTGCCTGAGTAGTTCAACATGGAGTGGGAATAGAGTTGAGAAAGCAATTTTGTGAGACATTTGACAGCGACGATCGCAACGCCTCGATCCCTTCGCACGACTTGGATGTTGGGACAAGGCCGGGCGAGATCGCTGCAAGACATGCATCGTAGTCTTGAAGACAAGTGTTCCAGTCTGCAAGCGAGCTCCCAACACAAGCGACAACTCCTTCGAAGCGCGCCTCTGTAAGTGGAAAAGGGGGGCACAGCCCACGTGGAACGGCCACGGCCCCGGGTGCAGATTCTGGGAAGCGCATGGCGCTAAAAGCGACTAGCAAGGCACCTAAAAAGTCCGCCCATCGACGGTGCGACTCTGTTAAAGTCGAGGCCTCCGCGAAGTAACCACAGCCGCAGGCCACGGCGCTCGCTCGGGTTGCACTTGGCTCTTGGTCGCCTGCGGACAGGCTACTGTACATACGATCTTCAGGTACACCCGCACCACAATTATCCTGCAACGCGTTCTGTGACAGTTGTCTATGTTGGACAGATACCAGTGATTAATTTGTAGCCGCGATCAACGGACATTCCTCCACCGGATACAACCTGGAGAATAGCCAGTTCAATAACGTTGCCGATCTATCATCGCGCGTTCCGCCATCCGTTCTGTCGTGCAGCAGCATCCATCCTGGTCATGCTCCGCCAATGGGCCCTCCGCTCTACCCCTTTTTCCATGCAAGCCACGTTTCCCTGTTCCCACTTCAACAATGCGACCACTGCAAGAGCTACCACTAGAATAGCAAGGCTCAAGACCACCGAGGCCATCGGGCTGCCGCTAGAGCAATCTGCAAGTCACCCATTTTCATTCATCTTCCCGTCGACCTCGCTTCACCCGTTGTTCCTTCTCTTCGTACCGTTTTTATATCCCCTCCTTCGACCATATTGCAGATCTATCTACCACTACCTCTCACGGCGGTGCTACTCGGATATAGTCTCCCGAAACACATTGCGAGACGTTGCAACGACATCTCGATCTGCACATCTGACACGCATCCTGCCTTATCAAACCCGCGTCTATTCGTGGATATAAAATCGTGCCCGGGCCCCGCTACCTCCGTCAGCCATCATCTGACTCGACTCATACGCCTTCGCCCGTCAGCAGAGGGCACCAAGATATAGATAAAGTTGCCGGCCGGCTTCACACGCAAACCGCGAAACTTTTGCCCTCCGTCTCCCCGGCACGCCTGCCTATACCGAGAGGATGGGTCTCATGTCCAAGCTTCAGAATAAAATTGAGCTCTATCGCCTCGAGCAAAAGTACACCCGCAGAAAGAATCGCAGCACCTTCACCACAGGTGCCCAATATGTCGATGGAGAATACGTGTACCAACCCGACGGCCAGCTGAGTGCCAGCTCCACGGGCTCCACGGGCAGCACCAACAAGAGGAGAAGCATGTGGATGTCGCCTCGAAATTAAGGTATTCGAAGCGCGCATGCATCTGAATATCTTAGAATACGGGGAGCTCAGCGCCGACTCGTCGAGCAGCGACACAGCGGCACAACGTCGCGCGTACAGCCATTGAGGAAGCCAGGCAGTACACCATCGGCACCACCCGCACTACCGCCGCCCTGGCTTCAGCCTCATGCAACACGCATCGGGCACTCGTTAACTTGAGCGGTTCTACCTAACCTCGAGGGTTCGCTGACCGACGGACGGCGACCATTCTGCTTAGGTTCCAATATCACCTAGATCTGACTAGACGCGCCCATCTACATACGTCCTTGGAGTTATTTCAGCGCAGCAGCATTCACGACTGTCACACCAGCCCAATAGCCACCCAGCCACACTCTCCTGGGCTTCGACACAACAGCACCAACCACCAAACCATCCAGCATCAGAAGCAGGCGGGTCATCTGAACGCATTTACGTCCTTTCTGTCATCATATTCCAGCATAGCATGGAGAATCGGGGATCTACAGCACATTTTTCACATTTCAACGCACCATAACCAGCACGCATTTCCTAGCGTTATGTCATGTCATTCATAAGGCGAACATTCTGTTTTGCCATGTCCATATTCTGCCACATGCTGGAAAGAATTCATGAATAGATAAACACAGTACTGCAACTCCGACAAACGAGCTAAAACTTGGCTTTTCTCTTGCTCTTTATCGTCTGTTCTGTATACAGTTCGCGTAATCGCCTTTGAGTTCATATATTCCCAAGCAAAGCGGCTTGTGGTCGGCTTCTCTCATGTTACGTAGCCAACCGTCGCGCGATACCCAATGAATGTCATGTCTCTCGCCTCCCGTACACAGGATACCCATGCCCAACCAGATACAGCCAAACTTACTTCTTTTCCTTCCCCTTGTCGCGCTCCCGGCTGCCCGTGCTCCTAGCAATCCCACTCGTGAACTTGCCGACCAAGCTCTGCCGACTCTTGTGACCCTTGTAGGTGTCGCCCGCCAACCCACCGCCAGCACCACCGCCCACGCCCGCCCCAGACCCAGAGCTTCCCACCCCACCACCGCCCCCGGCCATACCATTGTTGGGAACTCTCAGCCCTGGCGGCCCCATCGACGAGCCAATCGGTCTGCCCAGCCCGCTGCCAGGCCTGCCCGGACCCAGCGACCTCGCACCTCCGCTTGCCGAGTCCACGCCGCCGGCCCCGGCGCTGGTGCGCCCTTCGCGCCCGTCCAGGTCCAGCGCCAGCAGGCTTCGCGTCGCGGGCCCTCCACCTAGCGCATCCAGCCCACCGCCCACGACCTCGCCGCGCATGGCCCGTTCGCTGCGCCACCGCGCCTTCTCCTGCGTGCCGCGGAACTTCTCCAAGAGTTCCGGCCAGCGCACCGTTTCCGCTGATGCGCCGCCGCTGCCGGCGCCGGCATCGCGACTTGAGCGCCCGAGCCGGCCCGTGGCATTAGGGTTGGACGACGAGCCACCGAGATTGGAGGCTGCGACGACGCTGGGGGACGAGGAGGAGAATGTTAGCGAGCCGAGCGCAGTCAGGGGGAGTGGCTTGTCAGTCGAGCGGGCACGGGAATGGGTGTGCGCGCCGCCGAATTGGAAGCCTGAATGGGAGGCGGACGACAGTGGAGGGGATGGCATGGGAGGGGCGGCGGCGCCGACGACACCGGTGGAGGACGCGAACTGGGAGGAGGAAGGCATTGGGTGGACGTACGATGGGCGCGGACCGCTCGATGGCATACCGACGGGCGTGTGCAGCAAACCTATCGCTGACACGGAATTGAGGCGGTTTTTCAGCGCCGCGAAGGCGGATGATTGTGGGAGGAGCATTAGCAGGCCGTAGAGGCATTTGTAGAGGTAGGGATACCGGTCTGGCTCAAGGAGTTGAAGTCGGAGGTCCGGGAGGTGTTAGCATCTGGGGCGGTGAGAATGGTGAGTGGTTGCTTACATGTGAAAACAGGGCTCTCAAGGAGTTGTACGAGCTTGTCAATTTGTATGAGCATATTGACCGTCATTTCGAGGTCTGCGAAAATCTGGAGAAGGTTGTAGGCTTGCTCGTAGGCTTGTGCGAGGAGACAGAGCGAGAAGGTGGCCACGGCGTTGTAGCACCATGCTCGGAACAAGGCAACGAAAAATGCCTGTCCGTCTCTGCTCTCAGGGTTGCGTAAACGCTTCCGCAGTTCGGCAAGCTCTGGTGCCGTGATCAGATTATTGTTCAGGTTCTGGACCATGATGCTGGCGAACTCAATGTCCTCGTCTTTCTCTATGCAATCGGCTAGTGTGCGGTAGATTCTTTCTGGCTGGAGATTGATGCACAACTGCCTGATAATCAGATTGCCTCGTATCTCAAGAAGTTTACGGTCCGTTGAGAAGAGCTGCAATAGGGCCACCATGAACGAGGAGAAGTATCCGTCATCAGAATTGATGGATATTTGCGACAGCAGCTGCAGATCTCGGATGACCACTGCATCGGCGGGATCGCTGAGTGTCTTAAGCAAAGCCGGGAAGGTTCCGTCGTTGAACGCGAGCACCTTCTTAGGCGCTTTGCGATGCAGCATGATCAGCCACCCCAGAGCAGCGACACGCGTTTCCTCATGCTCATTGAGGAACTGTAGTGTCAAGGCGTTGACAGCAGCAGCATAGTCTAGATCGGCGGCTGGGGACGGCGATGGAGTCTGAATACTCCTAGCAGCTGCTGGTACCTCTGGTAGGGGCTTGTTGAACTCGCTCGGTGCCTCGGACTCTCCGCCTTGCTGGTCTGCATGACCCTTTCGCGATTCGCCTTCAGGAATGCTTGGATCGTCTTGCAGCGTGACAATGTAATCCATTAGAGACCTGTTTACGCGGCTGGCTGTAGTACGGACACTATCAGCTCGTGCGCTAAGAGCCGGTAGAACTTGTGATACGAGTCGCGGTACGAATTGGAGGATGTCTTCTGGACTGACTTCAAAGAAGCTGTCAATCCACCTAAGAGCGACAACGCCAATGTCTTCTTCCTTCTCTTTGGACAAGCCCTCAGGTCCTTTGAAATCTGGGTCTTCGGCCTTTGTTGATGAAACGTTGATGAACTTGAGCAGAATGTCGAGGATTTGCGTATGCTCGACAAGGACATCCTGGCCCGGAATCCAGTCTCCATCCGTGTCTTGCTCGTCCGGAGACGCCGAATCGAAATCCTCGATGGCATTATCGTTCGAAGCTGAATCAGCGAGCGTAGCACTCTCGGCCTGGCTTTCTGTCCGTCTAGGTCGACCAGCACGACTCCGTCGGCTCTCGGCAATATCGCGCTTGATCTTCGCGATCTTCTTGATTTCGGTCAAGAACTTGTCTAGCAGACCATGAGTGGCGACATAGACATCTCTGTTGGAGTCGCCGAGGAAGGTGAATATACCGCCGAGAAAGGATGGTAGGTAGGATACCAACTCGAGGTCAGGGATCGTATCCAATAACGATAACCAGGAAACGAGGAAAGTCCTCGTGAACGGATTGTTGGTGAATAAACGTTCTTCAAGGACAGGTATGAACTTGTCGAGAGAGAACGCGGTCGGTAGCTCAGCGCTAGACTGGTCGGAGTGGTCATCTGGGGCGGCTTTCTCCTTGTAATCTAGCACAGATACGTATGAGGCGGCGGACTCGGACACAATATCCTTGACGAGACGGTCGAGGAGCTCAGCACCATTTTTTACGGAAAGCTCGGTGTCGGCGGATAGCTACACGAGGTTAATGATCACGGCATTGCGCAATGGGACCGGTAATACCTTGCAGAGGGCGTCGAAAATATCGTTGAAGAATCGAAGAATCTCTCCTTTGGCAACCTTGGCAATGTTGTACATAGCCTCGCAGGCGTAGTAGCGGACTCGGGCATCTTGGTCCGTGAAGCAAGCAAGAACAGGAGGCACTATCTCCGACAAGAATGGCGCTACTGCGTCCTTCTCAATCGTTAGCTGTGGTCGGGTACTATCGCAGCGAGATTCATACAGCGCCCAGCGCTATTGAGGCGGCGGCAAGACCGATAAGACCTCCATTGCGGGCGTGTGGCTGATGCACAGCATAAGCAAAATCGTGGCACAACTGGTCAACGACTTTGCTGATCTTATCGTAGTCTTTGGCGGCAGACGCCTCGCGGACAAGACGTTCAAGCCTGGAACACAGGCATCAGCAAGATAAGTCACATTGGGGGCCGTATGCTCGTACTCAAGAGCACCTTGCTTTCGCTTGTCGTAAAGTTTATCCGTCAGTAGGCGCTGGACAGACTGTTCCATTTTGGTCTCAGCAAGTTCATTGAGGGGTCGTCAAGATCATGGCGTGGAATGTGCAAGTTAGAGCCCCACTTCGATTGGGTGAACCAGCTCGGGAACTTGATAATCGCGACAGTGACGACCACGGCAAAAAGCGATAGATGGAAGCGTGCACGAGACCCGGAACCAGAAAACAGGGCAACGAGGAAACGGACCAACAAAACGCGTGGCGGACGCTGTTTGCGTGGAGGACGTGGAAGAAAGTCCGAATTAATCTGATTGGCCCGCGTGGGACGACGCCCCAACAGGGTTGGCATGGCAAGATACGAGTAACGTGTATACAAAGTGTAAAGGCACACGTCAATGTTTCTTGACTCTTTACATCTTTCTACATCATGTCTTATTCGTCTGTGTCCTAAGTGTCGTCAACACCTGCCCATGTCCACCACATTCGTTGTCGCCTCAGTGCTAAGCCACTTACGCTAACTAGTGAGAGATGTACTGAAACACTGCACTAACTGCCTCTTCTGCAGCTTCCTGCCTCAGCAGAAGATCCTGAATTCGTCCCAGTTGCCCCTGCTCGCCACTGTTGACAAAATGATTCCAGGTGCTGGTGTCTCCATAGAGCATGGCTGGTGCTTTGATTGTTTGGGTGCCGTCAGTTTTGCAGCGCTTGCACTTGAACGTGTCGTGTGTATCGCTTCTGGTATCTGGCTTGAACTGGAAGAGCTCTCTCAGCGACTCGGCCGAGAAATGTCTCTCAACGTCCTCCGCCGAGTCGACCACAGTGGAAGAGAGGGCTTGTTTGTGCGATTGACGTTGGAATATCTTCTCCTCGATCGTACCTGTTCCCATGAACCGGTAAACGAAGCAATCCTTCTTCTGGCCATCGCGCCACACGCGAGCAAGGGCCTGCTGGTCGGCGGCAGGGTTCCAGTCTGGGTCGAACAATATCAGTCGATTGGCACCAATCAAGTTGATGCCGCAGCCACCTGCCTTGCTACTCAGCAAAAAGACAAACTCCTCTCCGTTTGGATCATTGAACTTGTCGACAAGTTTCTGTCGTTTGTTGACGTTCATTGTCCCATCTAGCCTCAAGCAGCCGTACGACCTTGCCCGGCATAGCTTCTCCAGGACATCCAGCGTCTGAGTGTAGTTGCTGATCAAGACAATCTTATCGTTGGTGTCCTGGCGGATGCGGGCGAGCATTCTCTCGAGAATCTGGAACTTGCCAGACCACCACGACTTGACATCGCGATCGCGTCCACGGGCCTCCTTGGGAGCGTAATCCTCTGGCCAAACACCCTCGCTGCCTGGAAGATCTTTGTCGAGGTCAAGCAGATCGGGATGGTTGCATAGCTTTTTCAGGATCCCAATTGCCTTGAGTGGCTGACTTCCTTTGCCTTTCAGCAAGCTCTTAATCTCCGGGCTCTTAATAAAGTGATTGTACAGATCCAGCTGAAACGGAGCCATCTTGCAGAACACCACGTGCTCATACTTGATAGGCAGGTACTTTGATAGGATATCATTCGTTCTGCGGATAATGAGCTTGTTTACCAACGCTCCAAGTTCCGCGTTGGCCGCTTGGCCTTTCGCCTTGTCGGCGTCAGAACCTTCTGAGTCGCGTCCGCGTAGGATAGGTAGCTCGTACTTCTTCCGGAAATCTGCTCGAGTTCCAAGGTAGCCGGGGTTTGCAAAGTCAAGCAGAGCAAAGTACTCGGTGAGGTCATTTTGAATCGGGGTTCCAGATAAGATAACTCTCCGATCGACCTTCAATCGCGTGAGAGCCGTGTAGGTGTTGCTGTCCGAATTCTTCAGTCGATGTCCTTCGTCGCAGAGCATCAGGCCGATCTTCACGTCCTTGAGCTCTTCCATATTGAGACGCAGCGACTCGTAGGATACGATAATCACTGGTCGAGTGACCGCCCGTCCTGAAGCGATGGCCCATTGCTTGAGCTGAGACGACAACTCCTCTTTGGTGGCCTTCCCGTCGATGGCGAAAGGCGTGACGGCTCCTTCGCCCAGCCACTTCACTAATTCGTTCGCCCAATTCTTCACCAGACTGGCCGGGCATGCAACAATACACTTCTGGATAGTGGGTTTGCCGGCTTGAGGGCTCTGTTTGAGGAGTGTCCACATAAGTGCAATGCATTGCAAGGTTTTGCCGAGACCCATCTCGTCCGCCATAATGCACCCTTTGGCATTGTCATCGATCAAGCCCGTCGTAGCCCGGTACAGGAATCTGACTCCTTCCACTTGATGTGGTCGCAACTTTCTGGCAAGACGCGGGTCGATGACCACGGGCACGTTCGGCCTCTCGCCCTCGACCTCCTTCTTTATTCCTAGGATCTCTGCCAGACTTTTATGCATGAGGGGTACATCCAATGCTTTGACTTCCGGATCGTTCGGCTTTACTGCTGCCGGATCTGGCTTGTCGTCGACCGTAGGGTCGTATAGCACGATAGAGAACTCTCCACTTGGGTCATGCAGCGGCTTGTTCTGGAAGGGCACACCTTTCCTCATGCCCAAACTTGGTGCAGGGCGGGATGGATCATAGGCATTCTTGTTGATGAGTGGCACGGAGAACCTTGCCCTGAAGATTGTATCCTTGTCCTTGACCTTAAACACTGGGAACTTGTCTTTCAATGCGCTCATCTCGTCGTCGACATCCCCGCTGTAGCCACCACTACTATCGTTCTGACCATTGCCTTCTTCGGTGTAGTTCACCTTGCGCCGTTTTCGTGGTGGCTCCGAGGTCGTTCGACGTGAATTGGCGGAGCCAGGACATTTAAAAGGCTTAATGAGTCGATCGAGCGCAGCTGGGGAATTGATGCTCAAGCGGCCACTCTTTGCAGGTGGTACATTCTCCTTGTTGGCCCCCGCATCGGCCCTGGACTTTGGTCGTAACCTACAGGTATCAGCATACAACGCACACATCCTGAAAAGACTGCTTACATTGCCGAAAAAGGTAAGCTCGAAGATATGAGCGCTGTGGGCGACGGAGAACACTGCCCAGGACGGATTATCAGCGATTTGGAGTTTTGACGTGGCGGATTCGGGAGTAGACGCGCCGCAATGACCGAGACGCGTCAAAGGAGTCACGAAGTCACGGGGTCGCAAGGCTGGAGTTCAGCCTTGAGAGCCCCACTCCCGCGGCGTTGGTCCTGGTATTTCTTCAGTCTGTAGACGTCTTATTCTCAATGGTTGGTAACACATTCCTGACCTTGGCTTCACATCATCTTACAAGTCCTGGAAAGGCCGCACATGCTGGGTCATTTCAAATTACGGCAGCATGGCGACCAAGATGGAGGCATCCACGACAAATCCACGAGGCATTCCAACTTTCCCTTTCATGACCAATGTGAGCGACTACGTTAAGAGCATTGAAGAGGTCGAACCCACGCTTCAACGGTTCCAAGAGATGGTATCCAAGTACACATTTATGCAGCAGAACGTTGATAGACGAGCCGCTGGTCTCAGGGAAAAACTGCCTGAAATGAAGGACACTCTCGATACTGTCAGATTTCTGAAGAAGAAGCGGACTATCGCTCTTGATTCGAAAGAGAATGGCGATTCAGACGAGCTCGACGACGAACTAGGAGACAGCAAGCCCGATCCGCAGGGAATAGAGGCGACCTTCAATCTACAGGATACGCTGTATGCGAAAGCCACGATACGTCCAGCCGAGGTGGATGAGGTCTACCTATGGCTGGGAGCCAATGTTATGGTTGCTTATCCACTTGATGAAGCCGATGAGATGCTGCAAGGAAAGCTTGACAAGGCTCGTGACAGCCTCAAAGCTGCGGAGGAGGATTTGGAGTTTCTGAGAGTGCAAATCACTACACTTGAAGTCGCCATTGCTCGTGTCCACAACTGGGATGTTGGCGAGAAGCGAAGACTGCGGGCCGAGGGCAAGCTCAAGGACGACGGAAAAGGGAAAGACTGAATATGTCACCACTTCGAGGTACAGCTTCATTGACCATCAAACGCTCTCGTACGACAAGAATCTGGCAAGTTGCCTGCAGTACCTACCACTGGATCCGTTCTCTCTGATGCCTTGCGCAACCTCGGTCTCAAGCAAGTCGATTGAGTGAAATACGGTAGCGATGATCCCAGATGGTAGGTAAGGCCGGCAGCAAATCACACTACCTTTGTCACAACCAAGCCCCGACTTCATTATCACAGACAAAGCCAGTTTGTGAAGTTGCAACTGGTCACTGCAGTAAAGCATTTGGGAAACAAGATCCATTCACTGATGACAAAGTTAATAGTCCAGGATTTCGAAGTGGCAATTTTCATGTCACACGCTTCTTTGTTAGCCTCTACAATACTGCGGTTGCATGGCTTCCACCACCAGGGCTACTAATAACTCCATGGATCGTTCCGGAAGCTGAATTCCAGAGTATCAAGTTCTCAAAACCTGTGCACGGCTTTCCAAAATCCTCGACTCGTTTCCCACACTTCTCATCCCGAATCGTCGCTGCCGCCAACATGACTTCTCCGATTTCGGATTCAAACTTATCTCGAAAGTGGTCTTACGCAAAGGCGCGCATGCGCTTTCGTCAGAACATGCGAGGCGTCAAGGCGGTCTGTAAAAGAGGCTGGGAAGCATTTCTCACCATCAAAGTTCCCACACCATTCTCAAAGCGACGAGCGAAGATCTCTCAGCCAAGCGAGTATCGCGCCAATCCAAATGCTGATGGCGACTTCTCCGATCCCAAGTATCTTGTTCCCAGTCGGACCGCACCAGAGCCGTGCCCTCGGCGACAACAGGTCAAGGCGGTCTCAAGATGGAGCCCTGACAGCCGGGGGTATAATCCCATCAGCCTGGCCAGTGCATTCAGCAATGCGACCAGTGATGTTTCGCGGCCTGAGCAAGATTAGGAGCAGGAGGAACAGCGAGCAGTGAAAACGAGTAGTCACGTCTATTTTAAGGCAGCATTACTTCACAGCGTCCAGTCAAGCTCGGCAAGGCAAAGTCATAACTTTGGCACAAAGCAGACAAGAACAGCCAGTGGGAGATCGGCAAAAGACCATCTGACAAAGCCTTTTATGTGGACGTTCTTCTTTCTTTATTGCCAACTGTCGTCTATATGGTCCTGTCTTTCGCAAGTTTTGCTTCTCGTCCCGCATAGATCGTGTATACGTTGTACTCTGTACAACTGATTCGAGCTAAAGAGATACAGAGTCAAGAAGCTAGAGAAAGCTACGTCTTTCACGATGTCCAACAAGTCTCTACCCCCAAGCCGACGTAGCCCTTCTGGCTATGGATCAACGACTCGTGCCGGTTCGCAATCCACTCGTAGGCGATCTGACACTCCTAACAGAACCATATCTCCGGTGAGCAACTTTTCCCGTCCAGGTTTCGGAGCGCAGCCTGCTCATCACTGTCATACACCGTCGTGCGAAACGAGTTCTGCACTGTCGACTAGGCCGACATGTTCAGTCGTATATGACAATGGCACTGGCGTGTTCACAGACGACATAAAAGAAGAGATTCGTCGAAAGGGTAAGCTACCGCACAATATCGAAAGCACACCTGAACTTGCAGCTTTACTGAACAAGCCTCTTCCCGTACCTCACACGCCCAGGACACCTCAACCTCGTTCACGAGAGTCATTCACTCTGGCAGATGTTCCTAGTGGTCGTGCTCAGATGGGCAGAGCGGCGCATGTAAAGAGCATGATGGCTGTCCGTAGTAGCGACTCGTCTACCAGAACGAGCCAATTTCGAGGCCCGCAGCATTTGTGCAACAATTTCGAGACCACCTTTGCATCAAACGACACTCGCCGGCAACAGAACTCCAGCACTCACGCAGCCACTGCCAATCAAGACGATTCGCCCCACAAGTTCAACAGCCCTCGGGTCAAGGAGGTCTCCAGATGGAGTCCCGACACTCCCCAGTTTCCTCCAACTGAAGTAATCAGAGCTATGCGTAGCGGGCCTGATGAACCCACGAGCCGCAATTTGTGGAATATTGTCTCTGCCACACACCCTTCGACGGCACTCCTTCTCGCATCACGCTCTCCTTACGTCCACCACATGATGCTTGACTGTCCATCTCTAGTCCTCAGTCTCCAAGATGCCACGCTCCCGATACTGCCAGCAACAGGTAAATCTACTCGCCCATCTCCATGGTACGAAGGATGGCCCACCACCGTCCAGCCTCTTCAAAGGCGCACCTTGTCCAATTTACGCACCACAAATATGGAGCCTGAACCATACAATGGTGTTGCAAAAGGCGATTCACACCAGCCACGCGGCCAAGCCATGCACTTCTCGCGTTCCTATGGCTTCCGCTGGAGCAAGAGAACGCGCGAGCACGGTCCGGAGACGGACTATGCCCACCCGAGCTTCGCAGGCAGTGTGGCGGCGAGCCGATCGCTATGGCAAGCGAGCTATCGCGATCTCAACAGCCGAATTATGGCGCCTGTGATGAGTGTGGCAAAGGGGGGAAGAGAACGAAGACAGAGTCATGGGAAGGGCACTGGCTAAGGAGAGGGAATCTGAAGGATCTGAGGTGGAGGAAGGAGCAGACGGGCTGTTCTGTGTCTGAAGACGCTGAAGCGGCGTCATTAAAGGAGAGACGTAGATGGGTAGATGAGGGAAGAGGCAAGAGTTGGGGCAAGGTACAGCAAATAGTGAGAAGGGGCACTGACCGCATCATGGGTGCTACAAGGGAAGAGAAGTAGGATTCGGGCCAGTTTCGCACCAAGCGAGAATATTAAGCACCTCGGTATCATGCCGGGGGCCCGTGTGGACCATGTGATTCTTTGCAAGCCAGGATGTAGCGGATATTTATCTGGTTTTCGAGGTGTTGTGCTTTGGATTGTGAAGCCAGAATAAAAATGCCAAGAGGCAGCGAAATCCATGGCAATTCCCTTGATTGGTTTGGGGTGACACCGCAAGCTCATTGCCATGCTCATCCCTGCGTCTAGCCTTTGCAGAAAGGTCAAGCGAACGTCTGGGCCATCGAGAACTCTCGCCGTTAGATCACAGTTGGACTACAATGACAACAAAGGACGCCGTTAATGCCGAATATGTTGGCCCGCGGAAGCTCCGAAGCCTCATAGGGTCTATTGGCTCGGTACTGTCCAGGCAGCAGCGTATCTGTCATATGCTAGACACATGAAATGGAGGACTCCTATATACTGGAACAGGGTCGACGCAATTACTACAGCAGGCTTCCACCCGGATCTATTTCATAGCAACTCGACCTTCACTCTGCCCCCGGCCTGAAACCAAGACACCATTGCTTTGAGGCAGCCCTGTTTAACACAACACTTCGGTACTGTCTGCCTGCGGTCAGTATGGACGCCCAGATCGCCGAGATCAAGAAGCTGTACGATCAGTCTGATGAAAGCGGACGCATCGCTATCAAAGAGAGTCTGCATGACCTTGTCAATAGCCTCGAGGGTCCGAGAGGGACCATGTATCAAACCTTCAATGCTGTATGAGAACCCTAGCAGCCATATGTGTCGCTCGAACTGATGTCTCGACAGTTTGTGCAACTCGCTGTCATTCGTGTCGGCATCAACATAGGTCTCTTCGGTCACCTGCAGAGCAGTATAGCAGAGCCACTGTCTGTGGATGAGCTTGCGGAGAAGACAGGCGCAGCTCCTCAACTACTCGGTACGTAGGTGGCCATGCTCAACAACAAAGGCACACTCTGGTTGGATTCCACGCTTGTATCGCAAGCCCTTCATCTGCAAAGATGTTGTGGTCCTGGACTCTGTCCCTGCAACCACCTGACTTTCTTGCGCTGCTTCTGTCATGTGGCATCCTTTCCCTTCGGCCCTCCCACACGTGATAATCATAGAGCTAACAGAGTGTAGTCCGCCTCCTTCGCTACCTGGCCTCGTCGTCTCTACTTACCCAGTCATCCCCAACCCATTTCTCACCCAGGCCAATGTGCCGCCTCTTCGCGTCCCCACAGGGAGAAGCGCTCATAATTCACGCCTTCGACACCATATCTCCTCCTATGTTAGCACTCCCCTCCTTCCTCGTGTCCACCAACCACCAAGACATCACCGATACCACACACACCCCGTACCAGCAGGCCTTCAACACCACCCTACCAGCCTTTGAGTTTCTCGCCCAGCCCGGCCGAGAGAAGCAGTTTGACGCCTTTCACACGACGATGACGGCCATGCAAGACGCAAGCTGGATGGAAGGCCTGCAAGTGCTCGACGCCGCCGCCGAGCAGGCAGGCGAGCACGAATCACCCTTCTTCGTTGATGTCGGTGGCGGGCAAGGACACCAGTGTATCCAATTCCTGAAGATGTATCCTGCCTTGAAAGGTAGAGTCGTACTGCAGGATCTGTCAGAGGCGGTCAGCAAGTCTAATATCGATGGAGTGACGATCCAAGAGCAGGACTTCTTCACCGAGCAGTCTGTCAAAGGTTAGTGGACCAACTATGACTGCCAGAAATACCCCCTTTTCACCCTCCAGTGACTCTCAGCTTGTGCTATCAGCCCAAGATCCGGGAAACGATTCTGACGCCGTGACAAAACAGGAGCAAAGTTCTACTACCTCCGCCGCATTCTCCATGACTGGCCCAAGGAGCAGTCGAAGCTTATCCTAGCCCATCTCGCCGCCGCCATGGACTCAGAATCACGCATACTCATCGACGAGGTCGCGCTACCAGACATGAACGTGAGCCTGCAAGCCGCGATGCGAGATATAACGATGATGGTGCAGCTGGCGGGGGTGGAGCGAACGCAGCAGGAGTGGAAAGAATTGGTGGATGCGGTCGAAGATGCCGAGGGGAAGAAAGTGCTGGAGATTGAGAGCGTGCATGAGTACGCAAAAGATGTTCATGGGTGTGTTACTGTGCTGAAGCTTAGATAGCTTGTGGCACAGTCATGAATGAGGAGGACTGGGGCTGCATAACGTTTTGGGAAAGGAGGGATGCTTGGTTAGCGAGGACCGGGCCTGGAATGCTCTCAGCTTAGCCTTACCGTGTAGAGTAGATCTCCCCTTCGCCACTAATGAACTTCATGTCGATCAAATCCCACATAAGCAATGCTGTGTACGCCCAGCAGGTGAACTGTGGTGCAGCGTCGGTCCAGGCGACCAGCGCCGGGCACAGATAGCAGACAAAATTGGGGAGGGGATCTGTACGCGGGACAGAGAGCAAGAAGACGTTCGAAAGAAAGGACAGAATGAAGATCATAACCGGTCGCGGAAGTAGATCGAGTCCGGTGCTTGTCGTTGCAGAAGCCGAAGATTGGTTTTGTCGATACAATGCTGGCCCACACTACTTGCTAGCCCTGCTTTCCCCATCACCCGTGACAAATTGACTGACATCCCTTCCGTACGTGGCCGCTGATGATGATGTCCCTCCGAAATCTTCCGCTGGCATTTCCCGAAAGCACTCGAAAGGGCTCTCGCTTTTCGTTGCTTATGGACTCATTCTGACGCAGAGAAGACTATTCTCCCCGGCCTTTCAGGGACTCGCAACCACATAGTCGTACTCGGCCACCATGCCTACAGCGCCAGTTTCGCCACAAGGCACTTCCTAGATGCGAGCCTTGTGGTCGTACTTGGTCTGCATGAGCTGAAACTCCAACTCGAGCTCATCCGCGGTGTATCCTGAGATACAGCGACGGCGAGCTGATGCCCGGCGTTGTAGTGACGACTCGTTGCCATGGATGTTGTTAGTGTGGCAACTGTCCAATTCAGATCCTAGACGCTTCACTTCGGAGCCAGCGTAGAATAATCCGCCAAGGAGAATAAGCAGGATGCAGAAGAGGATGAATGTGATCAGTTCGAGTTTTCTGTTCTGGTGCTGAAGGGCACAATATGCGTGAGTGTCGAGGACTGGTGGAGAGTCTTCAGGATCGGCAGGGTTGACAGGTCCATTGAGGATCGCGTAGGTGGAGAGACCGGTATGATGATATGGTGGAGGGCTCTCGCGGGCATCGGCGATGTCGCCAGATTTGACATTGTGGCAGGACATCGCGGAATGGCTGTCAAGAATCTGACGAGATAATGGGTGGCGATGGTTTCCTGTGAGTTTGCGGCTTAGGATGGGGCAACGAGGTGTATGCGGGAAGGAATCTCGAAGTTCAGAAAAAGACAAATTTATCGTGTGCTAAACGCCTTTCACTGTGCAGCTGCAAGGCTCATTCGCAATTGTGTCACGAGTGAAAGGCAGTGTGAGACTTTTCGCACCCATGCGTCAATGTCAGGTAGTGGCACCAAGAGGCTGATTTCACTGCGCAAGGGGCGGTCAGGCCAAGTGACCCTTGCCTCGACCGGCTCGAGCTTGATCGTCGGATATTCAAAATCTTTATCACTTCGAATGGTGGCTCGGACCAGCTTCCTCATCCTGTTCTTCGTCCTGGCGCGGCAAAGAAGCACCCATCATTCCCAGCATATTGCCACCTGGCCCTGCTCGACCCGCTTGTGCTTTGAGGCTCTCGAGCAAGTTCTGGGCCAGGTTGATATCGATATCGTTGTCGTCCAGATCATCGTCTGACAGGTCTGAATCTGCACCTTCACCTTTCAGGGCTCGTTCAGATGCGTTGAGGTCAAGTGCACCCTTCTCACGAAGTTCCGCCTCGAGATGTCGCATGTGTGCCTCGAATTCCTCATCGCCATCACCACTATTGGCAGCCTCTGTCATTGTGGTCTTCGTCCGAGCCGCTGCCAATTCGCCTGCCTGTGAAGCAGCCGCTTCCGAACCCAGCTCTCCCTTCATCAGCTCTGCCATGACTTCAGGAGGCATTCCCATCATCTCCTGCATCAGCTTCGTGAAGTCGTCTTCTCCAAAGCTGGCCATCTTGTCTTCCCCACTTTCGTCGTCAGTGTCGTCGTCTAGGTCATCGTCATCATCATCCAGTTCGTCCCCGTCACCAAACATGCCGGCTCCGTCAGAGCCGGCTTTCTCATCGTTCATGAACTCTTCGAACTGCTTAACAATCCTCTGCAGATTCTCATGTGTCGCTTTGTCACCAAACTCACGCTTCTTTCCCGCATTCGGCTTCGATCTGCTGCTATCAAGCTCATTCTCCAGGTCTTCAAAGTTGATATCCATCCACTTCTCATCATCTTGTCGCATCTCCCAATGAGACATGGTCTCATCCGTCGGTAGCACCTCTTCGCCGGCGTCGAGGTCCTCCAACAAAAGTTTCATCTCTCGCACAGCAGGTTTATCTTGGTGCTGAGAATCTGTCAGAAGCATCTCAAAACCACATGTGATTTTCATTCCTGTTTCCGCTCGAATAAAGCCCTCCCCCTCTAGTTGCGCCGGCATCATGTCTCTCAAAGCAGCAGGAGCAGGAAAATCCTGTGACCTCAACTGTGCGTAGGCAACCTTCGGAAACCGTACACTAAGTGTTACCGTATCTGTGGGTGGGATGGGCAACGTTTCTCTTCCAGTTTTGCCGCTCAGTCTTGTGAGTGAGACTGGATCTCTCAAATAGAATGCTTCGACAGCCGGAGCAATATATGCTGGATTCTGTTTCAGCAGGAAAGCTATTATTCTCGGCACAGTCACCAGCGCGTGATGGATGTTGTCGTTGATTTGCTGGGGGTAGTTCCGCAACCGGTAAAAGGCTTCCTCCTCCATCAAAGTCGAGTGCATAAGCCGCTTCGGCGCTTTCAGAATGATTTGACGAGCCTCGGCTGGATTTAGTTTCTCTTCTGTTCGTTTGGCTGACCGGGAGCCTGCTGCTGGCTTGATGATCTTTAGCTGGCCATCATTGATATAGACTCGATTCTCCGCAACATCAGGTTCTAGCCAACCGGGAAGTGAGCCCGACGCCTCAATCAGAAGGAATTCGCCATCAGTATCCGTCACCTTGACCCAGGCGTCGCTGAACTTCTTCGTAATCTCTCGCAAAATCCAAACGACTACCCATTCGTCCTCGATCGAGTCACCATACTCGGTACGCCCGCGAAGAAAACTAACTCCTACATTTTTGGTTAGATCCCTCTTGAGTGCCCTGCCATCGTGGGTACCGACCTCACCATCGTCTTTTTGTACTTCCAAGGAGAAAGTCTGACGCTGCCATATGTAGTCACGTAGCCATTGCTTCTGCAAACTGACTGCGTATTTCTGAAAGTCCCTCAAGCGTAGCCTTGTCTCGGAGTCGTTGGTGGAATCTAGGGATGACGACAGAGCATAGATGGTGTACTCAATGCAATCATCAGGCAGTGCAGCTTTGGGTATTGGATGAAATGTTGACTTGAACCACGCAATATCTTCCTCTGTCGGCGCCATTTTGCTTGATGTTGAGCTATTGGAACCGATCGCGAAAACATCGTCGAGTGACGTCCCTTGAGAAACTTGCCAAGGCCTGAGATCTGCGCTAATGGCGGCCACTCCCGGGTCGACCTTACCTATTAGGGCCTGGATGTCAACAAACCACCGCGCCATCACCTCTCTGGCCACAGTGCCAGTCTCACCCACATGCTTACCTTTGTATCTTAAGCGCATCCTGGGGTTGGTCATGAGTAGTAAGATCTAGCACATCTGCGCATCAACTGAACAAGATGCCGGCGCCGTACATCAGCACGCCGCAAACGACAGACGCGACATACCTCACCAATGGCCTCGATCGGCTGGGCGACATGTCGCCCGAAAAGTCCTTCTTCGCCCCGCCCCAGAAGCAGGACTTGATCAGCCAGATGCGAAGTGCACGACAAAATGGTGGCAACCTGAAGACACCTCGAGCCGGTGGCCGCGACGCCCTCCGACTACTTCCCAATGGAAACAATGGCAAGGGCGAATTCACACCCCTCATGAAGAGCGTAACGAAAAACAACATTGCCCGACGAATGTCAGGACGCAAGTCCGTTGGTTCGGAGACGCCGGACTATCATAGGTCGGGCTACGCCCACGGCGCGACACCTGCTCTCCCTAGATTGGATGAGAACTCACAACTTAATGGAGATCACACATCCAGCTCGGCCATTAACGACAGCGATTTCACGCCTCTGCCACATAATCTTAGCAGTAGCGCACATAGTACGCCATTAGCTCAGCTACCCTCACGAACCGCTGGCGGCGTGGTCAATGATGGGAATATGATGACGTTGAGAGAGCAGGAGGGTATAATTGACAAGATTGAGAAAGAAAATTTCGGACTCAAAATGAAGATACACTTCTTAGAAGACGCCATGTCGAAACGTGGTGGTGAGTTCAATGCGGCCGCGTTGAGGGAAAACACCGACCTCAAGGTTACCAAAATCACAATGCAGAGGGAGCTCCACAAATTCAAGAAGAACATTGCTCAAGCAGAAAGAGACGCTGAGGTATACCGATTACAGCTGGAGGAATACCGCGAGAAAATCAAGCGACGACATGCTGATGAGACCACACGCGCCGAGATGGAGAGGCTACGAGACGAGCTCCGCCAGAAGGACGAGCTGCTTGAAACGCTTCAGGACGAACAAGAAATGTCACACGCAAAAGACACGGCTGAAACCAAGAGGCTGCGAGAGGAACTGGAAGATGTACAAGCCGACCTGCGGGAAAAAGAACGCCAGCTTGAGAGTCGCGAGGACGAAATCGATGAGCTCAAGCTGAACGCGAGCAAAGAGTCGAATGCTGCGGCCGAGCTGGAAGACGAACTGGACTCTGCGAGACAGCAAATCGAAAACTTGAAGCAAGATCTAGGCAAAGCTGAGCAGGAGGCAAGCGAAGCAAAGGATGACCGTGAAGACGCGTTTGCTGGGAAGCGCAAAGCAGAACAGGATCTGGAAGAACTCCAAGACGAAATGGCCAACAAATCTTTCAGTACGAAAGGCTTGAACAGGCAGCTCGAGGAGAAAACTGCTAAGCTTGAGGAGGAGCTGGAAGAGCTGCAGGAGCATTTCAACAAGTCGCAGAAGGAACTCGACGAGAAGTCTCAAGCTGAGCGGAGATTGCAAGAAAAGGTGCGCGACCTCGAGAAGGAGGGTGCAGCCGATGCGCGCGGCCTGCGCCAGGAACTCGAAGTAACCCGACAACAGCGTGACACTTTTGAACGCAAATTCAACCACATGGCCAAGCAGGTTGAAACACTTCAGAAAGAGCTCCAGACGCTATCCGATGAGAAGGAACTTCTGCAATCACGCCACGATGCTCTGACGACAGAGTCTGCGCAGCTGCAGAAAGACCTCGAGCAATCCAGAAAGTCCATTCACGCCCTAGAGGAGGCTGTGGAGGATGAGCAACGTCGCGCTGCACAGCAAGACAGCATCCTGCGTGCTCAACATCAGCAAGAGATCGACCTTCTTAACGAGCAAGTGGACAATCTACACCGCCAGGTTAACTCCAAAGAGAATGATCACGCAGCGGACCTTGAGGAATGGGAAGCTAAGCGCAAAAGCCTCGAGTCATCATGGGCAAAGGCCGACGAGAAAGCCACCGGACTTCAACGGACCGTCGACAAACTTCACGATGCCCAGGGTACTTTGTCTGGCCGCGAGATGAAGATGCACGAAGCTCTAGAGAGCGAGAAGCAACGCCATCTGCAGGAAGAAAAGGTGCTCACCAAGCAGATCGAGGAGCTTAATGAAGACCTAGCGCTGAAACGCTCCACCGCAGAAAATAGTCGCACAGAGGTCAACAATGCCAAAGAGGAGCTGCGGATCTCCATCCGTGAACAGGCTGCTCTCAAAGAGAAGGTCGCCGATCTCGAGGAAGAGATAGAAGTCCTACAAGCCGACATGGAGCAGGAGCATCAGCTCTTGGAGGAGCTTCAGAAGAAATCTCACGAGAGTGTCGACGCCCAAGTTTCGAAACTCAGAAAGGAGAAGCAAACTCTGCAGGACAGCTTAGCCAACGTGCAAATCGATCTCAGCAATGCCCGTCGCGACCTCGGTATCGCAGAGAATGATCGTGATGATCTCGAGGCCAAATTACAGAAGCCCTCGAAGTCTCCGAACGATACCTTCAACGTCGACACTGAGAAGCGTGACCTGAAACGTTCCAAGCAGAAACTTGAGAAAGAGGTGGATCGCTTGAAGACCGAGCGCGACAATCTTGCCAAAGCCAATCAGGACCTCGAAGATGAGATCAATGGCGAATTAGAGAGGGCTGCAGCTGAGGAAACCCGTCTCAACCAGGAATTAGACCAGCTGCGCAACCAGAGATACAGCAAGGCCGAGGACCGCGATCGTGAGCTTACGTCGGCGACGAACAAAGTCACAAGGCTTGAGGCTCGAATCAAGGATCTTGAAAACATGCTGGATAACCAGTCGAAGCTTGCTGCGTCTCCTGATGCAGATATCTCTGGACTCAAACAAGATATGGCCGACGCACGAAAGAACGAAGCTTCCGCACTCAAGCGCGAAACGGAGCTCAAGACAACAAATCGTGACTTGAGGATGCAGATCAATGATCTTGAGCGCGAATTGCACGATGCTCGTCTTGCTCAGTTGAAATCTCCTTCCGTTTCGCCGCCGTCCTCCAACTCCAAAGAACTGGCTCGACTGCGACAAGAACTTGTTGACGCTCGTGCGGACCTAAAGACTGCCCGGACACGAAACCATGAGCTAGAACGCTCATCTCGCAACATTTTCAGAAAAGAGGCTGAGCAACCTGACAGCCTCCAAGCCCGTATAAAATCCACTACCGCAGAAGCTAGGGAGCTGAGCGAGAAAGTTGCGGACCAGGAGAACGTCATCTCGGATCTCCACATTGAAATCCAATACCTTCAAACCCAGCAGCAAGAAACTCGCAACATTTCGCAGACTCTCATGTCTCGTGACCGCCAGATCAAAGACCTCGAAACCCAGCTGGCTCGCCTCGAGTCGCGCCCCCAAAAAGCTGGCGCCCAAGACGTCAACGACTTATCCGTGCGCCTCTCCACGCGCGACAGCGAACTCAAAGAGACCAAGCGCCAGTTGCTTCGCATTCGTACCGAGCGACGAATTGCGAACGAGAAAGCCGATGCTGTCGAGAACGAGCTTGAGGTCTTGCAAGGCCGCTATGAGGGTATGCTCGAAAAGCTGAGCTCCGGACAGCATAGCAAGGATGAAGTCCGAGAGAAAGAAGTCCGAGGCCTGATGAAAGAGATCACGTTCCTCAAGGCGCGCTGCAAGCGTGCAGAACGCCTGAGGAAGGACGCTGCCTGGGCGAAAGACTGGGTCAGGAGGGAGGAGCAGGTCAGAGTCAAATGGTAAGTCTTTTTGATCTCAGATCCGTTAATCCAGTCCTTCGAACTAACAGAATGACAGTAATCAAATCGACCTTCGTATTCTTAAGGAGATGGGCGTTCAAATCCCGAGACGGGAGAAGTACGAGAAGAAGCTCTCACCAAAGCAAAAGTTTCGCGCCGGCGTCTTCACGGTGATTGCGGCGATGCGCATCAGCAACTTGCAAGAAGACTGGGCGGAGTGGAAGGCCGTAGGCGAGGAGTTGAAGGCCGCCAGTATGGGTGCTAAGGGGAAGGCAAAGCAGCAGTCGGAACGGAGGCGTGCTTCGAGCGGTGTCGAAGGCAGGACGACAAAGATGCGTGGGGTGTAGGCGCTCTTGGTGACTTTTGCGCGGTTGGCTAGCAGCATTGAGCATGTATTGGGCGTTGGGGCAATTGATCCCTAGGGTGGTTGTTTGGTAACTGCTTGCATAGCACGGGCGTTCTGGGTCTTACGAAGTCATGACCCTTTGGATCAAAGGACCTAGCGTGGCCATTGCAATGAATGCGTATCGTTGACCAAACATTTCCTCACAAAATTCTCTTTCTCTGAAGACCCGGTCTTCAAATATCATTGTAACCAATCAGCCCAACCTCCTGCCTCGCCCTGCCATGATTTCGCGCCTGATCAGCCATACCCCACATCCACGCCCGGCCCGCCTCGCCTGCATACAGGCCGACGAAGGCATCGTTCCGCCCCGCCTCCGCCATCCACGACATTCGTGCCTCTAAAAGGTCGCTGCCCATGTGGCTCAGGAACTCGAGAAACCGGTTGTCATCATCGGACGCCAGGGCCATGGCGTTGCTCGCGATGCCGTGGCATAGACACGGGGGCTTGGTGAGCAGGCCCCGCGCTTCGAGCACTGGCTGCGCGGAGGATATAGCTTGCTCGATGCGTGTAGACAGATCCGAGGTGGCTGATGGGTAGTAGGGTGCCAGGCTAGTGAGGGAAATCACGATCCCAGGTGCACCGTGGCAGAATTGGACGAGGCGGTCTGACGTGGTTTTTTCGGGCAGGGAGGAGGAAGGGAAGTTGCCGCTCTCGAGCTGGAGGTCTAGGATGGCGTGGATGCGGGATCCAAGCTGCTCGGCGTGTTGATTAGGGGTGGCGGAGGAGAGCAGGATCTGCGTGATGATGCCGATGGAGCCGTGGACGGCGCCGATGTAGGGTTTGCCGTGCCAGATCCATGGTTGTGGTGAGGCTAGGATGCGAGTGATGGTTGTGGCGATTGTTTTGGAGATGGTGTCAATGAGTGAGCTGTGTGAGGATGCAGGGAACGCGAAGCGGACCAGGCGCAGGAGATAGAGGTAGCCGGCACGGCCGTAGAGCCACTCGTCCGAGCCGTTTGGTTGGGCGTTGATGGCTGTGGAGTAGGAGCAGAGCTGCTGGGCGAGGCTGGCGTCTTCGAGCAGGGCGGCCCGGACGGCCAGCTGACTGAGGGTTTCGTTGGCGACGCCACAGTGATCAGGGTCTACGGGTTCTCTACCGTGGCGGCCGCTGGTGATGTAGGAGGACCCGAGCTCAAGGTAGGATGCAGCCCAGTCAGATAGTGACTGTGACTTGAAAGTCAGGTCAGGATAGAGCTGGGCTAGGCGGTAGAAGAGATATGCGACCGAGGTTGGCCCCGAATAGAGTCCTGAGAATCTCCAGCCAGTCGAGCATGTCTGAACAGGTGGGTTGAAGGTATTGATGCGAGTCAGCGAAGCCAGCAGTTCCTCCTTGGGATCTGCAAGAATTGGAGGCTCCTTGGGAACGAAGTTTCGATACATGATAGACCAGCTTTGGAACGGGACCAAAATCGTGAAGTGGTGCTCACGGCGTCATGCTAAACGATATAGATGTAAAACGTTAGAGAGAAACAGTGGACATCAGTCTGGTGGGGACCTTTGCTGAAAGTGGTGTGAAGGATCAGGTTCTCAACCTGACATAGGACCTTATCATTTCACGCAATCGAGTCGAACAGCGCAAGGCGTTGACTCGTCGGGGTGAGTAATGCTGCTGATCCCGAAGGAAGCACTTGGAACGACTTCTCTTCAGCAGAGCACTGGTGGGGAATCAGGTAAGACAGGCTCCACGGACATCCAAAGCTTTAGTCGAAAGCGTATCAACCGCCTGGCTAATGACAGGTTGATATCAAAATACGGCAAAGCAACGACGACTACAAAGCCTGAGCACTGCAGAGTGGAAAAATACGTAACACGGTATGTTGAATGTAATGTGATGTCACAAGTAGAGCTGTGGGGTATATTTCCCCGCAAACTACCTGTAAGAGTAGCGTTTCAATACTGGCCCCTCAAATCAACGTCGTCCATCGGCGGTCCGAATCTCTCTTCCACCTCGCCCATCGATTCCAGCAAGATGAATGTCACGTACTACACGCTACTGCAGGGCTCACCCGAAACGGCCCTCCAACCTGTACTCGACCTCAACAACCAGATCTTTCAAGTCGACACCGCCGCATCAGGCACGCACCATGGCTCGCTCACCGAGTGGCAGAAGCGGCTGGGTGAACCTTTGTCCATCATTGTTTGTGCCGGCCTGAATGGACAGACACAGGGAGACACTGAGATCAGCCCGGTCGGCTTCATTTTCGCTCACCCAAAGCAGCACGGTGGGGATTCTCAGCCCGCCTTGCATATCTGGCTGGCGGGCGTGCTACCTGCTAGTCGCGGGTCCGGCACGTTCCATGGATTGATGACCCGGGTCGAGCGTCACGCACGAGAGAAGGATGTCAAGACTCTGAGCGTCGCAACATTTCCAGCAAAATTTTCAAGAATGTATTCCATCTTACGGGGGACGGGGTGGTCGGGCGAGAAAGACCTCGGTGGAGGCAAAGTTCTCCTTACGAAAGCGCTGACTTGACGAATAATTGCCTGAGGCATCAACGTGCCTAAAAGCCTACGAACCCATCTGCTTCGCCCGTTGCACCATCCAGTCGCCTGCTGTCAGGATCTTGCCGCCCTCAGGCTCGAACTTGCCCGCAACCTTGAGGTCATCTTTCAGGTCCTTGAATTTCTCGCACGGCTCCATGATAACTTCGTTGTGGGGGCGAACGAAATACACAATCGAATATCGATCGACGTTGACCTGCTCGCCCGGCGCCGGCACGACTCGGTGCTTTGCCGACTTCAGCAACCCATTGGTGAATGTCACCATCGCATCTCCAAGATTGATGATGGCATGACCCTCCATCGGCTTCACGTACTCCCACTGACCCAGCGTTTCCGGATTCCGCGACTGGATCTGCAGCCCACCCAGCCAGTTAAAGAGAATGGTAATACTGCCAAAGTCGGTATGCGATGGCAGCCCGATTGCGTCCTTGTCACTCACGTGCGCAAACTTATGCGTAAGTCGGCAGTGGTCGCCACTTGGCTTGGTGAAGATGTTCTTCTCTGTAAATTCCGAAGGCGGCAGACCCAACTGCTTTGCGAGGGTGCCCAGGAGGATCATGCCGAGCTGGTGCGCATTTTTGGTGAACGCCTGGAAGAGCGGCTTGTTGTCCGTGATCTCGGAAGGATAGTCCCGAGTCGGCTCGACCCCGTGCATGTGGTCCTTGGACACGTTGAAGAACTCGGTCGTGTCTGGACGAAGGTTGGGATCGGTCTTTTTGACTGTGCCGGGCTTTCTGGGTGTACTGGTCAGCGATGGTCCGTAGTTGTGAGGGTGGGTGTTGCCTACTTATACCCGAAAAGGGAGACGCCTTTGATGAGCTCGTAGGGGTCCTTTTCCTCGCTAGGGTGGTCGAAGGCCTTGTACGAGAGCTGAAGAAGGTCTTCGGACTCTGCGAGGAGATCCTCACCGAGAGGCGTCGAGCTAAGGTCTAAGTAGAAGAATCCGTGAGTCCGGCATGCCTCCACAGCGGACGCTGCCTCGGCTTCATCGCCGTTCAAGATCTTGGAAAGTGTAACACTGGCGATGGGAGCAGTAGGCACGTCAGAGGGGAACGGCGGAAGTGAGCCGAGCGAGTTCTTGACGATCATGGCTGCTCACAGCGAGGCTGGGCACTTGGGCAGGACGTAAGTTGTTGAATGGATGTATAGGCAATGCACAATGGAGACGTCCTTCAACCAGGCATATAAATAGACGAAACAGTAGCTAAGTCGCGAACGCAGCTCTATATATCGGATGATGGTAACGGGTAATGAAGAAGTTGGAGAAAGAGAGCAGACTTGGCCATATGGCTCAAAATGCTAATTGACGAGTAAGACGATACAGAATTAGCTTGGCCTCCCGCAGGAGGCTATCCGGGGGATCCTGGGGGCCGGGCAGCTGGTGTGGGGAGTCGTCTTTTGCCTCGTGCCTTTTCGATGGCTAATATCTGCTCATATCAGTATTGTGCCAGGCGGAGGGTGAAAGTGGGCCTTTGTTCAAACCACGCCTCGTCAGTAAAAGCATTTCGCCTTTGTTCCGCTCCACCGCTGCTGTTGGGGCTTTGATGAGTATGCGGACGAGGGTCGGGAGTGTGTTCCCTAGCCCCACATTGAGCAATTCGTTCGACCCCGCATCGTCGATTTCTTATGCCCAAGTTCAATGCATTGATGGCGGGTTTTCCGGCCCCTTCGACGGGCTTAGAGGATCAAACAGACGCACCGAGCGCCAAAGTCAGGGGACGAAGATGCTGTGTAACAGTGGTCGTTAGACTGACTTGGGATACTTGGTTAGTCTACACCGGGAGTTCATTAGCACTTTGATTGCCATGGCGCTCCAAGGAACCCGACTACAACACAGTACAGGCGGGTTCACCATCGAAATCCCATTCAGTATCCAGATGAGTGCAGACCCTGGTAGCTTGCGTGGTGGACGTCGCTGCCATCCTTCACACAGGATACCTTGGCATTGGAGGACCCGCTTAAATTTGCCTTATAAGGCAGCCTCGTACAGCGGGCTCAGGCTCACTTTCAGTTGCACGGCACCTAACCAACAGCTCATTTACTGGATATATATTGTTGTTTCCAATTTCTACTACAACAACCAGCACCGGAATCAATACCGCTACTGGCTCTGTTTCGAGCCTCAGGTCAAAGATTCCACAAACGGTGGCAATCTAGCGGGCTCAACTCCTCCTTCGATCTCCTCCTATCCTCGAGTCGTAGAAATCAAGAGCGGTCGGTTACGCTCAAACGTTCAAGAGACTGCGGTGTGAATATAACCAAAAACCTTCGGGTTCTCAACTACTGAGTAACAATCTCAGTAGTTGAGTTTTTGCCTTTTTGCCGTTCGTCTTGCAGCCCGATCTCATGCTGGTAATGTGTGTAATACGCAGATTAGTTAGAGCCATGCAGTGGTTTGTCAGGGTTGGCGTTGACCTAACACCTAGGATCGTTGTCTCATCACGTAGAAGCAAGTCCGCGTGTGTAGTCAACGCCTCCTTTCGGACAAACATGGAACCCTCCTTGAAGTACTCCCCCCTCTCAGACCAGGGCCATCAGCATCTGAGCATACCTTTCTGAAGACTTTCTCCTGCTGCAGTATACCGACCTCGGGTTCAAGTCCCGAGGCGGCGACCATGTCTTTTTGCTTTTGTCAGGATAATGCTGGTCGATTACGGTAAGCGCTGCCGTACAATACCGATTTACCCAGCAAAGGCAATCCTTGTCGTAGCGTTCTATGTTGCAGCACGTTCCAGAGACTCTTCCAACGTCTCAAAGTCAGTGGTATCGAGGATGACAAGATTCCATGCTCGAGCCCAGCCAAGTAAAAAGGGGCTTGTGGGCCTTGTACGGTGGTGGCTTCTCCCGAACACGACATTGCTTGGCATTTTGCGGAGAAAGATTCAGGGCCCCTGGCACGCATCTGAAAAAGACAGCGCACCGTCCAATCCTCCCTGCTCCATCCACGTCTATGCGCCGGTGACCATGAAGTTCTTGTTGACGGGGCTGACCGCCCTTGCCGCTCTCTCCTCTTCCGCCAACGCCCTCTACTTCTATCTCGATGGCACAACACCCAAATGCTTCTACGAGGAACTGCCTAAGGACACTTTAGTCGTTGGTCCGTATCGCGTTGGGTCGCACGACACGTTCATGGACTGACGACAGACAGGCAGCTACAAAGCAGAAGCTTTCAACTCCCAGACCCGCAGTTTCGCACCCTCCCCAGACCTGCATATCAGTGTCACGGTGGACGAGACATTTGACAACGACCACCGTGTCGTAAACCAGAAGACCACCTCCTCCGATAGACACTCCAAATTTACCTTCTCCGCCGCAGATGCCGGCGATCACAGGATATGCTTCACACCGTCGGGGCCCGCGGCAGTCAGTGTTGGTGGCTGGTTCACTCATGCTGGTGTGACAGGCGGAGGCGTTAAACTTTACATCGATATGGCCATTGGGGAGACCAGCAAGATCCAGAGCGAGGACCAGGGCAAAATCGACAACATCGTGACCAAAGTCAAGGAGCTGAACGGCCGACTTGCCGACATCAGGAGAGAACAGATCTTCCAGCGGGTGAGTCGATAATCATGCGAGCAACTGTAGCTCGGCCTGCTGACACACAGATACAGGAACGAGAAGCCGAGTTCCGCGACCAGAGCGAAACTACCAATTCTAAGATCGTGCGCTGGACGCTCATTCAGTTGACCGTGCTGGGCGTGACATGTGCATGGCAACTGTCGCATTTGCGATCCTTCTTTATCAAGCAGAAGTTGACATAAAAGGGGATGCTTCGGATAGATTTATGCTTTACGGCGAAATGAAGAACCAACCCCTTGTACCAAAGCGCCATAACAACATTGGACGATACGCGACACGGCCCTTTGCCATGTCTTTTCTGCACATCTATGCAACTCCACATCAATGCATCCAAAGAGTCCCAAAGATACCACCTCGTGACAGCTGCACATCAGCCAAAGAGTTGATCCATGATCCTTTGCGCCGGCAGGTCGTCTCCGGGACTGTCCACGATGCGCACAATCCTGTTCCCGCTCCTCGCACCCAGCCAGTTCCCATGATCATACGTCCGCTCTCCATCACTGTTCCTTCTCCTGCGCGGCCTCACGTCGCCCACCGTCATGCCCCTAGTCCACTGCGCCGCACACTCGACCCTGACATCCTCCCACCCACGCTCATGGCTCGGCCGCCAGCCCTCCACTTCCCTCGTCAAGACGTACCACACACACATGGGGTCATGCAGCTGCACCGCGGCCCCTTCACCCAACCGCTCCATCTTGGCCAACATCTCCCCCATGAACGCGCCCATCCACACCGCCAACGGGCTGCCCATGTCCCGCCACTTCTTGACCCTCTCCTCCCACATACCCCTCTTCAGTAGATGCCTCTCCGTGATATCCAAGCCCAGCATCACCACCGTCGCCTGCGCGGACAGACTCTCCGGATACGGCTTTAGTCCCCCCACGCCCTGCAGCGCCTCGCCCAACACGCTGCCGGGCGTCGGTCCACTCAGCGCAAACACCCGCGCCGCGGCCGCCGGGTCAGCGTAGACGTTGAATTCGGCCACCGGCGTGACATTGCCGTGCATGGCCACCGTGCCCCCCATGATCACAACCTCCTTGGCGCGCAAGAACGTCTCGGGATCCTCCGCGGCCGCGATGGCGAAGTTGGTCATGGGCCCGATGGCTATGAGCGTGATGGTTCCGGCCTCGTTCTCGCGCAGCAGCCGCAAGATCTCCTCGTGCGCCGGCCTCAGGCTCGGCACGAACGAGTGGGCGTGGTCGCGCGCCTCCGCGCCCTCGTCGCCTCGCAGCGCCGCGCCCTCGACCGACGCATCTAGCTCGCCGACGCTCTGCTCCTCGCGGAACAGCTCCTGCCACTCGCCGCGCGGGCTCAGGTGCGGGTGGCTGGTGTGGATGCCGCCCAGGCCATCGCGGCCGTGGAAGAAGTCGCTATCGCGCGGGTCCTGCAGGGGTTCGTCGGCGCCGATGGCGATGAGGGGCTTGTAAGCTGTGATGCCGTCCAGCTTGAGGGGCAGGGAGTGCGATTTGCGAAACGCGCACTCGGCTTCGAGGGTGTGGAAGAGGGCGACGACGTTGCGGAGGCAGGCGTGCACGTCGACGTTGCCGCGCACTAGGGAGATGAGGAGGACTTCGAGCTCTTCTGCGGGGGAGGAGAGGGCGAGTAGAAGGGCGAGGATGTCGTCGATGCCCGGGTCGGTGTCGATGATGATGCGGTTCTTGGGGGCCATGCTGGCGGAGTGAGCGGGATTGAGGCAAGGGCACGTGGCTGGAAGTTGCTTTCCCAGGCTGTATATATAGATAGATATCAACGACTTTACTCTGAGGTCGGGGTACTGCCGGGCTCAAGTGTTCAGAGGGTAGAGATAACGATGACAGACGCTCCAGTAGACAACGCTTGTAAGGCCGCGGCTCAGGTCAGGAAATCTGTCACTAGCAGACGTCCAACTACGACGGGTAATAAAAAAATTACAAGCAGGGCGCAGAAAGGGCGCAGAAAGAACCTCTGGTTGCATTCAAAGTGATATGGAAGCCGATGCCAAGAAAGTCGCATCAAATTCGCAGGTCTACGCTTGCCCCGCTGCACTTTACAAGTTCCGCTACTTCGACGGCCTGCGGGTTGCCAATGGGTGTTTGACAACCGTTAACGGCGCAACGATCTCCTTGTCAGCCTGAAGAGCTGTATTAGAATGTCACCACAGGCTCCATGATTGTTCCCCAGCTATGCCGATTCGGCGGACGGTTTGTCGGAGGCTGCCGAAAGCCGTCATACCAACTTAAGTCGGGAATTTCCCCCTTGAGTTTGGCCCTCGTCATATGTCTTAGCTGGTAATGGTAGATCGAGCCTGTGGCGGGCGGACAGAGAGTAACACGGACGAATAAATTTGTGAACTCGACTATTTCGCTCGTTGACGTTGCTGAGATGGGAATTTGTAGATGTCTGGTCCGATCAGCGACCGCCAATGCTATGCTCGTAACGTCAGGACAGCGTACCTCGACTCTCAATCTATGTCGTTGCCTTGTTTGACACTCCAGGTGTCCCTTCCTGCACATGCCCGGTCTCAAGCCCGAGCCTGCTTAGTAGACCTTCTTCTTCTCGTCTATGCTGATGGAACCGGGTCCCATGTTGACCAGCAGGAGGAGGCCTCCCATAATGGATAGAATCTGGAAGAAATCGTACTTGGCGAAGTCCTTGTGTGGGTGATGCGGGTGCAGCGTCCAGAAGTTGTTGACCAGAACATTGAAGATGGACAGCATAAGCACGAGGATGATGGCGCTCCACTTCGCCTTCAAACCCACGACAACCATAACACAGGCCACAAGACCGATCAGACTCACGATCACCCTCCAGAAGCTCCATTCACCAGCGAAGACGAAGCCAACGAACAGAAAGATGAGGAGGACGCGACCTCCGAGCTGGATGTACATCTTCTTGTCTTTCTCGTCGAGACTGGGCAAGCCGGCAAAGACGCGGGTCTTCTTGACAAAGCTGTCGCCCAAGACCATCAAAAGGCCGCCCATGACGGAAAGGTTGCGGAGAAAGAAGTTCAGGTCGAAAATGAGGCCGTAGCCCAGCGCTTGAACGACCACAACGGCAAGGAGACCCGCAACTGCGTATTCGCTGTAGCGGCGCATGATGACAAGGGTCGAGCAGACGCTCATGGTCACGACATTGAAAATCAGGAAGCTATGTGTGATGCCCCACGGAACTGTAGACTATTAGTGCATGTGCGCACAGGGGGTCAATGTAGGGCGTACACTTCCGGAAATCCTTGAGGTAGAGTAGCTGGTCGTTCCATTGTGTTATGATGCGGAGAGCGTCTTCAAGGAACGTGACAACGATCAAGAATCTTCCGATAGCCGGCAGATATCTGCACCACGAGTGTCAGTCGCAGTCTGGGGCAGTCTGGGGCAGTCTCTTTTCCCGGTCTGGCTTACGGTTTGAGGGGCTCTCCGAGAGTGTTCAGCTTGTCCTCGATCTTGCCGGTTTGCTCACGAATCTGGTCGAGAGGAGAGGGGTCGCTGGTAGCGGCGCTCGACTGGTTCCCGAACTGGTTGTTCAAGCCCAGGTTATAGCCCGCGGTGCCTCGTATTTGAGCCATTGCGTATGTTTAGGTGTGCGTCGGTCTAGGAACGGTCGGTGTAGCGGCAAGAGAGCGGTTGTGAAGGAGCGAACGTCAACAACAGCAGGAGAAGTTCTTCAAAAAGTACCGAGGCCACCAAAAGAATACGGAAAGTAGCCAGCAGGGGCGAAGGGTACTCCGAGTCTTGTGGGTTGCAAATAAGTTAACACGCTGGCTATAGTCGCTGGCCAATCGCGGCGCGACTCAGCCTCGTCCCCCGCCGCCCTGGGGGGCTGACGTGCAGCCACTTGGGGAGCGAGGCCCAGTTATGCTAAGGTAAACACCACAGCCACGCTGACGGCAACATACGATCTAAACTTGATGCTTGCGCTGCAGCCACCGCAAACTTTTGTGGGCTAAGAACGGGTTATTTCGGTGTCTTTTCTATTCGTACAAACTCGGATGCCTCGACTACCGCGAGGTCCTTTGCTTGGCAGGTGCAGCGTCTCAGAAGGGTTTGTATCCATCTCGCGTTACCAAGAACCCTTCTCGCGACTGGTGCGCGCAGCTGACGTGACGCCAGAAGGACTATCACTAACTACATTCTTTGCCATTTCTAGGCTTCCCAAACGTCGTCTCCGCTTACTGCCTCGAAACGATTCCGATTTTGCGGTTTCGTGCTATCATTAGCTTGGGATCCGTTCAGGGCTTTCACTGATGGACCCTTAGCAGTCAAAGGTTGGCTGGCCTCGCTGCTGGTATCCTGTTGATTGTCCTTTCTGTTTTTCTTCTTGGCTTTCTTGCTGGACACATCGGTCCATTCGTCCTCCATCAGCTTCTGAGCCCACTTGTCTTGCTCGTCAGCATTCAGCTGATCGGCCCAGGTATCCTGTTGAGACTTTGCATTGCCCTCGCGCTGAGATGCAGCCAAGGCCGCGGTCTTTTTCTCGCCCATCTCCTCTTTGGCATCTTCAACGTTGGCGCCTTGGCGGTTGGTTATATCGGATATGGGTTTGGTCGAAACCGACTGCTTATTCTCCTCATGGTCAAACGTGTCCAGAAGTGCGCCGCCTGACGGCTGGGAGACCGGAGCCTGATTTTCTGTGGCCTTGGGCTGCCACGCATTCGCAGTGAAGTTGCTGGCCTTGGTCTGATTTGATGTGCCGCCAGCCATGCGCGCAGTCCGCATCTGTTGCTGCTTCTTAGCCTCGTGCTGCTTGTCAGACTCCTCCTTAAGCAGACGATTCTCTTCTTGCTGCTGGCGACGCTGACGCTGCTTCTTCGTCAAGACTGTCTCGAATTGCTTCGGGGTCGGCTTCTTTTGCTGTGCAGACTCTGTGCTGGTAAGTCTGATGGTGTTTGGCTTCGCAGGGCCGGACTCGAGCATGTCTGAGATATCGCCGGCTCGCGAAACAGACGATGGAGGGGTAGCGTTGGGTGACATATCATCATCCGCATCTCTACCACCAGTGGATGATGTATCGGCAGAGAGACTGGGAGATTCGAAGCCCTCGGCCGTCTTGGGAGCAGCTTGTGCGGCACGTCGCTCCTTCTTGGAAGGAGCCTGCTGGTCCTTCTTCTCGAGCTGCGTTCCAGTCTGAGCTTGTCTGAGCTGTGCAGCAAAATCGGCGTTGCTCATGCCATCATCCTCGACCCTCGGAAGAGCAACCTTGTTGTCGTCGACGGTCTTCGCACTGATTTGCTGGCCGACAGGAGCTGAGATTATCTTCCTCTTCTTCGAGACCGGTGTGTCCGTGGAGCTGGTGGCAGTTGTGGCTGCCTTGTCATCTCCGGAGAGGTTGCTGACACGCTTCTGTTTGACTCGCTTGGATTGTGGGCGAGCTTCCTGTGTGGTGGGAGGAGCGGGCTGAGGAAAGAGCTTCTTGACGGCTGCAGGGTTATAGTAGCAGTAAACGGCCGACCCCACCACTATGAGTGTAGCATAGCTCGCAGCGGTCTGCCACATACTGACTCGCCTGACGGTGGAAAGGAATTGTTATGAGGCCGAGTATTGGAACAGTCCTTTTGATGCGGTGATGAAGAAACCAGCGAGACTGCTTTATGTCTGCCGACTTTGCTGGCACGTTTCAATTGAGGACGTAGCCAAGCAAGGGATGCGTGTAGATGCGAAGAAAGTGGGGGTGACGGATGGCGCTCGGGCGGCTGAGGTATCTTGTAATAGGGAAGTCGGATGTTGTGATGATGAACGTGCGTAATTTTGAGGCGAGGGTACTCCCAGCTGGTGGTGGTCTGGGTGTCTCAGGAGAGGAGTAGGTTTTAAATAAGACCAGGTGGTCTGTCGCAGAGGTAGTTACTAGAACATTGAAACACGGATGGGATGATTTCTAACGGCAATTAGATTGTGTTGTAGAGTAAAGAGCTGGACGCGAGCACCTACTGTGTGCTTGTGATTGACAGTCCAATAGTGTGATAGGTGGCTGAAAGGGAGTATGTTGAGGATGATGATGAACGGAAGTGCTGGTGGAGAGGACTCGTTGGAGCGTGAACTGCGCTTAACGCAAATGAACCCCAGCTGCGCCACGGTTTCTAGTACGCTAAGCGCTTTATGGCTAAAACTGGGGCGGACTCACGCCTAAATCATCTCGGCAAGGTTGTTAGCTCAGGGTAGTCTTTAGGCTGCATCTCATCCACATGTAATTCCCCGACCAGTCGTCTGATGCTCGTTGCGCCGTTGAGAGACGGGTCAACAGGCAAGCTCGACGCTGGCAGCGAATCTGTTCACGAAGACTAATGACAGACCGAAACGGAATCCATGGGAGGCATGTTCATTTTTTGTTTACTGCAAAGCATAGCTAGCCGCCCCGATCGAGAAAGGAGACCAAGAGCTCGGGAGTCGGCCGCAAGTAATAAGAAAAGCCAAGTGCATCAGCTTCGTGTCCTGACGTGGCTCGCTGGAGCACACTGTTTACCATGATCCAAAACTCCTTGCTATGCAGAATCGACCAGGACAATTCTAACGCTCCGTTCGCCATGCTAAACAAAACCCAGATGATGCGTCAACGGTCAGTACAGTAGTGGTGATAGTATTGCAGATGCCAAGTGTCTTTGATGAATGTAAGCATGCTCCGCGCGTGTTCCAGCGCGCGGAAGTGCCAATTGTAGTTGTGGGAGAGGTTTGAATCATCACTGTGTGTGGACTGGTGCCGGCGGCGAAGGAATAACGTAATGGAATGTCCAACTGGCTGGTCGTGATCGAGGCGTAGGCCTGACCTTAAACATTTCGGTATCGGAAAGAGTGTCAAACATGGGGGGGGATCGGGTTTTCGCTTCTAGTCGTTGGGATGACGGTGGTGGCGTGGTCGCCAGAGAACGATCTGAGTTGACGGATGCGGCATCCCAGACCTCTATGCTGGTTGTATCGATCGAGCTGTTGTCCTCTGCTTCGGGGGGTTGTAACTCGGCCTGCTTAGGAGGGCGACCCATCACACAAAGCGGGCGTCTCGGTCCCGTTTCCTCCATTGGCGGCTTTTTGCCTTCCATAACTGCAGCGCTCGGAGGAGGTAGGATCATCCAGGCCACTTCTTCGCGTCTCACTGGCAGTCGCGAGACAACAGGAGGGTGGAGGTCGTTGACAGCGGGTACATGGCCCCGGCTGTAGTCGATCTGGTCGGTCTCATCCGTTTTGGCTCGCTTTAATGCGAGTCCTGTAGCAGCTGGATCATCGCTGTTGTGGCCGACGCTCGCGGCCATTTTATCCCACATACGAGTCATGGTATTAGAGAATGCTCCAAGGAATTCATCTTCACGATCATATCTCTTCCAATTCCAGCCCTCAGGGTGCAGTGAACTGCGTAGGGTGCCCTTAACATTCTCAAGAGCGTTGGATATCTTGCGTTCGTGAGGGGGACGGACTCGCTCGACATCTTTATCTTTTTCGTCGTTGGCGGACCGCTTCAGCTTCTTCTTCGCGTCGCGCAGCATTGCATGCGGTTCCCACCCCTTGGGCGGGCCGGGCCCAAGTAATACTTCTTCCGTCCATTGTGGATTGGTCTGAAAGGCGCGCGGCTGTTGGACGATGCCAGGCTGCTGTGTAACGACCTCATTCTGTGCGGATTTGGCCTCCTTGCGGCGCTGTTGCTTGTGTTTGAACTCGAGGATAGGTGCACAGCTGACGTAGTAGAAGATGGCCGACTGTACGCCCCGCCAGAACCAGTGTGGCGGGTCTGTGTTAGGCAAGGGCGCAGCCATAGCCTGTAGTTGGGTATATGCTCACGTAGCGAAGTCCATGTCTGTGCCGTCGATGTCCAGGTATGGAGGGGTGCGAGGACGGGTGACACTCCCAGGGCATACGAATGCCAAGCCGGCAACATGCGCCGACCCACGTGGGCCCTTCTTGGATTGCTGGAACTCGACTTGCTTGCGTTCCCGATTCAGGGTCAAAAATCAATGTCATCTTGCAGCCTCCACCGCGGTCAAACCTTCAACACTGCTTGCTACTCCGGGGTCTGGTGGAGAGATACAAAAAGGCTCTTTTCATACGGAGTACTCTAGTTGCGATGTGGTGGCTGTGCGCTTGTTTGTTTTGAGCGCACACCAAGGCCGACGCCAACACTCGTATCAAGTCCATGGAATCTCCCAACGAAGTCCTTCATTGCCGACCGCTGAGTTGCATCGTCGTCTGGGCTTTGGTCTCCCATCGTCACAACAGGCCCTAGCTAGTCAGGCTGGTCAACGATCGATCGTGCCAAGTCAGATGGCGCTGAAGTGCAGGCTGAGGCCAAGCGAACAGGCAAGCAAATAACCCACTCACCAAGCAATATCATCGCTCGTCACATCGCTCATAATCATTAGAGCCTGGGCTACAAAGTCTAGATTCCGGATTTTTCAGCCTCCAGCGTCTCGGAGACCTCTGTAAGAAGTCGCCGAGATTCCTTCCTATCCGAATGCCAAGGAACACTTGGGTCACCACAAGAACAAATCCTCCAAGCCTGGCTGCTGGTTCTGAAGCAGGTTGATTCGACTGGGGGAAGTACAAGCTGCATATTATCTTGCAGACAACGTGGGCAAGACATCCGTCTGGGCCATTCGTCCGTCTTCCTCGTAGGTGTCGTAAGGAGTACTCTATCGAATCGAATCCATTCTCAGTCCTGTATCATGCATGCTTCTCCTGGGCTTTGGGGGGTCCAAATGCTTGGCTATCGGAGAGGAATACGATACGGCCGTGTTGAATGTTAATATGCCCACTTGCTGGCTCGCGGAGACATCTATACTGAAATGGTCCGGACGGCGCATTCCAGAGGATTTAAAACTCATTTGTTCACGCATGAGGCAGGCTAGATATCATCTTTTCCCACAGTAATCTCCTTACCCCTAGGAGCGAAGCAAGAATGAATAAAATATACGACGCACTCATTGTCGGTGGTGGGCCCGCTGGCCTCAGTACCGCCCTGGCATTGGGACGGGTTCACCGAACGTGCATCGTCTTTTCGGACAGCGAATTTCGCAATCAGGGCGCACATGCCGCGCACGCCATCCTGACTCGCGACCATACACCACCAGCTGAAATCAGACGGCTGGGCCGCAAAGACATAGAGCGCTACGGTCATGCCGACTTCGCAGAGTGCTCTATCACCAGGGTCACGCGCAAAGAAGCTGGCCCGCACTCTCGTTTCTTGGTTCACAATGATCAAGGGCAGCAATGGCAGGGCCGCACCCTTGTCCTGGCCACAGGTGCTCGAGACCAGTTCCCAGATCTAGATGGATACGCCGAAAACTGGCCAGCGAGCATATATCAATGCCCATTCTGCGACGGCCACGAACGAAGCGATGGACCGCTGGGAATCCTGTGCTACCCAGACTTCAACCCTATGCTGGTCAAGCAAGCTACGCTGTCCCATTTCCTCTCACAGCCGCCAGGAACGCCCGCCGGCACAATCGCGAAGTCAAACGTAACGTTCTTTACCAATGGACATCTCGACACCGGCAGTCCCGCTACAGCTCAGGCGCTCGAGATTCTGGCCGCCCACTACATAACTCTCGAGCAACGACCCGTTGTTCGTCTCGAAACTTCAATCGACGACTCCAAGCCAGGCCTCTACGTGCACCTCCAAAACGAAGACAAGACCACCTCGCGTCTCTACATGGGTTTCGTCTACCACAAGCCGAGAACCATGCCCTCAAGCCCCGAGCTCATCAAACAGTTGGACTTGGAGATCGAGTCGGGGCTCATCGGTGACTACATCAAGACAACCCCACCGTTTGAGAGCACGAGGGTGCCCGGCGTGTACGCGTGCGGAGATGCGAAGACGATGATGGGCCAGGTCACGGTCGCGATGATGACGGGGAATGCTGCTGCGGCCGGGGTGGCGCACTATCTCATAGAGCTGGATGACGCGATTGCCGTGGAAAGGTACCGCAGAGAGAAGGAGAGTAAGGAAGATGTGGATGCGGCGGTTGATGGTGCGGTGAAGGGGGAGGATGCGGCTGTGGCGGCGTTGTAGTCTGTGAGAATGTTCTCGAATAAGGAAACGTAGAAGCTCTGCTGCAAGCCTTCTTGGATGAGACCTGCGACGTGCGCAAGCGACAGGCGAGGAATTGAGCAAAGGAGCAGCATTGGGCCCACGGTTGATACCTTTGGTCGGTTGTCAATGCAGAGAGCGAGCGCTTCAGCAGTGCCTACAAATATATTCTACCCACTGTCTCTACAGCTCAGCTTTTAGCATCATCGCGAATAGCTCGTGCGTATCGAGAATCGGCAAGCAGGTGAGTCCGAAGCTGTTTCTTGTTAATCCCAGTACCCGACCTCACCGCCTTGATCGCTGGTCTTGAGCCCACTTGCTCGCCGTATACTTCAGACACCGCGCCGCCCCACACTCTGACCTCACAACGTAAAGCGAAAGCTGGGATCTAGCATCATCCAAAGTTAGCATGTCTTCCCTCATATTACAAAGGTGCAGGTAAGAAAGACACAGGCCCGACTTACAATCGTCACCCATGTTATTCCGCTCGTCCTCAGGCTCCTCGTAACGGTGGTCGCGCCTGCCCTTGTCACGCAACCGGTTCTCGCGCAGCAGATACAACGCAAAGGCGCATGCGGTGAAGACGCACAGCCAAATCATGCCGAGTGCCATGCCGAAGCCGAGCGGGTACTCGGGCGCCTGACTCTGAATGAAGATGTTGGATGCCACGATTCCTGCGAGAGGTTAGTTGTCAGCATTTGCGTGGCTTGTTTGAGTGAGAGAAAGCGCTTCTGAAAACCTACCTCCAATATTACCCAAGCCAACTTGCAAAGCTGCTCCAACGCCGCGCTTGTAATGGCCACTCAGATTGTTCCCAAGCCAGACCAACACGATGGGCTGAGCGATGTATCCACCGCCTACGACCAGGAAGACCGCAAAGTACCGTACACCAACCTGCACTTGATGCATGCACAGCAAGATCACGTAGCCAATAGTTGCCACGCAGCAGCCGCCAATAATGAAGCCGAAGCGGTGCTTGATCCTGTCCGACAGCAGAGCCGCCGATAGCGCCAGGACTGTCGCGACGATGAAGATCGGAATGGACATGACTTGCGCGCGGATAGATGTCCAGCCCAATTGTCGGAGGATGGTTGGAACAAAGAAACTGCCGGAATAGCCCGTCGTAACGATGCCCATGTACATGAATGTGCCGAGCCAGATCTTGACGTCGCCGAAGACGCGCCTGGCGGTCCGCTTGTCCCAGCGGGACATAGTGGCGTCTTCGCTGTCGAGGGCCAGTCGGCGGATCCAGAAAGCGCGCTCCTCCTCGGTGTAGAACTTGGCGGTCTCGGGCCAGTCGGGGACGAGCCAGTACGACGCGAACGCCACGAGGACTGTTGCAAGGCCTTCTAGGATGAAGATCCACCTCCAGCCGCCGTAGCCTGAAATGCCCGCCATGTGCGCGATCGCATATGCTAGCAGGCCGGAAAAGGCGCCGGCGATGATGGAAGCGGAGAAGAAAAGGTTCATGCGCCACTGGAGTTCATGCCTGCGATAGAACATTGTAATCAGGTAGACTGATCCAGGAAAAAATCCAGCTTCTAGCCCGCCGATGATGACGCGGCAGGCGACGAGGCCACCGAAGCTGCGCGTGAGGCCCTGGCAGATGGTCACCACGCCCCACGCGAGGATGATTGAGGGCAGGAAGATGGAGGGGCGCATCTTCTTGAGAAGGATGTTGCAGGGCACTTCAAGGAGGATGTAGAGGATAAAAAACGTAAAGAGCGCAACGTTGTAGTCGCTGCCCGACATGTTGAGGTCGGATTCCAGGCCTTGGATGCGAGCATTGCCGATATTGATCCTATGGGGGAATCAGAGGTGACTGGAGCATGAGGCGAGGAAGTCGACCTACCTGTCGATGAAAGCGCAAAGAAACAATAAGAACAGGATGGGCACGACGTGCAAGTCCGTCTTGAGAAGCAGTCTCTTTTCAGAGATGCCGCTGGACTCTGTCAGAGCCTTCATCTGCGCCATGGCTTCTTCATGGGCGTCTTTCTCGGCGACGGCATCCTCAACTTCTTTGCTGTCTGTGATCTTGTCGTCAGACATCTTTGGCGATTCCGAATTCAAGATTCAAGCATTAGCAAGCCACGGCAAACTCAGTACTTTGTTGGATCAATGCCACGCGAGAAGGAAAGCTGCAGCGGGAGGGACTGCAGCACGGCTTGCGAAATGAACGACAGCGGCAGCGTGCACGTGGAAGTGAGACAGAAGTCGGTGGGATTGTGAACCTGACCGAAGGCGACAGCGAGAAAAAATGGACGCGTGTGGGCACCTGCAATCGATTATGAACCAGACCAATGTCTGAGTGTCGTTCAGCAATCGACAACGTGGTTTGGACTGCTTCGACCGCTCGATCCGTCTCGCCTGTCTCGCAGCGCCGGGCAATCGATGCCGGGCTTCACTGCCGGCCGGTGACAGCTCCCCATCGAGGGATCATTCCGCGCATCATCTCTCAACGTAGGGGGAGCGTGGGATCCGCGATGCCACCGGCAGATGAGCTTTCCCCCAGATGGCAAACCGATTCATCGTTAGCGGGCTTAGTCCCCAGAATTTGGCGGAATCAAAAGGGGGCGGCGCGGGGAAGGGAAGCGGCCGGATACCTGGGGTTTGGCATTATGGCGGTAGGGATTGGTCGAGGGAAACAAGTTGGAGACGCACCACGAGACACGATGGCCGACCATTGCAGGGTTCTTTGCCGAACGACAAGTCTCAGTAAGGAACTCGACCACCGATGCTCGGATATCGCCCCGAGGTCAGACATATGGTGTCGCACTGATTCCGCGTTTGATGGTGGAGGAGGAAGGCAATCATACAGTAGTAGCGCTGATGTGGCTGACGCAGGGATGTTCAAAGGGCTCTTGGCATTTACCTACGTCCAACCACCTCCACGTTGGCCTGCCCTGTCAGCCATCAGAATTCGTGCTGACTTGACATGAAATGCTTCAGCGGCACCGAACGACGAGTTTCTCTCTTCTGGAAGGCTTGATCTCTCGACGCTACTGCTGTATGAGCAATCATCTAGGCCGTTGGATGTGCCACAGAGATTACAACGGCCTCGAAGGCAACGTACTGATGGCCAACCAGTTTTCAGACACAGACGGGAACAAAGCCTCGCCTCCCTCTGTCGCATCTGGCCCCGGTGTCATCAAGCCTCGGTCCGCCCCAGCAGTTTCCTGGAGACGCCGGCGATATTGCTCGAAATCTTCCAGTCTAGTCAGGTCCCCCCCGTTGTCCTTGACGAGCCCGTACCGATTCGCTGCTTCGAAGAACTCATAGGCGAACCCGCCCGAGAATATCTGGCACAGTCGTTCGCCATACAACACCTTCGTCTCTTCGAATGTCCTTGGCCGTTCGGTATTGGCCCCGTACTCGGCCACGAGGATCGGTACCTTTGACCCTGAGAACTTCCGCACCAATATGTCTTCCTTGACTTCGCCCTGCAACTTGCCTAAGCCCCAACTGAAGTTGACGAGTGCGTAGAAATCGACCCTCTCTTCCGGGCTTCCGGACATGTAGTAGTCGAAGCTTGGCACCTGAGTGGCTGCCCACTCCTCGTCGACAAGCCCGACCGGCACTGTTCTGCCTCCAGTTTTCTCCGTCCTTGCCCTCATGTAGCCTTTAACATCTCTGACAAGCGCCTTGATCACCTCGGCCGCCTTGGTGGCCTGAGCATTGTTAACAACATGATCCGCCACCGAGAAGCCCGCCAAGTTGTCGTAGCCTGCAAAAGCATCCACCACGCCATAGTACCGGTCCAACAGCGATCTTGAGTACGAACCATGCGGCGTCAGGCGGTTCACACTCTCCCCCACGCCAGGAGCGGAGCAGCCAACGAAAACATATATCCCGTTGTCACTGAGTAGCTTCATGCACCTGTCGTGCGAGACATTGAGGCAGACGGTGTAGACCCAGATGGCATTGATGCCCAGCTCTCGAAAGAGCTCAACGTCTCGCTCAAGCTCGGCCAGACGGGCATCGTTGAGAGGATCCCGGTCAGTGTAGCGCTCCTTAGGAGGCAGCGTAGAAGGCTTGATGATGGCTCGGCTGCGAAAAGGGATCTGATAGACGACACCGCGGAAAAGCAATGGCTTACCGTTCAGGAGGAACCGATTGTGTTGTATAGTTAAAGCTGGGGTGCTTTCGGCAGACATTACAGAACGTAGAGTCTTATTGCCGCCTATAGAAATGATTCTTATCGAGGCCTCCGGAATTTTTCTTCAGGAAACAAAAGGGACGAGGAGTGCTGTTGCCAATGGGAGTACCCAAGTGCCAAGACCAGGCAGCCGTTGACTTCTCCACCAATCTTCAATGAGCTACACGAGTGTTCTCGACTGGTCAACAAAGACTCATAGATGTCTGAAGACCGTGAAGTAGCTCGTCCCTCATCTCGGAAAACATGATTTTCAGTCTGAGCGTCCAATGTCGCCAATGAGCACACATTCTCCTGAAGGCCGCCATGCCAAGACTTTCACTGCCTGACCAAAGACTGGAAGTATCCCAACTTAGTTACGACTAATCCAGAATGAGTGCACTGTGGAAGTGGGCGTCGAATGCGAAGGCCACTCAAGCGCTCATGAATCCGGCACTGAACTCCGTAAGTCGGGACCCCATTCAATCGAGGAAAAGCCCGCCTGCGATCTACTCACGGCGATATCCGAAAATGGCTATCGTCATGTCGCAACATACATAAAACCCACAATCGTCAGAGAAACAACTCGACAGTTGACAAACCGGTGAGCGGCTGACCACGATGTTTCCCGGAGTCGCTGTTGTGACCGGTGCTGCCGGTACTGGTATGGGGGCATGCATTGCCAAATCATTCGTGCAAGAGGGCTGTACTCGGATTGCCATCACAGATCTCAACGACGAGCTGCTCGAAGCAACTAAGAAAGCCATTGCGGAAAAGTATGCCAATGTCCAGATCTTTGCACAAGCAGGGGATATCTCCGACGAGGCATTCGTTGAGAGCTTCTTCACCGCTGTTAAGCAAGAGTTTGGTAGGATGGACTACTGTGTCAACTGCGCGGGGATCATGGGAAATAACAAGTCCTCAACTCAGACCACTGTCGCTGATTTTGACAAAATTACCAATGTCAACTATCGCGGCTGTTGGCTATCTTCTCGCGCCGAGTTGGGACACATGCTCAAGCAGGAGGCACTGGGCAGTCATGATGGCAGGCCCGGAGAGAGAGGCTCCATAGTCAACATCGCTTCACAGCTAGGAATCGTGGGTCGTCCAAATGCGCGTAAGTGTCACGATTCGATTGCTGTCTTTCTCTGACGTGTGCACAGCTGCGTACTGTGCGTCGAAGTCGGCCGTCATCGGCATGACACGCTGCGATGCAATTGACTATGCTCAACACGATATACGGGTCAATTGCATATGCCCTGGTGTCATTGCGAGTCCGATGACCACGGGCAGTGAAGAGAGGATAGCCTTTCTGAAGCCGGCGATCGACATCGCACCCATGAGGCGGATGGGCACGGTCCAGGAGGTTGCAGACTGTGCCCTGTTTCTCTGTTCGTCCAAAGCGTCATTCGTTCAAGGGCATGCCATGGTGGTCGATGGGGGCTATACCATCAACTAATGCGCTATCATAAGTCCGTGATGCTCAGAAGATCAGAAAGAGAGTAAGCAGCAGAAGTCGAAGAGGTGGACGGGGATGACCCGATCTTGGCGCCAAGCCGGCGCCCCAGATTTTGCCCGACATCGCTGCCCCGCGGAAAGTACCTGACATGGACTCGTACTTTTTTCAATCTCCTCTAGTGAAGGGCGCAAGGCTGACCTCCCATTGGGGCGTATAACATATATTGTCAGAACATGCTGGCTAGTCACCCAATCTCTTCTTCACCATCATGCTGTCATCATCCTCGAAAATGCGGGCCTCAAAGCCGCATCTCACTCTTGTGATCAAGGTAACTTGCCCAACTGTGTTACGCGCCCTTCTCACCGGCAAATACTGACACGGCTCAGATCGGTACATACTACTATGCCTCGCATCAGCAACAAAGAACAGCTGCTTACGATTGTTATAGGGTCTTCTTCGATTGTTGATGAGGTCACCCACGAACCCATCTTGTCTATTCTGTCCATCATAGTCGAGACCGCCATCAGGTTACGCCGAGATGGCCATAAGGTGGTCATTGTCTCTTCAGGCGCCATCGCCGTTGGCCTGAAGAGGATGGAGATGCCCAAGCGGCCCAAACACCTAGCACAAGTACAAGTGAGCACTACCGCCGGATCTGGAGCATTCCTCTAATTGTTCAATAGGCCTTGGCAGCCATCGGCCAGTCGCGCCTCATGTCCATCTGGGACTCTCTCTTCGCGCACATGGATCAGCCTGTTGCCCAGGTCTTGATCACGCGTAATGACATTGCCGATCGGTCACAGTACCTCAACGCCCAGAATACCCTCTCTGAATGCCTCACGTACGGTGTCATCCCGATCGTTAATGAGAACGACACCCTTGCCGTATCCGAGATCAAGTTCGGTGACAACGATACTCTCTCCGCAATCACTTCCGCCATGGTTGGCGCCGACTACTTGTTCCTCATGACCGATGTTGACTGCCTATATGACAAAAATCCTCGAGCATTCCCCGATGCCCAACCCATCACAGTCATCGAAGACATCGATTCACTTCAAGCTGATGTATCAAGTCGAGGCTCAGCCTTGGGAACCGGTGGTATGGCCACCAAAATCACAGCCGCTCGCTTGGCCACCGCGGCCGGCACCTCAACCATTATCACCAACTCCAGCAAACCTGGCAATATCTCCAATATCATCCGTTACCTCCATCCAACAACCGACCACCCATCTTCAAGCCCCGACGGGACAGCCACGCCCGTCCCTGTCGCGCCACCCCTACACACCCGCTTCCTCCCCTCCCCAAGCCCGATCCGCAACCGCGCCTTCTGGATCCTGCACGGCCTCGCCCCACACGGCGCCGTCTACATCGACCGCGGCGCCGCATCAGCCCTCTCCCAGCACGCCGGCCTCCTCCCTGTCGGCATCGTCCACGTCTCCGGCACCTTTGCACAACAAGAAGCCGTGCGCCTCATCGCCGTCGACCGTGTCCCCCTTGGCAGCCTCTCCCCCCGCGGCGACTCTGAAAGCATCAGCACCTTCACGCAGGCGCGCATGGAGTTCGTCGACTACGAGCGCGGCGAGGAGATCGGCCGCGCCGTCGTCAACTACTCGAGCACTGAGGTCGCGCGCATCAAAGGTCTGCGCAGCAAAGAGATCGAGGGCGTCCTCGGCTACGCCGATAGCGAGTACGTCGCCTTCCGCGAGAATGTCAGCCTGCTCGAGCACGCACGCAGCAACACGGCCAGCAGGCCGGAGACACCCGCGCCGCAGACCCTTTCCAGGAGCGTCAGCATGAGGAGCAGCGGTGCCGGCTCCCCCGACGGCTGTATAGCCGACCTGCGCGACCTGAGGGTCGGTGCCTAGCGGGTTTTCACTGGCGCACACAGCAGCACCACACAGGGCCTACCTAAGGTGCTTCTCCTTACGTTCTTTCCTTCTTTTCCTTTTCCAGAAAGAGAGAAAGAGAAATCAAGGGTTCAGTCTGCCCCCCAAGGTCGTCAACCGACCGCACTTAATCAGATTCCAGCACTCCTCTTCGCGCCCGCGCCACTTTCACCAGCAGCGTGACAAAGAGAAAAAGTGACCACCCCGAAAGATCTCCCCCGCAACCTTCCTTTGTTGGGGCCAGAGTCACGCAAGTGCACCAAAACCAGCTATTCAACATGAAATCCATCCTTCCCCAGGCCTCACCCTCAGCTCTCTTTCGTTCTGCTCCATAAAATGCAGAGCGGGTCAGTAGCCGATCGAGCACGTTCACGACGATTTGCAGCATTGAAGTCGACGCTACATAGCTCACCGCGCGGTATCAAACGGTCTGTATCCGCCAGGGATGCGCCCGCATCGACCGAGCGAAGGATGAGGCGGACAGGTAGGCAGGCAGGCAGGCAGAATCAACAAGAGATGGTGTCTCCTGGTGAAGCGAGAGAAAGAGCGAATGGGTTGGTGTCGACAGCTTCAGCAGCGAGAGAAATCGTGGCATATAACAACAACGATTGGTCACCGACGCCAGGAAAGCTAATTGGATATATTCGCTCGTCCACACATCTCCTTCCCCTCCCCTGTCAGTCACTGAACGCGTCGTTCCATGTCTCTGGCCACGCGTACCCAAGGGATTTCTCATCCCCAGGTGGTACTACTCACCCTGTCTTTGCCACGATCACAGATGAGCATTCAGCGCCCACCCTTTCCAAACATGCCGCACGCAAGCCTGCACGCCGCCAGGCCATCTTGACTCCCCGTGCCCCAGTCCGGTATCGCTCTTCCCGTCTCGTTCCAGTCATTTTTCTCGTCCTTGCACATGGGCATAATCCGACCCATCATGTCCTCGCCCGTGGCCCAGAGTGACTGCGCAAAGTTCAACGTGCCCGAGTCCTCGTGGTTGAGGAATGAGTATAATAAGTTGTCCGAGCAGCCTAAACCACTTGTTTGTCAGTATATGGGAGGCAGACACGTTTACAAATGAGTGCCCGGACCAGGGTAAGAGTGGGGGCGCACCTTGATTTACCATCGCATGCATAGATCCCTGCGGGAACACGGTCATTTTCCCCGGCGTCAGCGTCGTCACCCGGTCGTCCGCTCCATTCTCGGCACGCATGAAGGTCTTGGTGCTGCCGGAGACAGATACCACGAGGTTCGTTGCCCGTGGATGCGAATGGGGGGCGAGCATGGCGCAAGGTCCCAGATTCAGCTGTGCCACGGTCATGCCACTGCCGGTGATGATGGGGAAAGTTGCGGCGTTCGCGTTGAGGACTGAGCCTGGGTGATAGGGGTCGGCCATGACTTTGGAGAAGTCGAAGACCCAGTCGGCGTCCGAGAGCTCGTTCCAGAAGTCGACCTGCGTGAGTGCGGATCTCAGATTGCGACTGAGCTCAGGGTCCTTGGGCCTCTCGCCCAGGGCTGCGCCTGTGAGGAGAGTGGCGGCAAGTGCTAGGGCAACTGTGGCAAGCATGTTGCTGCAAGATGGCCGGAAAATGAAGTACACGATGGTGGAGGTGGCGAAAAGCGCTAGAGACACTGCGAGAGCAAGATATCTACCTGCAGTGCTCCTGTCAGTCCGTGTCAATGATGATCGGGTTGTGTAGATTCACTGTACCCCTGAGATGCGAATACTCTCAAAATGTTCGTAGGAAGCCAGGGGATGTCATAAAAAAAGTTCGGCAGACATGAGTGTGAACTTATAGATGTCCACTCCGTATGTGAATCGTAGCCGCACGGCAAACGTGGTAGAAACTCCGAGAGAATGTCCACGAGTTGGGGCGGTCAGTGCTTTTCTAGGGGATGGTGCTGCGACGCCCGAGTTCATTGGATCCACGATTCATCTTGTGTCATAGAGACGAAGCTGCTGATTTGCTACCGAGTTTGAAGTATTGTTGTGCATGATCAGATCGAGCCAAAGGCGAGCTGCGTCCTCGTGTCGGAGTGTAAGGCGGCGGTTGTTCGGCCATGAGTGATGAACGCCGGACCGGTGTATAGGAGGAGGTACGATCGGTTCGTGAAAGCTCGATCTAGTATGGTTGGAACTTGTGGCTAGCGACAGTGAGGAGTTTGGAATAAAGAAGTTGGTGTGCGTTAGAAGTAACCGCGCTTCTGTGACACGAATGCCTAGTACGGCAAGAGTGGGCCAAGGGCCATTAATGCTGAAAGATGTGTACCTAGACTCCATGAGAGAGGGAACAGTTGCCTTGATGACAAAGGACTGGCCTTGCACAACATGATGTACCTTGTAGCAGAGGCCTCGATGTACTGCAGCGTTGACGAACAAGCTAGATACGCTCAACGCGCTTGTGTAGTCACATAAGTACTGGGCAGCAATGGGAAGGAAACCGGAATGAATTGTCAGGGCAGTCGCCCTGAGCTTTGGTATTTGTGAGCAGGCGCCTGATCGTTATGTATAATAGCAGCACCAGCACTCATGAGCGTTGACAGCTCGTCAAAGCAGGGAGATCCTGGCTGGGTGCCTGTCAGGAGAGGACTGAAACCTGGCGTGGGAGAGGTTGAACCTGTCGGTGAATATTCGCCTCGTCAGCAGGCTTTAAGTGGTCCGACTTCAGGTGAAACCCGTCATCAGATGGGTTTTTGACAAGTTGGAAAACACCTGCAATGGAGTGTCAACAAGGTAATTAGTATCATGAGGCAGGCATTATTGCTAGGGGGCAGTATGGACGACCAGCACAGCTTGCGTCAGAGGCATGAGACGGTCGCAGAGAACGATCCAATCTTAGCCAGTGAAAAGCAGTAATTGTCATCGGTGCTGCGGTAACGTGCAGCTTGAGAGACTTACCTCATCTCAAGCCGTGGCACCTAGCCTGAACCCCCCGGGAAAGTCTCCAGAAGAGGAGAGAGTACGAGTAGACAGGCAAGATGACATGGAAGAAACCAAATAAGTGAGTACCATCAATATCTGTTCAGGCTTAGAATGTAAAGAAACTGACGGGCTCGCCAGCTCGTACGCTCTCAGCACGGGACCGAGTTGTCAATGTTGACTCTCCCAGAACGTTTTAAGCTGCTTCACGTCGGTGGACCGTGCATTTAGTATTGAGATCATGCTTCGAATCTTTTCTGGAGTGTACTCATCAAAGCTGAGAATGCGCTCATGGGTGTCAGCCATAGCGGACTTGTGCTTGATCATCGTAGCAAGATCGGGGACTGGAAACTCTTGTAGAGACTGCAGAATCCTTGTTGCCTCTACAGCGTGATGTCCGAGTGGCTTGATGCCATCGATGTACTCATCGCGTTGCAGCTTGGCATGAAGGGCTGATTCATGGTAAAGTGGTTCCGACCTGCTGTTTGGCTCATACGTCACTGGCAGCGGTCCAGAGTCAGCCAAAGGCCGAACGGCTGAGATAATATGGGAGACCGGATCGTGTTCATCGAGAATATCCGGGAGCTCGTTGACTGCGGCTGAGAGGTCGCGGCTTCGGCCACCTTCCAAGTTTGACTGCGCAGAGTCCAGATCTAGATCACAGCGCTGACATTTCTTTCTTGAGACAGACGAGTGATGCTTTCGAATCAGGCCTCTGAGAAGAGTTGGCAGCGGTGCAGCAGGGGATCCGAGACCAGTGTCCGCAATGTTTCCTCGCCAGACATCGATCGCCGTCATTCTGTTTGGTAATCCCACAGGTTGGTGATGGAGTTGCTGAAAGATAGAGGACTCAGCTTCGGTCGCAGGATCCGACTTGTGGTCTTTAGCTTTAGCCAGGTCCGCATCAGATGAAACGTCCAATCTCTTCACGTTTGCGACTCTGTCTAACCAATGTCTGCAAAGGATTCGCGTCTCGCTCTCAGTCAGCGGCATTGCTTCGACCAAGTCCAGCATCGCCTTGATAACGGCACCGCTCATCCACTCCACAGCTGCCTCTGGCCGCAAGTCAGGGTCCGCGTAATAATAATACGAAAAGGAGCCCATGCTACCATGATCTTCGCAGGAGGTTGTTGTCATACCACAACGGTCCTCTCTATCTATAGCCCCAGTGCAGTTATCTTCATGGTTGACACTGTCGGACCCCGAAACTTTGCTCATGTCGTTGGTGAGGGAGTGTGGTAAGCTGTGCTGCGCTTTAGAGTATTCTTCTGCTCGAGTTTCCGGGGCCAGCCGCCGTATTTCATGATTAGGCAAGTAGCCGGTACACGACGCGTCCGGTCTCGTTACACCAAGGCTTTCACGAGAAATATCGGCCAGCTCGTATATGCCTGACGCGGGCGACTTTTCGGGGGCTTTGAAAAGGAATTCCAAGGGGGACATTTGTTACTTGTCCTTAGTTTAATGCGTCAAGTTATAAGATGGTGTGCATATCTGGCTCTCTTTAGTGTTTTTCGGGGCGATTAAGCCGGCGACCGTCAATTTTGCTGCATTCTCGATATAGGACTCGAAGCAAGAACAAAGAAGTGACCGGAAGCGGAAGGACAAAGCGCATTGTTGGTGGAAGCACGTGCCCGTCTCGGGCCACTCCGACGCCAAACCCGCAGAATAGCTGCCATCGCATTGCCAGTAGGCAATGTATCCTTCAAGGAACTGCTCTGCGCTATATGCATGTTATGAGTGTCTCGGGCCTCCATGGCGGCACTCGTGCTGTTGGTAAGCTCATGGCGGACAGAGAACGGGAACATGACCCTAAGGAGCTCGCTTAAGGCCTGCCCAAGCCAAGCAGGAGTTGCTGAGGATGTCAAGAGGGAAGAGAAGCCCTTCCACGATCAAAGGTCGTCTGGATGGAGGGTACCCACTCTCGGTGTGGGATTCGACCAATCACAGCTCCTCGGCCTTGACTGCGACGACACACAACAGACACACAAGTATGCTTGAATACGGGCTCGAATACTCAACCTGTAGTGTGCGTTGTGCTTGTTCGGCCCTAGCCTGCGTCAAAATGCAGGGATGCCGTCAAAGAGGTCACGCATCGACCTTAAGCACCCCGTATTGAGGTGCAACGCCTGCTACTCCAACCTCCGTCACGTACTCGTCCCAGTGTTTCAACAATTCCTGTAGCTTTACGGGCTTCTGCTCAGCAAGATCGTCCGTCTCTCCTGGGTCCTCTTTGAGATCGTAGAGCTGCCACGTCCCAGGACCATAGGGGGGCGGAATCAAGATTGCTTTCCAGAAACCCTTGCGGATTGCTTGCCGGTCAAACAACTCCCAGCCTGTGACCGTAGTCTCATCGTGGACTGCTACATGTGTTTTCGGGTCGACTAGATGCGCGGCCCACGACCTTCCGCGGACTGGGACGATCTCGCGTCCTTTATACTGCTTTCCGGGATGCTGGGTTCCGGCAAGTTCCAGGAGCGTTGGGCAAATGTCCATGACGGTGGTAAAAGAATGGTCGATCGCGCCACGTTGCGAGCCAGTCAACTTTGGGTATCGAAGAATAAGCGGGACCCGAATGCCGCCTTCGGAACTGAAGCCTTTGTACAGCCGTGCGGGGGCAGTTGCCGCCGATGCCCACCGAGGACCATACCAGACATAGCTGTTGCCATTTCCAATGTTTTCCAAACTATTGTCATAGTACTCAGCGATGTGAGCGAAGATGTCACCCTGGATGACTGGGTATGCTTCCATCAACAGGCCCTCGGCGCCGTTGTCCGACATGAACAACACAAGAGTGTTGTCAAGCTCATGAGTGGACCGCAGATAGTCGAGTACGCGGCCAATGTTTGCATCCATGTTCTGTACCATTGCGGCATATGTCTCCATGGTTCGAGAAGAGAACGCGCGCTCATCATCAGAAAGAGTCGCCCAGTCGCGCGATAGCGGAGTAGTCACAGGAGGTGTGATGACATCGTGAGCTCTAGCGTGTTTTGGTATGAGGCCGAGCTCTCGAAGTCGTGCCAGGCGTTTTTGACGAAGGACGTCTGGGCCCTCATCGTAACGACCACGGTAGTCCAAGCGGTCGCTTTCCGGGGCCTGTAACGGCCAGTGCGGAGCTGAGAACGGCAGATATGCAAAGAATGGCTGCTCTTTAGTGTGGTCGTCCCTCTCGCCGAGATATTGGAGCAATTTGGAGGTGAACGAATTTGAGGAGAAGAAGTCTTGACCGAGTTCGGTGGGGCTGATATGCTTGTCATCCTCGACATAGAAGATTTGCGTCTTTCCCAAGACTCCAGGGGGGTTTTGACTGGCAGGTAGCTGCGGTTCCCACCCGTAGTGATTACCTGCTCCGGGAAGAAGACTAAAGGAGCGGTCGAAACCACGATTATAGGGCCAATGGTCCTGCGAAAGTCCAAGATGCCATTTACCCGCCATGATAGTGTGATAGCCCGCATCTCGCAGTAATTCAGGCAATGCTGCAACTCGATCGTTGAGGTAACCCTCATAGCCTGGTTGATCGCGTTGAAATTCCCGGATTGACTCGATCATAGCACCAACTCCAGCGATATCTGCACCAGTCAATTACGAGGGGGCCGAATAGAGGCGTTTGCTGCCTTACGGTTATCTGTGCCACTCAGTAGCATGGAGCGCGTCGGCGAACAGGCTGCTGCGGAGTGGAAGTCCGTGAACCGCAGCCCATCGTGCGCCAGACTGTCCAGATTCGGCGTACTGATCTCGCTGCCGAAGGCACCAACATCGGAGAAACCAAGATCATCGGCCACAATGACCAGGAAATTTGGTCGTTTGCTCATGGCTCACAGATTCTAGGGACAGAAAAAGCCTATTCCTAGTCAACGAGCTGGGTATAATAAGTATTACGGACAAGCAAGAAGGAGATGGGCCGGTGCCGCCACATTGCCTTCCGGGCGGAAAGGCACAAACCTTGGCTAACATGGCGTGCTCGGCTGAGCGGCCAGGGCATGTTGGGTAGCTATCTACACACAAGTACTCGTCTGAGGAAGATAAGAGAGAACCGAGTCTACCTCTACGGAGCTCGCAAGCAGCCTGCGAGAAGAATATTGAAGACGTTCTGATTGACACGTGACGTCATGCACGACAGCCCGGTGTCGACGCCTTGTCACGCTACGCTTCATGTCTGATATAGCTTCGCTTCTTTCTCTCCTGTAATAAGGAAAACGTGTAGACTCCCTACAGAGTACATATGCTATACTGAGCTCTCAGTAGTCTCGAAAACGGTGTCTGGAATAGAGACAGTAGTAGTCATAAAGTCACGCGTGACGTCGCTCGCTACGTTCAGACTAACGAGGCGGAAGGCGACCCTCCAGTGATCAGCGGAAGGAAGTGCCACCTCGGTCTACCTGGCACAGAAGACAACAGCACTCAGATGTGTCGCTTAGAACATGATACAGTCTCTGCTTTCCAGCTAAAGTAGCTCGGATTTGTATCATTGTCCATTAACTTTCCTGGATCCCTCCCTCCACATAACCAACACTACCCCGCCATGAACCTCCTTGACCTCCTCGACTATCTGTACCGCGGCGCCTACGTCGAATGGACGACCCTCATTCACCACCTCAGCAACGCCGACATTAAATCCTTGCGTCTGATCCACCGCGCCGCATCCCCGGATCTCTTTAACTTCCTCTTCACCCGCATTTATGTCTCTGCGCACACTGCCGACCTCGGCGTCTTCCGCCGCATCGCCTGCCATCCTACGGCGCGCCACCACGTCCAAGAGCTAATGTGGGACGATTGCACCTTCGATAGCTGGATCGGCGGCCAGCAGACCTACACGGACCGCCTGCTCGCCACCACCACCGTGCCCCGCCACGTGCTGAAGCACGAGCAGGACGCTATCGACGAGGCCTACCGCTTCTGGGCCGCCGAGGCCACCTCCTTCGCCGAGAATCGAATCGAGGGCGTGGATCAGCAGGTGTTCAACGACCACGTGCTCAGCTTCCCAAACCTCCGCAGCGTCGTCGTGCTAAGTCGGTCGCGCCTCACCTACGTCGACCCCGAAGCCTACTGGCGGCTGTGGCAGACGCCGCGAACGCGGATCTGGAGCTCGAAACCTTTTGCGCGGTACCTGTTGCAGCCGGAGTCGTTCAAGCCCAGCACGGGCACGACGGGGAGCCAGTCGGAAGGTATACGGCCGATGCGCATCATCCGGGCCAAGGCGAGGAATGATTCGAGCTTCAGGGTCGGGCACTTAAGCATCAATTCTATCGGTGGGGGACAGAGTCGCGCGTCGGGCAGCGCCATGATCAATGCCAATCGCTTCGACAGGAAATTTCACATTGATCTGCAGCAATTGACGTCTACATGTCCGGAGACGAGTCGGGGCAAGATAGCCTTGCAGCTCTTCCTCGAGACTCAAACCGAGGACATGTTTCGCTCAGCCGGAGTGTTGGAGGACAATCTCGATCTATTGATGATGGACACAGCCTCCTCATTGGAAAGCATCACAGTCGCCAACATCTGCCTCGACTGGTTTCTGGACTATAGCACGATTGTAAACACCCAATTTCCCTATCTCCGCACGCTGAAACGTGTCGCAATCGAGGGAGGCTCTTCTGACGACCCGCTTCAATTACTGTACTTCCTGGCTCGTCACACCAACGTGCGCGAGGTCGTCTTCGATCAAGTCCACCTGGAAACCATGTCCTGGATCGACGTCCTACAACAGTTAAAGCAGGAACGCATAGCTTTCGACGTTTTCGAGCTCAAGATAAGCCGGGCCAAGACGCAGATGCTCCCGCAACCGGTGGAGACCTGGACACGCCCACGCACAGGGTTTAGCGACCAGATCGTCTCTTGGCTCAAAGGCGAAAGCGAGGACTTTCCCTTGCTGTATGAATGAAAGTCTGAATGCGGAGAGCTTTGAGGTATGTTTACAAGATTGCGAGACTGGCTGTTGCTGGCAGACTTCATAGAAGCCATTTTGAATAGACCCATTGGATGCGCTCTAGCACCTTGATCTGGCGATCGATGCCCATGCGGATGTCCATAAGGTCGTTGAAATCCTCGAGAAACTCTCGCTGCACGTTGCCGGGGAGTACCTTCACCGCCCGTTGCCGCAGGACATGGCCTTCACACAGCAGGAGGCCGTGGTCTTTGTACGACAGTATCCCGCTCTCCGTGGGCGTGCAATTCGTCAAAGTCCTGTCGATGTTTCTCAAAAGTCGCACTATTTGGCCCTGCTGCTTCTTTTGCTGGAGACCTCTGCGGCCGCCGAAGGTGTTTCTCAGCCATTGCGCAATGAAGTATGAGATCAAGACTCCAGGGGCGATGCCAACAAAGCCGAAGAGAAGCTCTTGGCTTTTCAGAAGGGAGTCGATGCCGCCGATGGCAACCTCGACATCGACTTTGGTCTTCTGGATCTGGATGAGGAGGGTACGGACCAAGTCTCCCATGACTGCGTTCTTGATGGGGCTTTGCATCTCCCGCTCGTACGCCTTTAGTACTGGTGTGAGATCCCCCTCTTTGACTTTGAGTCTAAGCGACGTGATCTCGGAGTCGCTGTACTTTGTCCCGTTCTCGGGGTGCTCGATGGCAAAATCAACCACCATGCGTTCGAGGCTGTCGCGATCGGCCTTGAGACTCTCTTTACTCTGGATCGCGATCTCGCTGTCTGCGTCGTGGCGAATGGTGCCGATCAGCCTCTTGGTGGGCTCGATGACCCAGTTCAGCCAGAAGTCTTGAGCCGTGGAGCCGAAGTCTCGGACCCACTGTACAATCTCGGCTTTTCGGTTCGCAAGGATGCGAAGGAGCGTACTGCCGGAAAGCAACAAGAAGACGCCAGGAATCCAGTATCGAACAAGCCGCGAGGGCTTACCAAAGTCGGTACTCACAACAGTGTACTCGCCCTCCTGCTGGGGCAGGTGATCATCGAGTATATGGAGTATACGTTTGGCGAGCTTGGAAGGGTCGGTGGTACTCTCGTTTGCCTCATTCACGGCCACGAACTCAGGGTCGCCTTCGACGGCGCTAAAAACACTTTCCTCAAAATCGCTCACATTCGCTGCGTCATCAACAGTAGCATTTCGCAGGACGTTCTCGAGTAGTGATACGCTTTTAGCAACGGTGCTCCTCCATTGTGAGCGATCCAATGCTGGGGAGGGACTTTTAGCATCAAGGTCCTGCACAGGCTGAAACGAGAGACCCTCGTCAACGATGAGGCCGATGGAGGTGGCGTTGGTTTCTCGTAAACGCTTGATCCTGGTCTGGTGTTTGCGCGCTTGCATGCGGCAGATCGAGAAAGGCGACAGGATTTTGGTTCCTGCTTGAGACAAGGATCTTTCCTTGATGCTGTTCTGAACGAGAGTGTAGAACTCCCGCCAGCCTTCTTGTACAGACGATTGCGCCTCTTGAGCAGACTCTCGAAGTCCATGGTTATTCTGCCATTTCTCTTTTGCGTCGGCATAGACTTCTTTTGCTTGCTTATAGAAGCGCTCCGGGCTAGTCTGGATCGTGTAGAGTACGGTGTTGGTATACGAGCCCAGTACGTCATCCCAATACCAGATTGATTCACTCAAGGGGATGGTCTGCTCCAGCAGCGAGTTCAGTATCAAACCGTATAGCTGAACCGTAGCCTTTCCAACTGCAAGCCAAGCAAGCTCTGCATCATCTCCAGAGTGATGGGCCGAACTTTGAGCTTCCGACTCTTGTGCAAGTTGAGCAACCAAACCTCGCAGTCTGTGTCGGGTCAAGAGGGGCCTCGATGCGGAAGTAGTGGACAAGGCTCGGACCGTAGTAGTCAGGCGAGAATCCTGAGTCGAGTCAGGCGCATCCACTTGCAAAACCTCCGGTTCCTCTGTCAGAAGGGAAGCCCGTCCGGAAGAGGCTTGAAGGACCTGGAACTTATCAAGGGCCGCGTCCAGACGGCGTATCTGGCTGTTGTTTTGTCAATAGCTGTCTTCAATAGTAAATCGCTCACATACTCGTCGACTATTGACATTGCAGCTGTCACACGAACAACAGCTCCTCGTGCTGTGTGCCAGGCTCAGGTTAGCCTCAAGTGTAGGACGCAGGCTAGAGAAGGCACGAGTAGCCCTATCGGTGGCTCGTACTGGCCCAGATTCTCAGTCGCAGCAGTATACCCAGATTAGCTAGGCGATGAAAAGCTCGGGTAGCTCACACTGCAGTTCTTGCGGAATGTCATGTCAATGTCGAACATTGACGTCATTTCATTTGGATATTCTTACCTTCAGCTTGTGGAGGCTCGGGTACTGGGCCCGCTAAGCCCGCTTTCTCTCCATATGCATCCCCCAGCGGAATAGAAGATTCGATACTCCTTCAAGGCTGCCTAAGTACAAGCGAGATCTCAAGCCTGCCAGATCTTCAAGGTTGCGGTCTGGGTATTAGAAGATGCGCCACGTTCCTGTTAGGATGTGTCTGAGACGACTGCGTCTGCGTCGCTCACAGTAACGAGCACAATAGAGCATGCTGGCATTTATGCTGTTGCCGTCTCTTGATTGAGCCTTGATTGCCACCGACGACCTTGCGCAAGCGAGGCAGTAAAGTATTGAAAGCTAACGGCCGTGATGGGCATGTCGTTTGACGTCCCCACGGCTGCCAAGAAACGCTGCGGCGCCCCTGCTCGAACCTCGCTCCAGGCTACATCATTCACCTGCGTCCTCCCTCCACTTCCGCTTCCGAACTTCAATCTGTCGCACCATTTCCCGCGTAACCACTCGTGCCCAAAGGATCGTTGCGCATCCTCCATAAGCATTCAGCAGCCTTGTTCAAGCTGTCAAGCAAGCATACAACCGGCAATCGGACCATTTGCAGCGTCCTCGAGGCAGACCGACCGGTGATCACGACCGCTGCCCAACGACATTGAGTGCCTCATACTCGCCTCCTCTCACTGTTCTACGACTGTTGGCATTCTGTAGCCCATATCGCCTTCTTCAACAGCCGCCATGGCAGGCACGCGAAACTACGACTTTTTGGTACGCATGCCCTGACACCGCTCCCCCCCTCAATCAAGATCACTGACGTCGAACGCAGATAAAACTGCTCCTTATTGGGGACTCTGGTGTTGGAAAGTCATGTTGTCTACTGCGGTTCTCTGAAGATAGCTTCACCCCTTCATTCATCACTACCATCGGTATCGACTTCAAGATCCGGACGATCGATCTTGATGGCAAAAGAGTCAAGCTACAAATCTGGGATACCGCCGGTCAAGAACGTTTCCGAACGATTACCACAGCATACTACAGGGGCGCCATGGGTATCCTCCTCGTATACGATGTTACTGACGAGAAGTCATTCAACAGTGAGCACACTACTCTGAACCTTTTTCGATTCGTACTAACCAGTTCGTTAAGATATCCGGACTTGGTTCTCCAACGTCGAGCAACATGCATCAGAAGGTGTGAACAAAATCCTGATTGGCAACAAGTGCGACTGGGAAGAGAAGCGCGCAGTCTCAACAGAACAGGGCCAAGCCCTTGCCGATGAACTCGGCATTCCCTTCCTTGAAGTCTCGGCCAAGTCCAACATCAATATCGAGAAGGCCTTCTACTCATTAGCCTCTGACATCAAGAAGAGATTGATCGACAGCAACAAGGATGCTCAAGCGGCGCAAGGTGGCGCCGGAACCGGGGTCAATGTTGGTCAAGGTCAGCAAGCCGGGGGCATGGGCGGTAAGTGCTGCTAAGCCCGAGTCTGGTGCTTTTCGGGAGATTTGGGATCTATACAGCACACTACAGGATCAAGGGTCACTTGAACGCAGAAAGTGCCAGGTTTCCTTCTCACAACACCGGGGAGCCTCGATTCAAAGGCAAGCCATGGCTTTCGAGAGTCTCTACCAAGCCATGGACGACAGATACTCGAGCGGACCAGAGCATCAAGAATCGATAGAGTCAGGGATCGCCTTCATAGAGTGTCGGAAACACCGATTCTGCATCGCGGTTTTACATTTCCAAGGACTTTTTCAAGATTTGGTTTGCTTGCCTGCAACCGCATTCTGGACGGCGCAGTACGACGGATGGGCAGCTGGCGGGCGGGTAGGTGGGGAGACGCCGAATGCTTTTTGGCATGCGGCGCTCTTAAGTACTAGATATACGTGCTCAGAACGAGAATGCGAGCGTTTTTCCTAATGATCTATTTCTCGCGGAAACATGAAGCTCCAGGCATCGCTACTGGCGTGGCATCTGCTATGAGAAGACAGGCAGGGAAGCTTAGGCCGGGCTCAATGGTCGTGGGGTTAGAAAAGGGGCGATTCGTACAACTTTGATATCGGGGTCTGCTTCCTAGAACGCACCACCGCCGCCAGGGGTCAGACGAGGGACCAGAGTTTGTCTTGTGGGTTGTATTGGCTGCACGTGGGCTGGTATGTGTTGCCTACCGCAATCGCATCGACGTTGTCTCATATGCTCTTTTCACTTCCGCGCCCCCGTTTCTCTCCAACCAATTATGATCTTCCATGTTTGCCCCCGCGCACTCAAGGTGGCTGCTCCCAAAGATGCTTCGTGGATGTGTGTTTGGTCGTGCAAGTCGTGAATCCCGGGTGGATTATTGCTGCGTCGGCGATTTCGCCTTGAAGCCAGTTCTCGAGCTCTTCGAAAATCTAGATTCCTCAAAGCGAAAGCTATCGGCGAAGACATGCCGGTCTAGTAGCCAGAGCCGACGAGGTAGTCGCCCAGCTTCTCAACGGTGTTCGCGGCGCTGCCGGGCTGGACGCTTTCAGGGTAGTGTGCGATGAGGAGCGCCTGCTTGGTCTTTCGGATGACGATGCCCTCCTTGCCCTGCAATAGATATGTTGTCAGCTCCTGCGCTCAGAGACACCGTCTGTAGACTAGGCGAGCCCTTAGTCTCCTTACCTTCTTTCCGTAAATGCTGGTGTCGTCTGCCTTGAGTACTATGAACTTTTCACCGGCCACATGCAACCCGGTGCTCTGAATATTCTTGGGTTCTGCAGTATCTTTGAAGGCAGTGACAATTTCTTGCATTTCCTGCGGCGAGACCTTGAAATTCGATGAGGTTGCCCAAACGCTGTCGCCTGCGGCACTGACGATGGCGGCTCGGTCGACATCACCGGTGCCGACGAGGCTAGGATGGGGTTAGACGCAAGAATGGTAGACATGGAAAAGGTCATACCTTGTGTCAACATATGCTGCGAGTGGTCAGCGCCGTGTTCGACAGCATACAGGTTGAGGGCACGTCAACTTACCTTGCCAAGACATGGTGGGAGGCACTTGAGATGTCTGAGACTAGGAAATGAGTGGCCTGTCGGTGCGACTTGGGAGCAGGGTATCGTGGGTCGTAAACGGATAACAGACGCGCTGCGTTCGATGTCAAATGGGACTGAAGGGTCGGATGACAGATGCGTTGAATGTAGGTGAGAGGATGGACTGATGGAAAGAGAGTGGGGTGCACCTTGAAGATCGCGGGATGAAATTTCGAGCGGTGGTTGATACCTCTGACGTTGCAAGGCGTTGTTTGTTTGGAGGGGCGGCGGCCGAGGGCTGCCGCGCCGAGGCATGGGGGCTGCCTTTCAGGCGGTTGAAGCCGATCTTGCAGCGCCAAACCCCGCCAGAATCACGCAAAAGCTCCCTTTGGCTTTTCTCTACTATTCAAGCTTCCTACAACTCTACACAGACCTCGCTCAGACGCAGATGAGTAGCAGACAGCAAGCATGCGCAACGCGTGGAGGGGCAGCTGCTCGTCGCTTCGATGCGACTGTCATCAGGCGATCGTAGCAGTAAATACCGCGCGGCCAGCGAGCTATACCGAACCAGAGTCAGGCGACACCATCATAACAGGATACCCATTCATGCGAAGTTTCTAGCGAGCCCCCAGTTCAGTGCATCTTCCCAGCCATGCTTGCACTGCGCTACATGTCCAAGCCTGGTTCTACCTCGACGTCATTGACGTACTTGGTACTCAGTTCGAGATAGAGGCAGCATGGACCAATATTGTCCTTCGAGCTACTCCGTCCCGGCCCGTAGTTGTATCTCCGTACCTATGACTCTCAGTGAGTTAGAAGCGGTGCTGCAGCCACAAAAAGGGGTCCTCTTATAGCGCGACGCCGGCGCCACTGAAGTTAGCCTTTCTGTTTCGTTTCGAAACATCTGCACAACATCTGGCACGGTTGTGTGCAGCAGGTCCCAATCCACATGGTGAGGTGAAAATACCCTTCTTGCAGCTGACGTGCTCGCGATGACCCGTTTATAGAACCGGAGCGGCGTCGACATGTCAGCGCCATGGCTCTCATTTTCGGAACTGTGACCATCAAAATGATCCAAAACGGCAAAGGCAGCGTCGTTTCATCGAACAACCACGAACCGGGGGTTAAAATTAATCGACAGGGGATCGGCATCTCGCTTCGGGCGATTCGCAAGACAAGGACGCGCGACCTATCCGGGGCTGGGAGACAGTATACAGCGCTCTTGTACTCCGTACTCGCACAGACACGAGCTCATGATCAGCATTTGCTGTGTTGTAGCCCAGCATTGATAGTTACCAGTCTCCAATCTCGTTATCCCGGTCGCGTGGTGGACTGCTGTGCATGTTCTGTGTGAGTTAATCCTGCTGACCGACGTTGGCTTTAAGCTTGGCTTATCCGCGTAACCCGTGCCAGTGATTGGGCGCCTCGAGCGTGTCCCCACTCATGTGAAGCACACTATTTCTCCTTCCATCTCGAATCCTGACCTCTGGCCTTCGAATTGACCTTGAATCCATGGTCTCTTGCACCCACCCTCTTCTCAGATGGCCGTTGTGTGCCAGCTGTGCCGTTCGGCTGCTCTGACTGGCATTGTCAAAGATTAGTGTCAGCCTTCATCAACTCAGCCGCCTCGGCAGCACCCGCTCGATGCACCACTCCACCTCGTACTGCTCTGCTTTTCGCCTGTGTCACTCTCTCAAAGCGAGCTCTGAGAGGCCCGCCGTGGTGAGGAGCGAGATTCGCGCCCTCCCCTCATGCCTGCTCGCAGCTCGCAATTCCAGATGCTGGCAGCCTTCCATCTAAGCAAACCCTACCCATGGCATGGTAATTAACTTCATCAGCACTTCTTCCCTGTTCTTTTCCTGCCTACCCCAAGCTACAAAGCTTTTACAACATCTTGATTGCAATCGTTGCTTCACCTTCTTTTCTATCAGATTGTTTCCACAGCTTACAGATCGTACGCGTTTCTGCCGCTTGGCAGGATTGACCCAGGCTTTCTCGTTTCTACCACAATTATTGTTTCACTTGCCCCAGGCCCCTTCGCTTATGTGCTTGTCTGTCGGTCGTCCTCGATGATTTTCTTTCGCGGACCTCCACATCACTGATTAACTTTTCCATCTCCTTGCTCCGTTGATGGCATCTGCACCGGCTGGCCTGGTCAGTATGCCTAAACGATGGCTATCAAGGACCGGCCGCCACAATAATACTCCTATCATTTCTTCACCCAAGCCTCCCATCTTCCATAATAATATCGATTTCGATTTCGCCTTCACGGATCTCCACTCCCAGCGAGCCGCCGAAGTCGCCAATCTCTCCGCCCTACCCTCAGCTTCCCCTAACCATGTTCGACCAACTACTTCAGGTGGTGTAAACGACCGACCGCGGAGGAAGCCCGATATCGACCTTCATTTCAAACGACCGAAGACGTCAGAGGGCCCTTCATCGCCGCCATTGCATAAGCCCGAGTCGACCAAACCTCGGTCCCAGTCCGAGGAAGACCTCATTGGCGTTGCTATTGGAAGTCCTGGACACCCACCAATGGCTTTCTGCAACACCAATGGCGAACAGAGCCCTCATTTACCAGAACATGTCTTTGGTCTACAAGGCCCGTTTCCGGAGCAAGCACGTCTTCAGCCCGCGAAGTGGAAGAAGCTAGGCAATCTTTTTCGAGCCAAGCAGGGCTTCTCTAAGTCAAAGCATTATGAGGAGATCGATCGAGGGTATGATCCGGGCCCCAGACATCATTGGTATAAACCTAGAGCGCACACGCCTGAGCCGATTGGAGTTCCACCGTCAATACGGATCGACCGCGAGCATACCGAGAAACTTCACGAAGGGAGCGAACCGAAGACAATCCTCGACCTCGAGCCATCGCCACCAGTTGGTCTGGTTTCTACCGGCAAGAACGGTGCAGACTATCCACGTCAGCAGGCCTCGTTGCCGAAGCTCGACACCAGCGAGTCGGCCCTGCGCAGCCTGCCGTCTGCGAATTCCTCTTCGTCTCTCCTTGCTCGTAGGAGCCGGACTCTCGAGAACCTCAAGTCGCAGAACCTGTCGAGACCATCGACTGAAGACTCACGGAATGACAAAGCACCCAAGTCGGCCGATCGACCACGTTCAGCACGTCGTCAGAGTACTCCCACCTTATCGTATCCGCCACCAATCACCGGGCCTAGGTCTTCCACACATTCACCTGCCGTCAGCAAATACTCGTTATTCCCTCCTACACAAAACGGTAAAGTCAACATAAAGTCTCCAACCGCAGGACGCCTTGGAAGATCGAACACGTCGCCTGCTCGCCTCTCCCCAGCGTCATCACGATTTCCCGCGGCGGATGTTTGTCCGGCCCAGCAACGTCGTGGGGTCGTCAATCCGCTTACAGACGGCACAGGTGTAGCGGCAGTGTCTAGCCCGGAGGAGCACACTGCGTCAACGCAACGCACCGACAAAGAGCCCTGGAGTGCTGCGCACTCAACGAAATCTTCTGCCTCCTCTTCGACGACAATGGAAGAATTTTTCTTCGACATCAAATCGTTCCGAGATTCTCGTGGAGTAGACCAAGCCGGCCAGTTTGTCATGACACGGCCCGATTCTGTCCAGGTCTCCCTGGCTAGGACGCGGTCGAAGCTCAATGCAGCAAGTCGGACAGACAAAAGGCCTGAAACCGAGACAGAAGCTGAAACCAAGGCGCCTGGAGCTCCTGAGTCAAGTAGGTCAACCATAACGGCTAATAGTACGCCAAACCCCAACGACAGCCGATTCTCTGTTACCACTGCCATCTTCGACGAAACGATAGCAGCAGTTGAAGCCATGTCGCTGCCAGCCTCTATGAGGGACAAAGCCGCTGCCATTGCGGCCCAACTGCCTAATTCGAAACTCGCTCATCCGCATTCAGGTAGCAATCAATCCAACCAGATCGGTGCTGATCAGATGGCGAGGGCACGAGCGAACACTCCTCCAAAGCACGCCGCCTCAACGAAGCTGCTTCCGCCCGACCCTGGAATGCCCTCTTCGCATGTCACAGCCCCCCGCAGAGGCTCGGAAAGCAGAGCGACACCTTCTCAGATAGCCGAGGATCCGGCACGCCATACTGAGAGCGTCAACTTGTCCGCGGAAAGGGTTACGGTCGCTTCAAGAGGTATCTCTCCGAACCCGTTGTCGTCCGTCGCTGAAGATGATGTTTCGTCGAAAGCAGCAGAACCCGCTATTCGGAAGGAAGATGCGGCTGTGAAGGCCGAGGAGAAGCACCAAAAGCCATTGCCTGCAAAATCCGAAGCGCTTGTGTCAAGGTACCGAGCTGAGTCTCCCGTTCACGTACAATCGGCAGTCCCTGCCATCGCTCCATCGCAGATGACACCCTTGTCTGCCACCTCGGTGTATTCGCAGTCCTCCCAGAAGCTGCCTTTGTCCGCAACGCCCAAACCCCAGCCCGAACCCGTTAACAAATTAGTCCAGGGGGCGGCGGCGAAAACTCGGCTTCATGATAGACCTATCGAAGAGTCCCCTACTATCCCACAGTCTCCAGGTCCTGGGAAACACAACCCGAACCGTTTCACACGCAAGGAAAGACCACCTCCAGTACCCGAGAAGGACTCGAAATTCATTCCTATTTCGAGGTTTGCATCGAAACGCACCGTTGAGAAGGTTGAACAAGTGGGCATTATTCCGATGAGGATGACTAGGTCAGCGACCGACAGCGCAGTTGTGTCACCGGCGCTCAGCCAAACGAGGGTTGGCGGCTACCGAAAGCCGGAACAAACCGCGGACGGCACCAGGAGACCACTGAGAAGCGAAACCCTGCCCAGTGCAAATTCACCGATGCTCTCGCAAACGGTGTACAAGCCATCTCCAAACCTTGGGCAACCACAGGCTCAGGGTTCGCCCCAGGCAAGAGAGGGCATAACTGTCGTGCAAGCGAAACCAGCCGCAGAAGTATCTGTTGCACGGACTGTAAGCTTATCCAGAAAGCAAAGCGCGCGGGTCATGGTTCCAGGCCCGAAGCTGCAAGCTAGACGAGTCGAAGAAGAGGCCAAGCAGAAAAGCAAAGAACGAGTGGCCGCGCCGACGGGCCTGGGCCTAGTCATGGGTGACCCGGCTCCCATGCCAAGCCACAAGAAACAGATCTCTGAATCGTCGCTTGATCGCGATCGAAAGGGGCCCCTCAATTCGAATCCTAGCACCCCAGAGCATGCCATCGAAGATCCTGTTGAGATGGCAGAGCGTGAGAAGGCGCAGAAGGCCGCAATTGTCGAAGCAGCCAAGGCACGCGCTCGTGCCAGGAGGGCTGAGTCGCAGAATAGAGAACAGAAAGAGCAAGAAGCAAAGGACAAGGAGCGGATTGGGAGCTATCGTGATAGCCAGGGCGAGGACGAGAAAGCCAGGTGGGAGATCCTAGAGAAACGAGCGATGAGTCCCCTCCTCGTTGAAGGTCAACGTGGGCATAAGCCAGGCGTGAGTGTCAACGTTATCCTGGAGACTGCATGAAAACGCGCTGCCTCTCGACGAATTGGGAGGGAGGGGGGTCGGCGTTTTGATGCTTGCATGTGAGATCTACATCAGATTGAGTCTGAGATGAGGGGAGACCCCTTGCCTCTTCCACCTTTATGCATAGCCTGGGTGTTTTTTGAGTGTCCGAGCACAAGGAGTGGTGCTGAGCACCTTCCGGAACACTACTGATGTCATGAGCTTGGACACCCCGATTGACGATGACGACTTTCCTATGTAAGCATACTCGAGGCGTCAGTCCTACGGCTCCTGGAGCGAGCGAGCGAGCGCCTGCTTGTAGAGTGTCTAGAGATACTATGGCTGGAATATGCCTACAAGGTCAAATACATGCATACAAGAGACTGCTTCCATCCACGCATTTCCCACCAGATGTGGTCACATTCACGATCCGGTGCTCCGCATTCGAGGAGTACATTTCCATCGACTCAGCCGTTCACCTGGCTTCCAGCCTTGTGGTGGTTCGGATAAGCCAGGGTATTGATTGGATGCATTGAACAGATAACTGCGGGTGCCTGGGCTGAGCTACAACTCCACGCACGGGCACCCCAACCAATAGATTTGCGGGCGCCTGCTGTGTGGCTGTGACGCGTGAGTTCGTGCATTATATCCGCTTCGGCTCTAGACATTTGTACTTTTGGGCCGAAGCCTCCAGTGGTGGAGTTGTGGTACTCACATATAAGGAACGTCGACTGGCTCTCCCGCGCGAGGTGAGTCTCAATCTGAGACTTTGCTGGCTTTTACGTAGCTACAGCGACCGACGTTTCTGCGCAGAACGGGCTGTTGACGAGCGGGTCCCACTTCATCTGCTTCAGAAGGATTTTAGAGATGTCGCACGAGGACCTCAAGTCCAGCGCGCACGTGTGGGGCGGCGACGGCAATGAGGGCGACAACAGTCAACAGCGCCAGTCTTTATCAGATGCACCTACGCAGCAAGAAGCGACGCCTTCTGACGCCCCGCCTGCTTACTCGTCGAGTAGCCACGGCACCAGCACCGGCGCCAGCACCAACCCAAACGCCAGCACCGGTATCGCCACGACGACCAGCACCTCTCCGTCTCGCTCCCACCCCCCCACGAACCCCCTCGCCCAACTCGCCAGCCTTGCCAGCCTCCCCTTCCACCAATACCAAGTCCCCGCCTCAGCCCTGAATCCCGACCGCACCACCCTCACCACCACACACGCCCCCTTCCTCACCAACCCGGACTCCCTCACCAACCTCATCCTCCAACAATCCGCCCTCCCACCCAAACCCTCTCTCCGCATCAGCGGCACCCACAAAACCTCATCAGGCGAAACCACCACCGACTTCGACCTGACCCTCAGCCTCCTCCCGCTCCTCGACGTCACCGAACCATCCTCATCACGTCTCCGCCTACATCCCCCACCACAAACCTCCGGTGGCGGCGGCGGCGGCAGCGGCGGCAGCAAACTCTTCTCCAAATCATCCTCGTCCTTTTCATCCCGGGAACGCTCCCCCCTCGACATCTGGGCCCGCCACTTCTGCGTCACCGACAAGTCGGAGCACCGCAGCCTCCGTCTCCACCGGCGCATCGAGGGCGTCTCGGCCGCCGCGGCACTGCTCGAGGGCCACGTGCGCACGCTGCTCGCCGCGCTGAAGTACCGCGGTAAACTGGACGTGGCTTTCCCGGTCGAGTATGAGGACGTGGTGGTGCATAAGCGGCCGGGGAACTGGTTGGTGGGGTTGTTGAGGATTTATCCGGAGAAGAGGTTTGAGGTTGGGGAGGTGGTGTGGGGGTTTGGTGGGTCTGCGAGTGGTGGTGGTGATGATGGGTCGGTGTTGGTGGGGTTGTGGTGGCGGGAGTGGGAGGGGGTGGTCCGGAATGCGGTGCTAGCGCGCGTGAAGGGGAGGGTTGGCGTGGAGGATTGGGTTTGTTGGCGGATGGGCGCGAGGGAGGCGGAGAGGAGGGTGGAGTGGGGTGTGGATTGGGCGGGTGATACGTTTTAGTGTATGGGGGAGCTTTTGGTGGGGAAGTGGTGGATGTAGAGTTGTATCTCACGCTATAGACTTGTTAATAATGACGCACGATGCTCGCACGGCCAGAACTGTTGTGGGAAGAATGGTTGATGTGGAAACTGTAGCTTTGGATAGTTCGTGTCGCTGTACGCCATATCAGATCGAAGAAAGTGCTTCAAGAAGAGAACGCTTGTAGTATGTCTCAGCGGAGGAGCAGTTGCCGTACGGAGCAGACTTCGGATGCGGTGTCTGTTGGGTTAGTCGTGTTGGACGCGTCAATCATGCGCACTGAACGACAGCGACAACTGCATTGACTGGTTCGTCCACCTTAACAATCTGTTCATCAGGGAAACAAAGCGGTGTGGAAATGCGAGATCGAAGAAATTCGTAACTGAAGGGTCGTTGCCCGTGCTTGCAGGCACATTGTCGAATATTCATGTGTTCAAATACAGTACAAAGAAGTTGGAGAGGTATCGAAAGTAAAAAGTAGGCCATCAAGCCCGTATTAGAGAATTTCATGTAGGTGTTCGCTAACTTTTAAGACAATAGAAGGCGCTGCAGGTGTTTCGCTGATGAAAAAGGGACCGGACCTGCGTGGGAGCAACAGTCTACGCTTCGGGGTCTCGTGGGTATCATCGTAAGTGTCATGGCTCTGCCACGTAAACAATCGTTGAGTCGTTCTGAGTAGGTGACATTCGTCTCGTCTAAAGCGCACTGCGCTGCTCGTCGTGACGCATGTCAAATAGTGGGCAAGTTGCATTCCGGTGCAAAATTCTTGGTGCGACCCGGACGACCGCCGACAGGTATTGCCATCCACAGATTTATCGTTGAATGGTGGCTCTGTCGACCGAAACACGCCGTACTATACGCCGGGATCGCTAAGTGCTTCAGCACTTCGTGTAGGAAGTCTCCAGCTGTTTTCCATGCCAGAAGGCATGTCGGCGGATAGCTTGAGGATGTAGTGAGCCTGATTCGCTCAACTCTTCAGGGAAAAATGTTGGCTTCGTCGTCCAGGGTCGAGAAAGGTTCATCTTCTGGCAGGACCAAGATGCCTGACGGGGACGCTCACTTCATACCAGTATGTGCATCCAGAATAATCGTGAGCTTAGCGCCCTTGTCGTTAGCCGGCTTCAGGATCTCTTGCAGCTCGGACGGTTTGATCATGCCTTCTTTGAATGACCGGAAGTCGACCGGGTAGATGGTTTCCATCTCTTCATCTGCGGTGGCAGGGCTGCTTCGAGAGGGTTTCTTGCCTTTGGCTTTCTTTTTGTTGATCGACACACTCCCATGGCCGCTATAATATATTACGAGCTTTTCGCCCTGCTGTGCATTCTTCGCGAGCCAGAAGAGCGCACCGAGGACGTTTTTCTTGGTTGGCTGTCCAAAGGGTCCGTTTTGGTCGTCGGTCAAAAGTATGATGTCCTCTTTTCGATATCGCTTGACTTGCTGGAGGTACCGCGACAAGTTGCGAGCCTCGTCTACACGCCCCCTCATCTCGCCCTTCTGGTTGAAATAATTGATTCCGATCACTACCGCTCTGCCTACCGATGGTAGAGTTAGGTTCGGAGGAGTTGATGGGCTGTATGCGCTGTGTGACGGGGCTGGGGACAGATGCTGCATGATGTGCGGACCCGGGGTATACGCTGGCGTGGTATAGGTAGGGGAATGCTGCTCGACAAAGTACTGCTGAGGGTATGTCGAGTGCTGTTGTGATGAGAAGGCTGAGATTTGTTGGAAAGGAGGCTGGTATGACTGCTGCGGAAGGGTGAAGGGCAGATAAGGCATTTGGTTGCTTGGGTAGACATCACCCTGATCAAAGGGCTGGTAGGGTGGAAAGGTCATTGTCGTGTAGAATGACATGGCCGTAATAGAATACCTCGTGGGGTGATGGATGTGATGTCGATGGATCTGCAAGAAAGGGTGTGGGTGTGGGTGTGGGTGTGATATGCTTTTGCTTTATGGTGAACAGCAACTACCCGCGAGCCCTCGCTCTGGTGCATCGGGTGCATGATTCCATTTTCATCCTCCGGGGTTCCGAGAAGACGATCTGGCATTGGTTAACCACCGATTAGCTGGTCGAAAGCCGTGGGCACGCTGATATCTCCTTGTTGGGGCAGCCTCGCACACCACAGTGCCACGGCAGACGGCCCGGTGGAGTGACTGAGCCACACCCGCGTGGCATGGAGAACGATGTTCGCGCGGGTTTTATGTCAAACATGGTGCAAATAATGTCTAATATGAGCTCACTTTGTGAGCTTTTTGCTGAGGTATCAGCGAATTGCGATGCTTTCAGCTGGCTTTGAACTGAACTAAGCCTCTTGCAGAAGGGCCAGTCGAGTAGCAGGCCGGGAGCAACACGGGGATGCCTAAAACGTCGAGTCCAACCCTGCTGAGACGGCACTGCCGCACTCCACGCACTCCAACTTTGCATACTCAGCGTGACAGGGGTCAAAGAACGTTGGATTTTAGCCTATTGATGCGCGATTGAAAATTTGTTCCCCGAATGGCAGGGCTGGACTACCACTCGCACGGGTTGCGCAAAGTGGTTGGTATCTTGTTCCTGCATTAATGCGCTCTCGCAATAGCCTCTCGTGTTCCCCAGATTCAGCTCTGCGAGGGTGCGGCGCCTCCCGACTACGCTGCTGGAGCAGCTCATGGGCTGGCAGCACTGAGACCGCGTGTGTCCGGAATGACTGAGACCGAGCTGAAGTCCTAGATTCATCGAATTGCTGGTCAATAATTAGTGCCGCCGAGATGAGACAAGAAAGAAATGGCCGGTTGTGGCTTCTTCCTGACCGATGTCATTGTTCGGTCCGTACATGAGCTATTTCTCAAGAACTTAGCTGCTTTGGCCTTCGTGCAGGAGCCTTGTGTTGCTGCCGACGTCAACGCCGGCCATTAGACCATTATTGTTCTCGAAAATTCCTCTAGGACCACAGTACGGAGTATGCAAGGAGATCCAAGGCTCGCGAAACAAGGCTCGGAGCCGCTCGGGCTGCTTCGGGCAGAGGCCCTGCCGAAAGCCATCTCTCCAACTCGGATCTTCGCCCAATGCGACCAAACAGGATCTACAAGTGGAAGGGCGACTATCACGAAGACCCGAGATCTCTGCGATGCTGCAGCCATCATCTGCACGTGCTCGTATCTCTGACAAGGTTTAGATTCACATCGGGGAACGATCTTCCATATCCGCCTTCGCCTACGAATCCGACCGACTCGTGAGCGCCTCGTGGGGTAAGCATCGCAATGGAAGCGCCCAAACCACCATGCAACAGCACCACTGCCGCTGACTGACCGACTGACTTCCACACTAATGCGGGACGAAGCCGGAGTTGCGCTGACGCGGCTACGAAAGAAATGCTGAGGTGTTAAAGTTCCAATTGTAGCAGTCCACGCACTCGCTGTCTCGGTCTGAGGCGCAGGTCGGGGTGGTGTTGTACTTCTCCAAGACTTCAGAGATGACGGTGTTGATTTGATGGTTGGCAATGCTCAAATGCCATCCCAGATCCCCAACCGTGTCATAAGGGCATCGTTTGCCTGTGAAGCACTGGCTTTCGAAAGCATATCCTGCAATACCGCAGGACGATTGCCACCCGTTGCAGGCTCCCATGAATATGGGATCAGCAGTATTGCCGATGTGGTATGTCGGAGGCTCGTTGGAACCTGTAAGACCAAGTCTTTGTGCCGGCAATCTTTCGGGAGGTGACTCGAAGGTCACGACCGGCAAGCCGAATGTATGTCCCACCAGCGAGGCCACAGCGCCGCCGAGCGAATGACCGACAACCCAGAATTCGGAGCCTGGGAACTGCGCCGTCACGTTTAACATGACACTGAGTGCCGTAGCGTAATAGCGGTCTTTCTGTCCAAGTTCCTGGCTTAAACAGGTTTCGTTGCACTGGTAAGTATCTGAGGGACAGTTGCAGACTGGTGGGTACGGGTATGGGTCAGGCCGCTGCGACCCACAACAACAACTAAAGAGCAAATTGTCGTTGACTCTGTCGGAGTACCGCCATTTTTCTCGGGGATCTACCGTGGTGCCCTTGAAAGCAACGATGATCGTCTTGTTCCACGTATCGGCAAAGACATGGCCTCGGAGACCATCGCCATCCCAACCAAAGCTTGATGAATAGTTGAACTTCAGGCTCGTGTTGAGCCAGTCAGGCTGTGAAGGATCAAGGACGTACGCATCCGACGTCATTTTGGCCAGGTTGATGACTGTTGCGCGGTCCGAAACATCAGGCCCGGAAGGAGCAAAGACTGAGTGGCGCTCTGGAGCGGCTACTCCAACCAGGTCGGAATCTGACTTGACAGCGGGCTGCCATGGCTTTGCAGCAACTGCGAGCGGCTGCGGGACGGGTCTGCTGCCCAATGCCGTGACGATATCATTGATAGTTATGTAACCAGGCACTTCGAGGTCATCGAGATCGTGGAAGAATGCGGAACGCCAAGTGAAATCATGCAGTTTTCTCGCTTCGGCTGGCTGCTGAGCAAGAATGGCGGGTTCCTTCGCAAGCAGTTGCTGCTGTTCTGCGTTCACTGATCTGCGCAGAAGGAATAGCCTAACGAAGAGAAAGGTGGCGCCCGCCCGATAGAACCACATAGTGGATGCTTAAGACTCCCGAGGTTGCACAATTGGCTTATCAAATGGTACCGGCAATCGAGAAAGACATCACAATACAGATGATTCCCATAAGGTGAACGTCGGGTACCAGGCAACAGCGAATGCTTCCCAAGACGTTGGTTGCCAGAAGCGTCGATCTAGACTCATTCCGCTTTCATGGCGTTCGTATCATTGGGCGGACTATAGCGGAAATACACGCAGCGACCGGCCTGGCATCAGAACAACACAACAGTAGGCATGAAGAGTAGAAGATACTTTTGAAACAATGTTGCAGTGAGCTCATCATCATCCTCAGCCGCCACTCAAGGCTTGGCGCCTGGAGCTGCAAGGCTGTAGTATGCTAACCAGCTCAGGAACAACAATCCCCCTCGAGGGTCGCGCGAAACTCACGCAAGGCCATTCATTCAGATTACACCTGACACTTTCGAGGTCGACTCTCGATCTAGGACTCGGTCCGGCAGAACTTCGACATTGCTTCCAGCAGCTGATCCAGAACTTCCAGCTTGCAACGGGTGCGCTCGTTACTCTCACAGTAGCCGTCGAGCTTCAGACTCAATCAGGTCCAGCAACTCATCGATCGGGTTGTTCCAAAGCTCTTGATCACATGCATCACTCTCAATGTGCTGCAGAAGCCCGCTCACGTAGCGGAAGGTGGCGTTGCATCCAGGGCACTCGAACGACCATGAGCCACCGCCGTTCGTGGTGAACATATCAGCGTAGATGCAGCCCAACGCCCAGTCGGCGATATCGTCGCTGTCGGTACCAATGCCGCATGTCCCTCGTTCGAGGTGGAGGACCATGGCGGAAGTGGTAGCGAACTCGCGATCACAGCCATAACACTCAACATCGCGCTCGAAGTGGACTTGCTTGTGCTACGACATAATCAGCATACTCATACATGAAAATCCCTGGCCACTGACCATGCGAAGGTTATTTTGGTTCTGGAAAACTTTCATGCACTCGCAGCACTGGAAGTGGACATCCTCGCGATGACGGGCGAGGTCGGAAAGATCGCCTACATCGTAATTGCATCGATCGCAATGGTTGTGGAGGGAAGAGTTGGCGAGGTGTTGGCGGAGGGCATCGGGAGATATGAAAAGCCAGCTGCACCTATTGCACCACTCACTGCGGTGAATACTCGCATTCGAGGCATGCTGGAGAGCGGCGTGTCGACTTCCAAAGGATCGGTCGCAGGAATTGCAGGAATATTCATCGTCATCTTCATCAAGGACGAGCTGGTTTCCGCGGGCCATGACTGTTGCTGTCAGATGTGATGCGCGAGATCTAGGGGAGGGCTAGAAGAGTTAACTTCATCTGCGCATTGGAGACCGGTAGCAAACAGCAAGCGGCAGCCTTATGTAAGTGACAAGGCAGATTGCTAGAGGTGGGCCACTAGGTTGTTTGTTACCTTTTTGTCTGATGGCATCACGTATATACTCTTCCCCCTCGTCTCATCAGGCGCACGGCGGCATCACGGCAAGCGGCAGGACTGGACCGTACTTCCAGCCGCGACTAGTCTCGGTAGAAAGGTTCAGTACCTCACCGATCCCGTCGGTGTCAAAATTGAAGCTCCCGGTCCGGAAGCTCGACCCGCAAAGAATACCTTGCTATGGAGAGCTCCGAGATATCTCTGGCACGTGTGCCGCTCTACCATGTCTAGTCAAGTATACGACATCTGCTACTTCTTACCAGGTCAGCCAAAGCAATACACAGTGCAAGAGCCTTTGATGCGAAGCCTTCGTAGCAGTGTGGCAAGTTCCAGGACCGTGTGGACTGTCAACATTCTAGTTTGGGCGGCGGATTGTAATTATTCAAAAAGCTGAATATTGCGTTGCACAGTCCACTGAATGAGGCGACGGATAGCTGCCCTACAGACCAGCCGAGCGGTCCGGGACAGTTTTCCTAAGGTATAAAGCATCTGAAGCTCAAGAACATGGTATGTGACACCGTAGTGGTACGACTTAGCTCTCTTGAAGACAGCGGGCGTCTGGGCCGGGATGCTGGAAGGAAGGCAAGTCGCGTGCTGCGGAGACCAAAACGCGAGAACCTGGAATTCACTTCGGTCCACCCGCTTGGCGCCAGCTGCAATTCCAACCTCACCTGGTTCAGTATCTCAGTCAATACGGCACGTTGGCCTGCTGCGACGCGCTGAGGACGTGCGCATTCGAGTCAACTGTCTCCTCTTCGGCCGCAGCTCTTGCCCCGAATCAGGCTGGTTCCTGACGCTTTGCTGCTGCCCTCCCGTTCAGCGCCCCAATCATCACAACATCGGTGGCCAACGATTGGGGTTGCCTCCATGCTTCCACTGAGCACTGTGCTCAAATGACGAACCGCCGATCACGTCGACAACATCCAACGCTTTCTTAGCCGTTTAAGCCATGCCCGGCCGAGGCCCTCCCGCCGACGATGCGCAGACGATCATCCATGGCCGATCAAGGCCCATGCGGACTCCTGGCAGTCCCAAGAAAAAGGACGAGAACCCAAAAGCATCCGATATCTCTGAGCTCAAGGACTACCAGTTGGGCGACTGTCTCGGGAAAGGCGCCTTTGGTTCCGTATACAAAGCTCTTAACTGGGGAACAGGCGAGACAGTTGCTATCAAACAGATCAGACTCACTGATCTGCCGAAGAGTGAGCTGAGAGTTATTATGCTCGAAGTTGATTTGTTGAAGAATCTGGATCATGCCAACATTGTCAAATACCATGGATTCAAAAAGACTCCCGAGACATTGAACATTATCCTTGAATACTGCGAAAATGGCTCGCTTCACTCCATTTCAAAGAACTTTGGTCGCTTTCCCGAGAATTTGGTCGCGTTATACATGTCCCAGGTACTTCATGGGCTACTTTATCTCCATGAGCAGGGTGTCATCCACCGTGATATCAAAGGAGCCAACATCTTGACGACTAAGCAAGGATTGGTAAAACTGGCTGATTTCGGAGTCGCTTCCAGGACAGCAGGGTTGAATGAGTCTAGCGTTGTTGGAACTCCATATTGGATGGCGCCAGAGGTGATTGAGCTGACCGGTGCCACAACCGCCTCAGACATCTGGAGCTTGGGATGCACCGTCATTGAACTGCTTGATGGCCGGCCGCCCTACCATCAGCTGCAGGCCATGCCTGCTCTCTTCCGGATTGTCAATGACGACCACCCACCTCTTCCTCAAGGCGCTTCGCCGGTCGTCATTGACTTCCTTATGCAATGCTTCCAAAAAGATCCCAATCTTCGAGTCTCGGCTCGCAAGTTGCTGAAGCATCCGTGGATCGTCAGCGCGAAACGATCAACAACCGAAGTGGCCAAGAAAGCTACTGAATACACTGAAGCTGTCAAAAGTGTGCAAGAATGGAATGAAGCCCTTCGAGACTCACCCGATGGTAGCATGGGCCGCAAAAATTCCAGGAATTCGGCTGGAAGTCCAGTACCACGAGATCTTCGCTCAGCAAAAACGCCATCAAGATCATCTACTCAGGCTTCCAGAACGCCTGCAGATCGGTTTATGACTGTTGAGGACGCCAACGATGATATCTGGGACAATGATTTCCCTACAGCAATTCCTTCCCGTGGATTAGGACTTCCCCACTTGCGGGCTAACGACAATCTGGGTGGCCCACTCTTCGCGGAAAAGGCAAAGGCATCCGCCACGTTGGAGCAGATGTTTGGAAAAGAGAATGACAAGGATGACAAGGACAGCACGTTGAGAGGACCCGTACGCACCAAAGACCCATCTCCAGCAAAGACAAAGCCGCCTCAACCAGCAACTGGGCGAACATCACCAAGCAAACCGCCTGGTCGTGGTCATGCACGGCATAAATCGGAGGTCCCAAAGACCAAGAGCAAGGTACCGACGACACTGACACCTCGTAAGGTGTCTCTGCCAACTTCGAGACAGACCACAGACTTGTCGAAGACTAAAAGTACGGCTCAGAAGCCCCAGACCCAGCCCCAGCCAACAAGACTTTTCCGGGAAAGCTCGGTCGAAGATTTCTCCGATCTCATAGAAGCTAACGAAGGTTCGCTTGACCGAAAACTGCGGAGAATGAAACTGCAGGACGAGGCTCCTTCAAAGATTCTGGACTCTCCTAGTGTGACAGACCTGATGCAAAGTATGAAGCCTCCGCCAAAAGCCGGAGGAAGTCTCAAGCGACCGCCAGCGCCCAGGGGGCGGTTGTCGATGCGCAGGACGAGATCTTCAATCGAAATACAAAGATACGCCGAGAATGAGGATGATGAAGATTTCTCTGATGTCTTCTCTCAACCCAGCACAATCCAGAAGAAGATGGACAGCACAGACACCAATGAACTCATGCTAGCATCCAAGATCTCTAATCTGTCGTGGCTACCTGACGACGGAGAAGAAGACGATGATCCTTTCGCTGAGCTTGAAGAAGGCCTGCCCGAGGTCGACCTGGAGTCGAACATTGCCCGAGATAAGCATGCTCGATTGCGAACCGACGTTGAAGCATTAGTCGGGCAGCTGAAGATACTACAAGACGATGATGCTCTGCTGCAGATATCAGAAGATCTAATGAATTGCTTCGACCTGTTCTCAGAAACGAAAAGCGTTATAATCAGTGCCCACGGCGTTCTACCGATTCTGGAGATCTTGGAAGATTGCAAGCGCTTGGACGTGGTTCTAAACCTACTCAAAATTGTCAACGCCATTATCTTCAACGATGAGGACGTGCAAGAGAATCTCTGCTTCGTTGGTGGCATACCGAAGATCAACAAGTTCGCCTCGAAAAAGTTTCCTCGAGAGATCCGGCTTGAGGCCGCCGCGTTTGTTCGCCAGATGTATCAGACATCGACTCTGATACTACAAATGTTTGTCAGCGCCGGTGGATTATCTGTCCTCGTAGATTTTCTGGAGGACGATTACGATGATGATCGCGAGCTTGTTCTTATCGGCGTCAACGGTATTTGGAGTGTGTTTGCACTGCAAGGCTCGACACCACGAAACGACTTTTGCCGCATCTTATCCAGAAATTCCGTCCTCGAACCGCTATCTCTCATTCTCAACAGAGTACTTAATGAACCTTCAGACTCAGGTGAACAACGAGAGCTTGCGCAATTGTGCGAAGCTCGGATCGCGAGCATTTTCTTCATCTTCTCGCAAGCCGAGAGTTATGTTAAGGAGCTCGTTGCTGAGCGCACTGTTCTTCATCGAGTACTGAAGAACATCAAACGGATGTCACCTCAGCACCAGATCACAATGTTGAAGTTCATCAAGAACTTATCCATGTTGTCAACAACACTCGATGCACTGCACAATTCAAACGCTATAGACGTCTTGTCGGACCTACTTGCCAACGGCGTCGACGGTCCCCATTCGCGAGAAATGTCGAACCAGATTCTCAACACTATCTACAACTTGTGTAGGTTGTCCAAGAGGAGGCAAGAGGACGCTGCTCTCGTTGGCATCATCCCAATTTTGATGAGAATTGTCAAGCAGGACAAGACGCCAGTCAAAGAATTTGCACTGCCTATTCTTTGCGATATGGCGCATTCAAGCCGTGCTGCTCGAAGAGAACTATGGCAGAACAAAGGTCTAGTTTTCTATGTCTCCTTGCTGTCAGATCCGTACTGGCAGGTCACTGCCCTGGATGCCATCTTCACCTGGCTTCAAGAAGAGACCTCCAAGGTCGAAGACAACCTACTAGACAACCAGAAGTTCACGACAGGCATCATTGCGGCGCTTGCCAGCAGCAAATCGACCTCTTTCGAGAATTTACTCGAGCCTATGCAGAAGCTGCTCCGACTCTCGCCAGCGCTTGCTGCCTCTATGGCCCAAAGCCAACAGCTATGGGACATCATCGGACAAAAGCTCAACCATAACAAGCCAGCCATCCGCCTCAACCTTCTCCGAATCATCGGCTCAATATGCGAGGCCACGAACGATGGTATTTCTATACTCGATCAATGTGGTCTCTATGACGCCATCGAACAGCTTCAATATTCCGATCCCGCTATCCTCGTCCGCAGCATGGCGGGGGAGCTGCTCCGGAGCTGGGAGGATAACGATACTGCTTCCATTCACAGTGGTCATGGCGGCAATAATCCATCGAGTGGTGTTCGCAAGCATCCGGGTATGATGCGTCGCACTAGCTCGGGCACCACTCCCCCCCATCTACTAGAGCGGCAACTGAGCATGCCCGGCTCTCCACAGCTCGGTCGCACCGATCGCACGTCGGTGAGTATCTACGACCCGCCAACAATATCCACCCCTCGACGCAGGCAGAACGGGGTGTACACCAATGGTTCCTCCGGCGTACGGCCCATGTCCCGCGACGGTCCGAGCTACATTCGCGAGGGTTCTCCTGCCTTCGCGATGCCTGGATTGGCACGGGCGCAGACTGCAGGCGCCGCCGAAATGACGGTGAACAAGAGTAGACTGCCGAGGCAGAACACCACTACCGCCAATCGGCTGAGTAGGCAGTCCACGCGAGAGAGCCTGATCAGTGGGGCTGGTAGTAGAGACAGCGGTCACGGCACGCCAACGACACTAACGCCGGTGACTGAGACGGCGGAGCGAGAGAGAAGGCGGCAGGCGAGAGCCACCGCGACTGCCAATAAAGGGGCTGCGGCAGCCAACGGAACAGCGCCACCGGGACCGGTGGAGGTGACGGTTGCGAGACGCAATACTGCGCGGAGGGTGGGTGATGATCGCTGGTCATAGCATGAGAATGAGGGCGTGGTTGGGCTGTTGCAGTGGCTGCAGCGGCGTTGGAAGAGACGGCCTCATGATCACGGTGGATAGGGTGGACAATAGGTTTTGCTTGATCGATTATGTTTGTGTGGCTGGGGAGCCCGGCACTTTGGGACCACGATGGGACTGTGAATACGGGTAGGAACGGCGTTCATGCGTGGGACAGTTGAGTGGATATGGATGAGAGCACGGCAACGGAAGGGGTGACCCTTCTGCAGACCGCCTATCACTTGACGGCTTATGTCCGTATTGACATAGACGCGAGGGCAACCAACGAACGTGCGCTTGTTTGGCGTTTCTAAAGAGATTTTTCACATCGAGAGGACCGAGTCTGGTCTGCGCTCTAGCGAGTTCTAGTTTGCGCATCCGTATATATAAGTATGTATACCCAGGTGCCCGAATCACGCCAGTACCAGTGACTCCCCATTTCCCAGCTCGACCCACGGTAGCTTCTCACCTTCACCGGCACCGCCCTCCTCCTCGGCGGCTTGCCGCACTGCGTCCTCAATGGTCCAGGCCTTCCTTCTCAGCAACGGGCCGATCAGTCCCAGCCCACGCTTCACCTCGTCGTGGGTGCCCACCCAGTACTTGGGCTTCAGCAGCTTCTGCGCCCTGAAGGCGTTGTGGGCGCCGAGGTTGAGCTGCTTGGAAAGCGTGATGGAGACGTCGTGGAGGCCGTGCAGGAGGGCGAGAGTCTCGATTGTAGGGCGGGCGGAGCTGAGCTGGCTGAATGTGCCGGACTCTACGCCGTGTGGCGTGTATATTACGGCTTCTGCTGCTGTGTTGTCCAATTCGGGCGTGGGAAGCGCAGAGAGAGACGCTTTGGCGATGCAGAAGATGAGAGCGGAGTGGTAGTAGAGAGAGTTGCCTTCAGTGGTGAGGCGGCTGATGCCGAGCCAGGAAGGCAATGGCGGGTTTGAAGTGTTGCGCCAGTCTGTGGTGGCTGTGAGAGGGGGAACATCGACGACGGTGTCGAAATGTGACCAGGAGCGGACTAATTGGGCAGCTTTGGTGGTTGTGAATACGGGTACATGGGAAGGAAGTTCCTCCAAGGTGGCGCGGTGGCAGTGATCGGTGAACTCATGCGAGATGGCCACTAGGTCAATGAAGTTGGTGGGGGATGAGCCATTGGCGTCAGGTGTCCCTAAGGTAGACAGACAAGCAGTTTCCACGTCAGCAAGGATGCTGTTGAGGGATGCAATGCTTTGTATACTGGAGGGAACTGCGTGATACTGGGTGGAGAACCAGCTTGCGACGTCTGATTGAGCGCCGGTGAACCATGGGTCGATCAAAATGTTGAATCGGGTTCTGCCCGCTGGTCGCCTTGCATTGGGTGGGTACGCCAGTGAGATGAGCCAACTGGTGTCGGCGTTGAGATGGCTTAGAACCGGCCATTGAGGAGCGGAGAGTATCTTCTCTTTAAAGCCTCCAAGGCTGATATTTGGCGTCTGACCTTGGAGGATGGGAGGCTTCGCGACCATGGCTCTCAAGGCGCGTCAATGCGCGTCAATATAGTATGCAGTGAACGGGTACATATATCGTCGAACAAGCAACGTCAGACTGCATGGGACCGGAAGAAAACCTACTGCTTATGTGTTTTATTTCTTCGGTATCTGTGGCGGCAATTCAACAGTCAAGCATCTTTTGCCCTCGAGTCAATTACGACCTACAGAGTACACAACCCCGGCGAGACTGCTCGTATAGAGTCGCGGCGCAGCAGGTGGGGGGCAACCCCGGAGGTTGCATCCGAGCGCACGTGACGCGTACTTGCGCTGCCAAGTTGAGGCCTGGGCAAATGCTGCAGGCATGGCTCTTGCTCGAGCAGGCCATCTCAACAAGTCTCTGTGTCAGCGAGGTTCTCTTGTCATTGTGACTCTTCTTATCCATTCAGACAAGCCGGCCACTCTGCTTGTTACCAAAGAATTAAAGCCTTCCTTTTGTACGTCAGCAAAGGAGGAGAACCTTCTAGGCCGCCCTAACATTGATAAGGGCATCAAGCTTCCGTGATTCCAGCTTCCAGGGCTTACCTGCAGCTTCACTAGGCTTGCTTGCACCTAATCGCCTTCCTATTTGTTCCATCTCCTCTCCACCAAGCCACCCGCCTTGCTTGTCAGCTCGAGATATCCCAGCGCACAGCCAGTCGTGTCTCAAGTCCTTGCCCCTAACGGCTCCACCTCGCTCAGATCCCCGGAGCGTTATCTCCGCAGCACCCACGCCTGCGAAGCTTAAGCAGCGTCCTCGCCGCCCGTTGTTCATCCCACACTTCTAGAACCTTTAGCTCATTGCGACCTGCTTTGATAGCAAGCCAAGTCATTGCCTTTTGCAACGACCGCTACAATTCTTCCACTCACTTATCCTCACGCCGATGGTCGACTCCGCCGACGAGCCTCCGCTGTCAGGTCGTCTACACTCACACTCATGGGCTAAGACTCTGATTCCTTTCCTCAAGCGCAATCGCGACCGCCAATCCTCCAGCGCTCCAAACGACCCCGAAAACCCCCAATCTACCCTTCAAGATGCTGGTAACATTTCCTCGTTCGCAGCTGGCTCTGCTTCCACAGTCAATGCTGGCATCCTCCAGGATACACAACAGCAAGATGCATCTGCTGTGGATAAGGAAAGAGGTGGAACGCAACCTCCCACCCTAGACGATCCCGGTCCTGAAGCAAAGCCTTCCATACCCTCTAGATTCCTACGGGATGCCAGAATGATCATTGGATCCAGTTGGATCAACTGGCTGCTCCTCACTGTTCCGGTCGGCATCCTGCTTGGCGCATTGAACGATTGGGCCGACCTGCACGTCGTGGACCCCAGTGTCGTCTTTGCCGTCAATGCAGTCGCCATCGTCCCGCTGGCTTCGTTGCTCGCATTTGCAACCGAGAGTGTAGCGTCGAAGATGGGCGATACCATCGGCGCTTTGATGAACGTCACCTTTGGCAACGCCACGGAACTTATCATTTTCATCATCGCCCTCGCCGACGGTCAGGTCCGTGTCGTCCAGGCCGCCGCTGTAGGCTCTATCCTCTCAAATCTACTCATCATCTTGGGAATGAGTTTCCTTCTTGGTGGGTTGCGTTACAGAGAGCAACTTTACAACTCCACGGTATCCCAGATGAGTGCCTGCCTCTTGTGCCTCAGTGTCATCAGTCTGTTGCTGCCCACTGCTTTCCATGCCTCCTTCAACGATCCGAACAACGGCACTCGTATGGTCCTGCAGGTGTCCCGCGGGACCAGTATCGTGCTCCTTTTGGTATACGCTTTGTATTTGGCGTTCTCACTGAAGTCTCACAGCTTCATGTATGCTAGCACGCCACAGCACTTGATTGATGAGGAGGCTCAGCATGAAGGTGTGCTCACCCAGATTCTCAATTCATCGTCTTCGAGCGATAGTTCGAGCACAAGCGATTCGGATTCAGACTCCTCTCGGAGTTCTCGCAACACAGCCATGCGTATCAAGAGGGCCTTCCGTCGCAAGCGACGTACCTCTAGTCCTAGCTCCAAGGACGGCCAAAGCACTTCCGGTGCCAACATCCTGCGCACACCTACTGATGCAACCTTTGCCACTGTGGCCTCTCAGCCAGAGCGGCAGCAGCAGGGTGGTTCGAGCCATCGAGCAGGCAGCATCATCTCCGAAAACGTTCTTAGTGGGGACGAAGCGGACGTTGATGCATACCCGAGGATCGGGCGTCGCCGTTCTACACGCCAGACTATTGCCCGTGATTTCGAGAACGGCGCTTCCGAGGTCGTCGAGGAGAAATCCAGCAAGCGATCTCGACGTCATGCACGTCGTTCCAGACGTGCTAAACATGGCAAGAAAAGCCACCATCAAGGTGTTCAGGTTGATGAGAAAACATCGCCTCGTGAGCACATACGGCAAGCCACAAGCAACACACTCGAAGTTCCCCAGCTCCAACTACCAGAGCCCAGCAATGACATTGTGGCGTCTGACTCGGCCAAGCAGCGGCCTTCTGCCCTCCGCCATATCTCGCATGCAATGCCTCCAGGTTTCAACGCTGCAGCTGTCTTTCCTCACCACGAGGCTGTCGCCAGACCTTTGGCAATGCCAGCTGCCCTGAGACCCCTATCACGCTCTCGTTCCCCAGCTCCTGGGGCCCGCCGACCACTGCAGAGATCTACTTCGATGCCTGATATGATTCACCCCACCATATCCAATACTCGCGCTGTCCTCGCAACGCCCAGCTCGACTGGTCAAAATCCACATGAGCAGCAACCACAAGACGGCGAAGGAGAAGAACAAGACGATACCAAGAGTCACTTGTCGGTAACTTCAGCAATCATCTTGCTTCTCATCACCACTGGTTTCGTCGCCATCTGCGCCGAATTCCTCGTCGGCAGCATCGACCATCTCATATCCAGCACAGGCATCAGCCAGGCTTTCGTTGGTCTGATCATCCTACCGCTCGTTGGTAATGCAGCTGAGCATGTCACTGCTGTTACTGTGGCGGTCAAGAATAAGATGGATTTGGCTATTGCCATTGCTTTAGGCAGCAGTATCCAAGTTGCCCTCCTCATCACGCCATTCATGGTCGTCCTTGGCTGGATCATCAAGCAGGAGATGTCGTTGTACTTCAGTCTTTTCGAGACAGTCAGCTTGTTTGCCAGCGCCCTCATTGTGGGTTTCTTGCTGATTGACGGCCGAAGCAACTACTTGGAAGGAGCGCTCCTGATTGCTGCCTATGTCATCATTGCTCTTGCCGCCTTCTATTATCCAAACTGCGGCCTCAGCACGGTCAGTGGGCTCACAGATGGATCGCCTGACAGTTGCACGGTTACTTGAGGGTTGAAGGTCGACAATGGTGCGACAAGGCGACATTGAGAAATAGGCCTCGAAGTAGCGAGCGGACAGACGGAGGAGAAGTTGAGACGCGGAGGATGTGGTCATTGTCCCCACGGGAAATTGAATTTGGGATGGGTCAGAGGAGTTCGGAATACACATGCGCTGCCACGAGAGCAGGCATACCCGAAGCGGCATCAAACTTGTCGACTTTTTCTTCGGACATTGACGAATTTACGAGAGCGCGCACACACACTCCTTGAAGCGAAAAAATTGAGAATGACAGGCTCGCGAGGGCACTCAAAATGGCATATTGTTGTAGCAAAGTATCTGCTATCCATCAGTCGATAGGGCGACCTTTCAACTAGCTTGATGAGCAAAGAGCTAGCCGGGCTGCCGAACCTGAGTATGGAATACAAACACAATTTACGAAGAACGTGGTTTTCAAGGGATCTCACCTAGTGTATGCTTGCGGGCTCAGTGTTGCTGACTCAAGTGCCGTATTGTGATACCTGGGACGATGAGGGAGTGTTGGCAGGTCGCTCGGTTCGTCCTCATCGTGTTGCTCCTGAACATCCACGACGCAGAAACGCACAACTGATCAGAGCTTACTAAGATGGCTTCTTTTCTTTCCCTTTCTCTCCACCTCTGCTCTTTTCCGGCGACGTCAAAGGGCACTTCTATTCCCCCATCAGATCACGCTAGGCGCCAATAGCAATATTATTGACGGCATCAATTTCTTTCTTGCGCAAGACGTTGCCGCTTGCCCGCTCGTAATCAACTTTTCCATCCCCGCGAACCACATTTTGGAAACGTCTCGAGAGGTCTGGAAATACATCGTGTCGCGTCATCGGATAATGTATTTATTTGATCATCATCGTCATCATCAATTTCCGCCGTTCGGGAGGCGATAGTGTCAGAAGACTCAGAGAAGCAAGCAGCCTCCCTCCCAAGACTAGTGGTGCGGAGGCTTGGCGTTTTGGGTTTGGGCAGGCCGAACCCTCGTCTTGCTCGTACATAACGCTGTACAGTAGCTGTCCCGGAGGTAGGTTCCGAGGGAGATTGCGCAAGTGTCGATGTCAACCCGGTTCTTGAGGACTTGTCGACGGTGAAGGGTTTGGGAGAGGCCATGTTGGAGGCCGCAATTTCCGCCAGTGTGTCTGGAGGGTGGTGTCGATCATGGCTTGGGTGTGTGAGGTGATGGTGAGAAGGATGGGGTTTCTGGAGGAAGGGTTTGTTTGCACTGCCGCCAGTTCATGCAAGGCAACTGTAGCAGGTACGTACGTCAGGTCATTTTCTGTTCTCTGGGGAGGGTCGATGCAGGGTTGTTGCATGATCTACAAAGACAAAATGTTCACACAGATCGTGTATCAGCAAGCGATGAGTCTATCTAGACGTCTTTCTTGATGTTATCGGGCGCGACTCTGACTGATCGTCCTCTCCGGAGTTCGATGAACGAACGTAGTCGGCTTCTTGCAGCACGGAGGCCGAGCGGTATGAAGAAAAAGGCTCAGGAGCTTGAGAAAGCTGGGCTGTAGGTAAAACTGACTGGTAGCCTTGGAAGCATAGCCGCGGAACCGATCATGTAGGCCTCGCAGTCAGGCATCTCGACGACTGCGGAAGCTGTGAATGTGCCAATATCACGACTTCACCGCTGCATCTGGCATTTGATTTGAGTGGCAAGGATAGGGCCTCATGAAGTTGTTCAAGGGTTGCGCTTTGTGAGCTAAACGGAGATGCTTCCGCATTTCAAGGACTCAAGGGGAGTCTGAGGAGGAAACGAGACCTGATCGAGGCCCAAGAAGACGGTCCGATGACTCTGGGCAGGGAATTTGCGTGCAAGGGAGGAGCAATGGATGTGTCTCAGATGTGAATGTGCTAGGACCTACCGTGCATGAACGGGTCGAGGAGAGGTGGAATCCGGTCGTGCAATGGCATGGTGGTCTGGTGACGAGTTTGTTTGCTAAGCAGTCGTGGCCGGGCTGGTCGAATTCGTGGCCCAGCTGAGGCTTCATTCATGTTGGACAAAGTATGCTCATGCTTCAAGTTTCAGCGGAAAGTGCATGAACGCTCGTGCCAGCAGTCAGTCGCGACTGCGATGCAAAAAATGAAATGCAAGATTTGGTTCAGATGCCAATTTTCGTATTGGCGTTGTGCGTGGTGCACTGTCACCGTCACCGACCACCGTTCCCGACGCTCTGGTGGAGTGATGGCCAAGAGGACTGGCACCGGCAAGTTGGAGAGGGGCAACCATGGGTGATATACAGGCGAGTCAGGATGCAAGGACGGGGATACAACAGCAGAACTGTCGTCTCAGGAGTGCAAAAGGAGGAAAGTCGGCCACGTTTGGGCGGGGGCTGTGATGTGGTTTTCGCAGAGATGGGTTCATTGCCGAGCCCGCGCTTCCACACTCGCCACCGAACACACCGAACCGTTCTCTTCTTGGTTGCGGATGCTGGCGAATTATGGGATACCGAGGATGGCTTACGTCTGAGTTCATGTGGCGCTCCCGGAAGCAGGATCAAGGTTTAGAGAAAGGAGATTGCGTCCGCGCCACGAATACGCGGCTTAACACGAATATGCCCTGTCCAAGGCAGCCATCGGTACTCGGACGTCGGTGCATCGGCGACATCCAACGGACACTTCACACTGCTTCGCCATGTCAGACGGACAGTCGAGAACCGAATCCAGATGCGCTAAGATGAGGGGGCCAAACCCGCACAGACCGACGAATTCTGATCACGCAGCAGGCGACGAGGCCGGCCCCGTTCAGGAGTTACACCGCAGTATTGGCATGGTTGGCAAAGAGGCACCAGAAGTCACCGCCAATGCAGCTGTCAAGGGGCGCGCAAGAAGAAGAATAACAATGTTTCATCACAATAGAATAGACTTTGCATCGGTACGTGGTCGGCACTCAGGAGAAGGCGTTGAGCGGTGGCCCCAGGTGGCCCAACGTAGCCCAGGTGGCCCCCTGTCAGCGCCACCGACGAGCCTCCCGCCCTGGCTACTGCAGGTACACGCCCAGACCATCCACTAAGAGACTGCCCCTGCTTGGCCCCAAGAGAACTCGGTACTGTACACTCTTCACGCTGGGAGGGGAATTCCTGGAATCTGAAATCTGAATCCTGGCTTGGTGTGCGGTCCTGCGACTTTGCAGCAAACAAAGCCCGCCGCCGCCGTCAGTCCAGCCATCTCGTCAGCCCAGCATTCAACACCGCACCCTTTCACTCTGTAGCCCCTGACTATTTTCTTAACCTGCAGTACAAAGAAGCGCTGTGATGGAGAACCGCCGTTGGCACTAGCGTAGCACGCAGTAGCGGGGGAACAAAGAAAAACCCTTCGGCCTCAGGGGGCCCACGCCGTCCTTGGACTTGCCGCCTCGAGTTAGAAACAGCACAAAGCGAGCAGTGATGAGCAGATCCAGATGCACCAAGAGCCCCAAACCCGGACGCACCAGGGGGTGGGCCTGTTTCAGCTGCGGCAAACGCTTGGTGGACTCGTGGTTTCAGACCAACTCGACCCAGCCGAGCCTTTCGCCTAGGCTTCCTGGCCCACCAGGGGGGGGGAGGTTTGCCAGAATGCCAGAAACCCCTCGCGGTCAGACTTCGATGTGGCGGACCGCCACCCCGTGTTTGTTCTATATCTAATTCCCTTGCCCTCCCTCTTCTGGTTTTGCAATCCTGCGTTCATTACTAGCTGTGCTTGTGCCCCTCTCACCAAGAAGTCTGTGACTTTCGCTACTCTCATTCTTTCACTCCTCCATCCCACTATCCACATTCCTTACAATCCCTGGTCGGATCAACACTCATTTGCCAAATCAAGGCTTCTGTTTACCACACTCGCGCAGCTACCACTCACTCATTTGAAAACCGTTTCCCACGCCACACTCCAAACCCAAACCTCAACCCCATCGCCAACATGGTTGCTATCAAGGCTCTCTCCGTCCTGGCCCTCGCCGGCGCCACCATTGCCGCCCCTGTCGCGCAGCCTCTCGAGGTTGGCGACGCTCTCGTCCGCCGCGACGCTTCTCCCGCATGGGAGGGCGGCCGTGCCAACTACAGCTGGAAATGGGGCTGGGCTCGTCCTCAAGGCCAGTCTTCTGATGCCAGCTCGACTCCAACCGAGACCCAGAGCCAGCCCCAGAGCCAGCCTCAATCTCAACCTCAGACCACTGAAGCCGCCGCACCTGCTTCTCCCCCCGCTTCCAGCAGTCCCGCTCCTTCCACTGGCGGCAGCTCCGACTCTGGCTCGAGCTCCGGCTCCGGCTACATGGGCATCGTGAACAACTGGCGCGGCAAGATGGGCCTGCCCCTCTTCACCGAAGACAACACGCTGCAGTCCAACGCCCTCGACACCTCCACCTCATCTGGCGGCCAGCTCGTGCACAAGCTCAACCCCGGCTCCATGGGTCAAGTCATGGCCCCCGGCAACTCCGGCAACTTCGAGTCCGTCTTCGTCGGCGGCTGGCTGTGCGAGCTGCCTTCGCTCCCCGGCCTCGGCAGCAGTGTTTGCGACGCCGCCTCCCAAGGCTGGAACCACGCCGGTCAGACCGGCCACGCCGAGATCCTGTCCAGCACCAAGTACACCAAGATTGGCTGCGGCAACGCCGACAACATGTGGACTTGCGACGTCGCTTAAATGTCTGTTGAACACGCGAACTACGACTCCCTTTCCTTCTATCTGTTACCATGGGGTGCCAAAGGAAGGCGCGAAAGGCAATTCGGCGACACATAACCAAAACGGGCATCAGCACTCAGGGAGCAACTTTTGGGCCAGGGCATCTTGAGGGCACTCCCCGGCAAGGCATTTCTACGGGGACGGCGGTTTTTACACTTCTTGAACGTATAGGTTTTGAAGATGATTGATGGCCTTTACGATGAGGGCGACGACACCCTCTCTTTTGCTGCCTCTGAGCGGTAAGGTGAGCCTTACCACTCGAAGGAGCACCCTTTTTCAAATGTCGCAAAATGTCGATTTCATGACACACAAAGATCCTTACTTTCTTCTTCACTACTTTTTTTGGTGACTTGGATGCCTCTTGACACGTGCAATGAAAACAATCACAACAAAATCTTGTTGCTTTGGCATGTCGTTGGCATTCCACAAATTGCAATCTCGCAGCCATTCCTGTCTTGGTATTATTGTTGGCCTTCGCAATTCCGCGCGTCAAAAACGTCAAAAACGGGGCTTAGACGGCCCCCCCACAAACCGGCAAAGATCGTCACTGGCTGTCTCCACAACAACTTCGGTTCACACTCCCACGCAACTTCACCACCTCTCTATCATCACGTGTCTCTGACAGGGCCCAGACACGGTGCTCTTGAACTTCACCACCCTGAGCAGCAAACGGACCATGTGGCCATATAGCTAATACCAACCGAAGCTAAGATAAAACCAGTTGTAGGCACCAGAATTCCTTTCCCAACCAATGCGCCAGACCGTGCTCGAATCCATCCAGGTCTCCAGGCCATGTAGGGAACTGTATAGTTTGTACATGCTTGTCCCATTGTATGTGCAGAGCACCGACTTTTCCGTGGGCTCTCGGATATGAACCAGCAGCACAAGAGAAACCAGGGTTCGCCATACAATTGCAGAAGATGCTGCACATACAAGTCCCCCGGGCTTGTGAATCCTGTGTGTTACCAGCAGATGCGTGAGTAGTCGTGCATGTATACATGGTGTGAAAACCACGACTTATGCCTTGGTCTTACCGCGCGTATGCCACCTATCTCCCGGCCAGAGCCGCGCGAGATGCTTACTTGGACCAGCAGTTCGAAACACCAGCAGAGAGCAATGGGATAAAGCCAAAAATCACGATCCTTTCCTTTCCTCAATTTGCTTTGCGCATTTTCAATCTCCTTCTAACTACTCTTCCAGTACAAAAGGAGAGGGATATCTACCCCTCTCTTCACTCTCTTGGATTGGCCGGTATCTACGGCTCCAATCGGGGACCACCCACCCTCCTCTTCCTCTTCCCCTTCCTCCTCCCCATGTCACGCCAACAACGTATCAAACTCCTCTCTACACCCCGCCTCCCACGTCGCCCGCAAGCCCTCGTCTCGGAACCAATCATCGATCGGCACCTCGAAATCCTTCCTCGGGTCACGCGGCTTCTCCTCGGCGTGCGCCCCGTTCTTCCAGTGGACACTGAGTCCGCGCTTGTTCTCCGTGGCGCCGGTGACGGCGCAGCCACGGACGTAACAGACCCATCGGCTGGTGTGCTTGGGGTCCGGCTTGGCGGCCAATCTCGCGCGCTCTGCCTCGCGCAGGCCGATGTAGTGAGCCAGGGCATGAGGCCCCTTGTTGGCGACTGTGGTGGTGGTGGTGGTGGTGGTGGTGGTGGTGGTGGTGCTGGCAGTGCCGGCAGGAGAAGCGACGGGAGCAGCGACAACAGGAGGAGGAGCAATCGGCTCGGCAGTGACTGTCGGCTCACCTGCGGGACCCGTCACCAGAGGGCGTGCAGCGATGCTGCACTCCTCGGGGTCGGGGTACCCGTAGGAAGGCGTCGAGTTTGCCTTGTCAATCTCGTCGTCGGTCATGGCGGCGACGCAACGGAAGGAAGGGGGGCCCGTCGTGTAGTCGACGTACGCCATGGTGGTAGTGGTAGTGGTAGTGGTAGTGGTATTGGTGTTGGCCTTGTCGTCGTTGTCGGTGGTGAAGGATTGCTTTGTTGAACAGAAGTAAAGTCTGGTCTGTGAATTCGAACTGGTCCTGGTGACTGCTGCCTATTGCAGTCACAGAACGCGTTTGTAGACATGACTGCGACGGCAACGGCGGATGTTATATCCGGGACCATATCCAACAAGGCAACGCGTGAAGGCAACACGTCACAGGGTGCATCACCAGGCAAACGCGCCAGTCATGACTCCACAGCTTGCCTCACCTGCTACCAGCACTTCCGAGTATCAATATACTATACCACTCATCCATTACCATTTGCCTTCTCAGCTTCGGCTGCTTCTGTGACATCTTTCTGCTCAGCAGGCTTCAGGTTCTTGAGACAGGGAGCATTGAATAAATGCCCACGCCATGCCCCTCGGGCAGTTCCTGCAGCGACAATGATCCACAAAAGTACGACTGAAACAGCGCCAATAGTGCCGAGGACCCTGAAGAAGAGACTCGGCATCTCGGTGCCAAAATGGATCGTGCTGAGCGACCAGACTCCTAATGGGAAGGTAAAGCCCCACCAACCTACAGAAAGAGGGTCAGTCAAGAATCGGTGATGGGGATATTCGGACATCAACTCACCCATATTGAATGGGAATGGTCGAGATCCATAAATGGAAGCCAGCGCAAACACCAGCCAGCAAAGCCCAAAAGACCACATGATCAGAGCCACGAAGACACCCAGGATGTACACAATATCTCCAGCGATTTCCAGGTTGTGGAAGAACTCAACTTGAGGAAAGACCTTCCTCGCGACACCACCGCACCTCATAATGGCATAGCCGCCCATGCCAAGAGGACCAAGAGGGAGGAAGGATGACACGACAATCTCCCGTGGTGGGATCTTGTGCAGTGCCAAACGCTGGTAGTAGATGACAAGGATTGTCATTGCCAGTGGCGTCGACATGCCCCAGAGCACATAGCATGCTATCACCGTTCCGAGAGCACGCTCCGGGTTGGGCAAGATATTGGCGACACCGGTTCCCGTGCCGGATGCCACAATGGTCGCAGCGATGGGCAGCAGCTGTGCGGCAGTGATGCGATCTAGGCTCTGCTGGTGGGACTGGCTCATGAGCAGGAAGGGAAGAGACACCGTCACGGCGACAGCGACCACACAGTCGATCATCCAGCAGACCCACGCGAAGGTTGTCGCCCACTCTCCCCAGTAAGGACAGCAAAGGAATACCCAGGATGTCACCAGCGTGGCGAAGCCCATGGGTATCGTCCCCAGGAAGAGCGAGTTTGTCGGATCCTGGATCATCACATGCCAGATCTCCGGATAGAGCGTGTACCTCAGCACCGAAATGGAAAAGGCCAAGGCAAAGAGGATGGCGTTGAGCCCAAAGAAGATGACCGAGAGCCAGTACAACCATTCCGCCTGAAAAGGGATCTGAATGAGCAGGATCGACACAACGCCAGTTCCCATGGTCACGCTGAACCACGAGGGCGAGAAGTTCCGCACCACTCTGCGCCACCCGACATCGTACTTGGATGGCGGCTGATAAGACTGCTGCTCAGCCGGCTCACTTCGTGGCTTGTCGGTCGTCGAATTCGAAGGTCGCAAAGTCGGCAGCGAAGAGCTTTCAGATCGATTCTGTTGCACCGCAGAAGAGCGGCTCAGGACATATGTTGCTGGAGCAGTCACAGCTGGGTTGTTGCTGGACCATTTATCCAGGACTTCTTGGTCCCGGTCCATTATGGTGTGTCTGTTTGCGCAATTGCCCGTAGGCAAGGAAATCATGCATCAAAAGGCTTTTTGAGACCTTGACAAGGGGTGTCACTCTCGACCGCAGCAAGCCGGCTTACACAGTCCAACGAAAACGCTCCAGCAAAGGGCAATGCGGTGGTGGCGATGTTCCGGTTCGCTCTCTCCTCGTCTCACGCAAACAGCAACAAGAAGCCTAGTGTGAAAAAGCCTAGTGTGCTGCAAGCTGTCGAGAGGTCGTGTGCGGCTTCCTCGCCATATCGCATAAGCCGGTTAGGTAAGGACACTCACGTCGAATTACAAACGAACAAGAAACATCCAAGCACAGCTTTGCGAAGAATTGTGCCGGCGTCATCACTGACGTCCGTCGCGCTCCGTGCGGTTAAAAGAGGGTTTTGCGAAAAGCACCAAACACCGGGCTCCAGGCCGCCCCGGAGTTGGTCCCTCGACGCCAAGATTGGCTTCCCTAGCCGAGAAATTCCCGCACTGCTTTGGCCCCCTATTGCCGACACGAGGCTACAGCCTGGCCAGGAACAGCGTTCACAGAGCTATCAGTAGTGAGCATAGTCAGGGACACGAAGCAGTATGGAGGCAATTGCACAATGTCATTTCATTGAGCTTATTGATAACCATAATAAGGTCATCAGCAGGCGGGTTCCATCTGCGTGTCCAGCGCCTGGGGGTGCTTCGTCTAACATGGGATTCTAGAGATGCTCTCTCTGATGACTTGGCCATCCAACATCAAACGTTCCCATGACCCCAAGCACCATCGTCCAGTCATACATTTGTCAGACCTGCCCTGCCGCCAGGTAGACAAAAGTGTCGTCCATACTTCCAAACGCCTGCCTCGGAGAACGAGGTCTGCTCCGTTCCATATCAAAGATCCATCGAGATCAGTCATCCACACGAGGGTCTAGTCGTACACATTAGAAGGGTCGTCATCTTCCTCTCAACGCCTTTCCCGGTTCACCATAAACACCAATGATCTAGGCACTTCCAAAACATCAAAGACTCTCGGTTCCTTTCGCATAGATGGTACCACCGAAGCGGCCGGTACCACCTTCGAGCTGCCCATCTTCCACAGCCGCCCACCGCTCCAACTTGTTGCCCCAGCCAAAGACCATGCCCCATCCTTGCTCCAGGATGCGCTTATCGACAGGGTGAACGCATTGAGTGAGGGTACCAAGGCCTTGCCAGTCTTCGTTGACGGCAACATCGGCGCTGCTAAGCATGATTGGACCCAGGTTCATGAAGCGATCGGGCTTGTCGTGCCACTCGTTCCCAGTAACGCCGTATCTAGAAGCGACTGCCGCGGGCTTGTCGAAGGTGCTACTCGGAGCCACCATTGCCGGGCCGCGGAGTTGTGATTCGCGTGAGCTCAACCCTGCATCTTGAGTCAAGCCAGGTTGCAAGACCGCCTCGGCCTGGTTGAAATCGCTGCTTTTCATCCCTTCAATCTTGGCATAGCCACAGCTCTTCAGCACAATCTTCTGCACGTGGCCTCGAAATCCGGGCTCTGGTGCAGGAAACTTCTTGCTGTCAATAATGCCCGCTTGATACTTGCGCTCAAGAATCGTCGAGCCAGGAGTGATTTGGTCTAGAGTCTGAGTCCAAGTCGCAGAGCCTGGGATCTCTTCGTACAGCCAATCTTCTTCAGCATGCTCACACTGCAAGCTACCGCCGATTGTGGTCAAGCCAGCCTCACTGCTGACTGTCGTGGGATCGTGGCGAACCAGCATACTCACCGAGTCAAGAGTAAGAGTGTGTAAGCTGGTGTCGCGGCTCTTGTCCATGAAGGTCTCCAGCATGCAAGGGCTGAACCAGCAATTCTCGAAGGTCAGATCTCGAAGGTGATCAAATTTGATCATGCTACGTGGATCCGGCTTGATTTTGTGGTCGCTGATCCAGTCGCGTGCGTAGGCAATTATGGGCGCTGGCAGCAAGTTCTGATTGCGAGCGCATATGCCGACTCCATGCTCGCCGCCACCAACCCATCCGAATGTGGCATGAGACAAGTGCTCCAACTTGCAGATGAAGTCACGCAAGAATGCTGCAAACTTGCCAACCGCGGTAAGAGGTGAGATAAGCATAGCTCTTTGGATGAAGACCGAGTTAGGTAGATGTTCTTTTCGCCAGTCGGGCGACACGAGTAAGCGCAGACGCTTCAGATTGGGAAGGGCCGCCCAAAAGTCACGCTGAGCAAGTGAAGGCAGCAGTCCAGACGAGATTTTTGCAATGTTCAGAGTCCAAATGTTGCGAAGGGCTCCATGGTTCGCTATGACGGCGTTGGTGTATGCCGATAGGAAACTTCTCTGGGCCCAGAATGTCTCCATCAACCACTGAGCCTGGCTCTCAGTGAGGCTGCCGGGCAGCAAAGGGTGATACTGAGGGTTGGCAATATGCGATTGAATCACTGCGTGCGAACCGCCAGTCTCTGCGGCCAAACTATACCCGTTGAATATAACGGGCCACTGCAGAGGGATCTTAGGGGCTGGGCGATTCTTCTTTTTCGATTTCTTTGGAGTTGTGGGAGAATACCGGCTACCTCTCGATCGGGATTGCAAGGGGTTACCGTACAGCAAAGGGACACCGTTGACGTGATTCTGTGTCGTTCCGTACATCTGCCCCAGTTGCATCAAGTTATTCTGCACCTGAAACGCAGTGACTGGATGACCTGGCACCGGTGCAGCAGGCTGTGCGCCATTCGGATGGGTGGGCGGTGCTGGAGGCTGTGCACCCGTCTGTGCCGTGCCAGCAGCTGGATTCGCATTGCCACCAGTGTGGGAGTCAGGGTCGAAGTCGGGCTGAGATGTGACGTCTTGGAAGGAGTTGCGCTCCCGCACCTGCATGTTCGACAAGATTTCGATGACTTTGCCGGCTTCGGCGACCCCAGAGCCCGCAAAGAGCTTCAGAGTCTCGTTGATAGAGTTCTTCTGTGCCCAAACAAAGTACTCATCACGGCCATACGCTTGCCAGAGGTGCTCATTCCCGAATATCTGGCCGAAGACTTTGGAACAACCCCTCTGGCGCGCGTTGAATAAAGCCATGTCGGAAATGTCAGGTCCTTCGAGCCAACCGTGACCGCTGTCAACAGACAAAGCAAGTTCACAGGTAGCGCCCATCTGACTCAATACATGCTTCAGCATGGGGTTGTTGTTGTCAACAAGATCTTCCAGGCGCTTGAGCTCTTCATAGCGAGGATAATGTGAGGCAGGCCACTCATAAGATCCGTACCAAGCTTGCTGCGTCTGCATGCTGACTTTCGATCTGGCATATGCTAGGGCGACGGGGTCGAACTCGAAGGATATGCCGAAACGATAGACGTGCGAACCATACTTGGCAAGAACCGATTGACTAGGATGAGCACCCAAAAGCTGCATGGCAGGTCCTAAAGGTGCAACAAAGTTGCGGAACTGTATGGGTGAGATCTCCGCTGCCATGGTCCTATCCACCAGCCGCAAGTTATGGATGTCTTCGAGAGAAAGATATTCGGTGACAGCAATCCACACATCGGACGGCAGAGGTGGGTTCTGATAGTTCGGACGATTAGGGAGCGGGCAGTGGGGAGGCTCATTGGCAGAAATCCGCGGGCCATTGCTGCGGAAGACTTTCGACAAAGGTTCGTTCGCGATAAAGAAATCTGCCGGATTCGAGGAGGGTGTGAAATCATGGCCAACATCGTCACCGGAAACGCTGCTATCGTCGGAGTCACTGTCGCTGGGGTCACTATCCGGAGATCCACCAAGAAGCCCAAGGCGAGAACCGATGCTGCTAAACAGAGAGGTTGATCCGGTCGGCCGCCGATGACTACCATGTCGACGATTCCTCGGAGATCGGACTGGGGCGGATGTGCGCTCCCGCTCTCTGGCCACAACATTTGGCATGTTAGTAGGTATGAGATCCCCATAGTTGAACTCTGCGACGCTACCGGCATTCTGGTTGCGATACTTCATGGCGGCAGCATCCGGCTGCGAAGCAGCAACGACGCGGGAGATCAAATCTGAAGGCAACTTCGGCGCTGATCGTGGTGGACTGTTGCCAGGTGAGTCAACCGAGTCATCGGAGAGGATGGTGTCGGCATCGATAGAGGTATTGGTGACTATAGAGTTACCCCGACGGCGAGCCCAAGCAGAAGAAGGTATGACTCGAGGACTGTGACCGGTGCGGCGGGTCGAAATTGATTGCCTCATGCGGCGACGGGTGCTGGAGCCAGACCCCGTCAAGTCCATGAAAGGATCATTGGTGTCGTCCTCATTGTCGTCTCTGGTGGGACTAAACTTCTTACGCGGGGTGCGTCTCATCTTGCGTGGAGGGGTCTTGGGCGGACCGCCAACACCCATGCCTGGCGGCGGGAGTGAGCCACTGGCGACTGCTGGTGGTGAATCGGGCAGACCGCGGAGGTGGTGGAGCGCGTTTGGAGCGAGGCTGACTCTACCGGGCCTCACGCTCTCGTCGGCATGATGATGCCTCGCATGCATCTCGTTGAGCCAATCTTCACTTCTTAAGGGGGCCGTGTCCTGCTCGATGGGCGACAGAAACGCATCTTGGTCTGGGACTTCTGAGAGAAAAGACTGTGCACAGGCTTTGCCCTTGCCGATGTTTCGCTCGGGCGTGGAGGGGCCGAGTGTTCCGCCTGTTAACGCGGAGTTGTATTCACGTCTGATGAAGGCTCCGAGGGTCTGTGGGCCAAAGTCTGTCAAGGCTGGGTGGACTGGACGGACAGAGGCATTGTGCGCAACATCGCGGTTCGAGGGCGAGAGGAGTCGAAGAATTGCATCTTCGTCCACGTCAGAGAAGGCATGCGCTCTACGACGGATCGTCATCGTGACCGAGAGCGGCGCTGTCGAGTTGTGTCATCAGATTCGAGAATGAGTCGTATGGAAGGTGAACGGAAGTTAGTGGGGTGGACCGCAGTATGGCGAGCGGCTTGAAGACGTTATTAGCAGCCCTCCGCCTGCATGCGAACAAGAATGGAATGAGGCGTTTCAGAAAAGGTCCAAGGTGAATCTACAGTCTATGCGAGACTCGTGGACGACTCGGTGGAGTGAAGAAGGTGGTGTGAATGGAATATGGGCGACTGCGTGCTTTTGGGAGAACCTCGACGCAGACAAGGCAACTGAAATTTAGGGCTGCCTGTTTGCACAACGCCCCGCAGCAAAGCCGCGATCGCCAATCGTGCAGCCCGTGCCCGCCCCCCGGATTGACATGTGCTTGCGACCCACACATGCGGACGGCGTGCACTGCAAGGCATGCAAGGGAAGCAAAGCTTCCGACTGGTTGACCGACGTTGAACACGTTACTGCTCGTCCACGATTTGCTGTTGCTGCCTCTGCCTCATGTGCAGCTGTTCCCGGCTCACGGGCCCATCTACATGACCCTGGGACAGAGGGTGACTTCCAAACTGGCTCCTGTTGCCCAACATTACTCCCCTCCGTTGCCAGCTCTGCGCAAAGCCCAAGACATCGGCTTCATACTCCTCCCAGCTCATATCCCCGGCAAATACCCGCTCGAGCTGCAGAGCATCAAATGCTGCCTGACTAGTGCTGGCTGCGGTATGAGGCCTGAAGCCAGCCAGAGCATCTCCGACCACACCCGCTTTGCCGTGTAGCAGTCGGCCGACTGGCGTTCCTTGCTGCGGTGGCTCGACGTCTGTGATAGCCTGCACGAATGGCTTCTCGGTCTTCGTCACCAACTCAGCAAATTGAGGTGGTAACAAGTCCATTGCCCGCTGCTGCTGCCGTTTCCATACTTGGGGTTGCACTGTTTTCGTCAGTAAAGTCACCACAATGGCTTTCCCGATCTGTGCGGTAGAGAAAGGGGAAGACTGACTCTTCCCACCGGTCGGCAGGGTAAACCTGTGTCTCGCTCCCTCTGAGTCCGTCATTAATTCCACATATGCCTCATTCTCCTCCAGTTCGTTCCAATACCACACCCAGTTGATGAGCCGCTTCCCCTTTTCCAGCGTTCCCTGGTGCCCGGGGATAGTATACGCAAGAATCTGCACCCCGTCAGCATGGAAGAAGGTGAACTTCTCCACAAACACCTCCGTGGAACCCGCCGACAATTCCGACTCCCTCACAGTCCCTCTGAATGCCACATAGCCCGCATACGTTCTCTTCGAAGCCTTGTTCTCTCCCAGCATTATGCCCTTGAGCCGACTGCTTGGGCCATCCGCAGCAATCACAACGTCTGCTTCTTCCGACCCCTCCAGAAGCCCCTCTTCCGCCCCCTCTCGTGTGCTCCTCCACTTGACCACCACCTTCTCGTCCTTCTCCTGCAATCCCGTCGCCTCCCTGCCATATTCATATCTCGCCCTCTCCCACTGCTTCTTCACCTCCTCCGAGCCCTCAACGCGCGCCCAATCTTTCCCCTCGATATATCCCCTGCCACCCTCCCCATTGAAGTTGGCCCGACTCAGATTCCACACCAAGTCCCAACTCGTCATCCTCTGCTTCCAGTCCTCACGATCAACAACGCCACCCTCCCGATCCAAGTACAGCCTCGTCGTGCTGCCCACGCTGATCTCCCGCTGGAACAAATCATGCCGGCGAAACCAAGCCAGCGTCTCGCCACCGGCAACGATCCCGGCGCCCTGGTCGTGCAACAGGGGTGTGGGAGATCTCTCGAGGATGGTGACGCGGTGGCCGAGCCGAAGCAGAGGCGTCGCGGTGAAGAGACCCGCAAGAGAACCGCCGATGATGACGATGTGCTTGGATGGAGGGGCGAGAGTGCTGTTGGCGGAGCTCATTCTGGTTGCGAGCAGGGCGCTGTGAGAGCTCATGCGATAGGTAGGGCGGGGAGGTCCCGTTATACCTCCAGGTGGTAGGCTAGTGTTCAGATGCGCGTTGGGAATGCTTCGTACAGCTTCGGGTCCGGTACCAGCGGCTGGACTGAACCTCGTCGGGAGGATGTATCGAGAATCAATGTCAACTATGGCTTCAATTTGCTAGATAGTAACCTAATGACGAACGGAAACTATTCATCATGAGAACGCAAAGATAACCAGTCTAGGACCATACCGTCATCAGGCACACGAATATAAATCCCCAACCCACCACATTGACGAAAGCCGATTGGTTCGCCGCGCTCGCCGAACCGTTTCTAAACACTGAATCAAATCGCACTGTTCCATTGATTGTCAGCGGCCGCTATGCTCAAATGATAGCATGATGATGACTTTCAATCGCAAACGCGGCAACTGCCGAAAACGCTGACATATAACCATCATCTCAGAGTACCCTGCGCGTGTATGATGAGCAAAGGATGAAATGGGGCAAATCACTGCCTGAGGGTGTGCTTGGCAATTCGTGCTTGCCATTGCCCTGTCTCTAGCACCACCCTCCGGCGACGGGGTCAGGGCACGCGGGCAAAAGGACAGACGTGGCGGGTGGTGGCAGGGACTGAGATGGATGGGCATTGGACGGTTCTCCGCTGAGAGTCACATTCTCCGTCGTCTACCTCATGACTGCCAAACCTGCAGGTCAAGGCGGAGAGACGTAGAGAACACGGGCCACGCAGCAGCGAGACTAGAGGGAGACGGTGGTG